TATTTTCCTGTCTTTCTTAGTCAATACTTGCGTGACAATTACAAAGATCCAAGATATATAGGAAATGGTAACTTTGGAACTGTTTATTTGGTAACTCATCAATATTTCGATGAAAGAAAAGCAATCAAACAGTTTTCATTGAGGCAAGAGATAGAAATTGATGAACTAATGAAATGTGTAAGTGTCTTGTCATTTTGATAGTGCTAAAAAGCAAAGTATGAATTGATTGGCAAAGATTCTCCTCATGTTCTTCCTGTGGAAGGAGTTTTTAAAACTAAAATTAAGGATGACCTTTTTGGCCTGGAAGTTTTGACACCAAAAATGGAAATGTCATTAGATGTTTATTTACGAAAGCACTTGTTTGCAAATTCAAAACCACTGTCAACAAAATTGGATATTATTGAACAGATCATTGAACAAGTTGGAATTGGAATTCATTCTTTGCATTCAAAGGAATTAGCTCATCGTGATTTGAAGGAAGCAAATATTTTGGTCAGTGGTTCAAACAAGCTCTTCATTTGCTTGTGTGATTTTGATTTTGTCAATGATAACCTCACAACATCCTTATCTATTGTGGGGACTCCAAAATATCTTCCTCCTGAAATGATTAGTCAGGGGATCCTTTTAAAGAAGAATAGTACAAAGATTGACATTTGGTGCTTTGGAATAATCATTTTTAGAATATTGTGTGAATTACTTGGTATTGATTGTTTTTCAGATTGTCCTGAAGAGATACTCGTAGAAGATGATATAAGATTAGGAAGAGCAAAGGATAGCGAACAATTGAGACAATATCTGGATAAGAAACTTTCAACATCAGAGCTATTGATCAATTATACTTTGGGAGAAGGAAGAAGAATCACCCGATTTATTGAACTTACGAGGCAATTACTCGAATACCAATATGAGAAGAGGCCAAATGCTTCCACATTAATTGAACTCATTCAGACTCCTTGATAAAAATTTGAATTAGTAATTTTTCCATTAGCTCTTTTGAGAGCTTTGAAAATTCTCACTGGACACAATTCAAGATTGAAAGTGGTTGTCTCACTCCATCCCTCTGTTTTGGATCTGACTTGTAAAACAAATTGATTCATGTAATGTTGAAATTTTATAAATAATTTCCATATTTTCGAAAATTCCTAAAATTCTAAGGTTTGAAAATCATTAATAAGCTCAAATCGTTGAGTGCTTTGAAAGTTCTCACTGGAAAATCTTGTATTTTGTCCAAACAACAACAACAAAAAAACAACTGAATATCTTATAATTTATTACCTAGAATTCTAAAATGTCTTCTAATCAACAAAATCAATACACTTCTGTAATTGTTATTGGAGCTGGTGGAAATTGTGGTCTCGAAATTGCCAAAGCAATCTTGGAACATTACCCACAAGTCAAGTTGACCTTGCATGTTAGAAATGAGGAAAAGGTTGCCTCTTTGAAAGAAAAGGGAGCTAATGTAATTGTTGGGGATATTCTCTCAACAAGTGAAGAGGAGCTCGTAAATGCATTGTCTGGTAAAGAGGTAGTCATCACTGCTCTTGCAGCTAATCCTGAGCTATTGCTTCAAGGTCAATTGAAACTCATTGAAGCTTCCAAGAAGGCAGGTGTAAAAAAGTACCTTCCAACAACCTATGGTTTGAATTTAAATCTTTTCAAACCTGAGGAAAGTATGTTAAATGATGCCAAGTTCAAATTACTGAAACTATCAAACAAAGTGGTTTAGAATGGACTCAAGTGAATGTTGGAATCTTTGCTCATATGGCTTCCTTCTTATTATTCAACAAGTTTGATGCAGAAACCAAGACAGTTCATTACAATGGTGATTTGAGTGAAAAGGTTGATGTTAGCTTTTTAGAAGATATTGGAAAGTTTGTAGCTAAAGCTGCTATCAGAAAGGATATTGTTGGTGATATTAATGTTGCTTCTGACACTTTGACAGTTAAGGAAATTGCTCATTTCATTCATGGTGAAAATATTGAATTCAAACAAGATCAAACAGCAGCTGATTGGATTAAATCCATCCAAGAAAGAATTGCCGAAAAGTTAAATTCTCCAAGTGAATTATTTCCAATTCTTTTGGAGCAATTAAGATGGACAATTATTTCAGGAAGAAGAGTTGAAAGCTCCAATAGTAATCTCTTCCAAGATATCAAACCAAGATTATTCAAAACAATCAATCAACAATAATATTGTTTCACATTAATATCTATTAATAAAAGATGCTAGAATAATATTCTTCTTCTTCATCATCATCGTCATTGTTTTGAGTTGGTGGAGGTGGACAAGGATCAACACCCTTATATTTAGTTTCCTTAATGTCTATATCTCGTCCTGTAATGAGAGTGTGAATGTTTCGTTCAGAAAACTCAAATAGACCACATTTGACATGTTTCAGGAATGGAATTGGTGATTTTGGGAAGTTTTTCAAATCCTCTATCACAAACCAAATTCTTTTTCCAGTTTCAGCCAAATGTTTCAACACTTTAAACACTCCGTATGGGTATGCATAAGATCAACCTAATAGAAAGTTTCTGAATTAATTTTAGCCGAAACTACCTTGGCACTCTTTACAAGCTCAAAAATTTACCCATTCCATCATCCTCTTCATGCTAGGGAATCATTTCATCATTCAATATTTTCTTCCCGATCATAGAAAATTATTTCCGATCATGATCACTCACGATCGTTCGGAACAATTATTTGAATTTGATTTTGTAGGTAAAATTCATAATCTACACAACTCATTTCAATCCAATTAAAAGGTCCACAAGATCAAAAATATGAGGTGAAAAATAGGAAAAGATCAATTCCAAGCATTATTTTTTAGTTAAATTTAAAATCAAATTTCATAAGAGATTAGTGAAAGATGATACATAACAACCAACAAGAGAATTTATTGATCAAGTTTTCATATATCAGATTAACAAGATTATTTGAAAAAAATGGAATCAACATCAATGAATGAAATTGCACTTCTAGGAGGTTAGTAAGAATAAAAATTAGCATACTTTAATAAAACACGCACAACAAAAAAGGTACTCAAGGAATTGGCAAGCAATGTCTCTTGTTTCTACTAATGAAGGGAGTGAGAGTGAGAGTTCTTGCTCGTAATCCATCAATGCTCTCTCCTCTCGATAGTAAATATTCCGATCGATTAAGCATTGTGAAGGGAGATGCTACCAAGGCAGAGGATGTTGCCCAATTAATTTCCAACTCTCAGGTCTCTCATGTTATTTGTGCTCTTGGAGTGAGAATGAATGAGCCAACCACTGTGGTTGAAAATGGAGTGATCAATGCAATTAGTGTAATGAAGAAACTTGATAGGGAAATGAGATTTGTGTTGGTTACTTCGTCAGCTCTTGTAAAATCGAATTCTAATTGGTTTTTTGATAATATTGTAAAGAAACACTTGTTGAATCATATTTACGATGATTTGGAAAGAGCTGAGAAGGCTTTGGTTGAATTGACCAAAGATTCAAAAATCAGTTATGCAATTGTTCGACCACCTCAACTTGTTGATGCACCTGCTACTCTCGATTTGATCTACAAGGAAGGAGATGAACAACCAAAAGGAACACATCTCGTCACGAGAGAAGATGTTGCCTCTGTTTTATTAGAATGTATCTTTGACAAACAGTTCAATACTGGCAATAGAATATTTAATGTTGATACTACTCGAAAGTTGGATGTCAAAGTGGATGTAATTAAGATTTTGAGATCTGTAACACCATACCCAAAGTATTTAATGATTAGATCATTCATGTTTTCAATTCAGGCTGCAATTGGATTCTTGATTGGCTTTTCTCTCTTCAAACTCAAATCATTGCTATTCCCTCAACTTGAAGAACACATTATAAAGTATCTCAGTAAACATAAATAAATCAAAGATTAAACTTCAAATCTAATAATTTTTCCATTAGTAGTTCCAATGATAAGAACCTCATCAGTGTAAAGGATACTAGCAATTCTTTCATTAATTTCAATGAGGGGAGCATTATCATTGGGAATGGTTTTGAATGGATGTTTTGCACTGTTGGAATCAAAGACGTACACCCAAATATAACCTTTGGAATCTGTTGCAGAATTATTTCCCAACACAATCTTGCTTTCATCCATTTGATAATAGGCCAATTGTTGGGAACTTGTCTGAATTGTTTTTAAATGTTTTACCTGTTGTTGTATTAAATCCTTTGCTGATTCAATTTTGTACAATGAAATTCTATTATGAAAATCAACAAATAAAATGTTTCTAAAAAAAGACAAATTATCAATTGTTTGATTGTAAAAATCGCCCATTTCCAATTGTTCCTCTTCAAATGTATTCAATTCATAACACTTTAAATCGTGTCCAATTCCAGCAGCTATTATTTTCTTAATCTCATTATTGATAGCAAATGTTTTTAATCCATAATCCAATCCCAAGTTTCCACTAATTTCTGCATTAAACTTGAAATTTTCAATATTGAATAAATATACTTCTCCACTCAAATCACAAATCATTAAATCCACCTCTGAATACCATTCCATTTTAATAAATTCCTTTCTTTCTTTCTTCTTACTTGTTATTTGTCCAAGTTTAAGATCATCACCTAATTGATAAACAATAAAAGAGCCTTTGCAAAGTACGAATAATAAACCAGATTTAGCACTATACGAATATAATTATAATAATTAAATTAAGCTACAACAACAATACATACATCATTTGAATGGGTGCATCTTCCAATTCTATAACAGAAAAAACTTTCTGTGTATTGGGCACATTCCTCAATCCGATCACTTTCTTATTCGTTGCTGCAAAAACAAATTGTTTTAAAATTGCTAGACACGAAATTGGATATTCGGAAATTTGCATGGTGGAGCCTATCTGCTGCTTCCATAAAGAATTATTCTGGTTCTGAAGAAGCATCTGTTGTGGCTGGTAATGTTTGCTCATTTTTTTTATTTGAATTTTTTGAGTTTTTTAAGTTTTTTGGAATTCAATTTTGGGATTTGTGAAGCATTGGTGAAAATTAATCCAAACATTGAGGAATGGAATTTAATGTTGCTTAATTCTGAACCACCAATTATTTAGCAAAAATATTTTGATTCGGAATTAATAATGTAAAAGTTTACAAAAACTGAAACGTGATTTAAAAAAAATGCATGAAGAGAATTACTACGGAATGGATCACTCGTTGATTCAATTATTAAAACAACAAATCATGGATGGAAAAGAATGGAAAATATGATCAAGAAAATAGGCTTTCACTTTTAAAGAAAATTGAAAAGACAACACTTGATTATTTTCTATTGATTTTTAATAATCATCAAGATCATGGAAAGGAATTAAAAGAATTAGGCTTTGATGTGGGAATATTGAGTAAATTGGTGGAGAATGAAAAATCAAAGAAATTCCGAAATGATTTTGATGAAATTAAAAAAGAATTGAAGGATCAGATTAATAATGAAGGAGTTGATATTGGAGAGGTGATTGTTCAATGTGTTTTACATCAGAATTTTGAACATGTGGAGGAGTTTTCTTCTGCTTTCTATTCAATTCTTGAACTTTCGAATGCAAGACAAACATTGACTAGAGGAATTATTTACTCAATATTGGTGGGTGAGAATTCCACTACGATTCAACATGGTTTTGATGAGATGGAAAGAGTTTTACTACTGAGAGGTTGTAATATTTCATCATTGTACCGTCCATTGTTTGTCAAATTTACAAAAGCAGTGAAAGGAAATCCAGTTGCAGATGAATTAGAATCCATTGACGAATCAAAAATTAATCCTAAACTCAAGAATAATTATACCATTATTCTGAAAGATCAAGATGATTTTTATGATGTGCCATTTGCAGAATATTTTCAAAAAGAGTATGAACCAATCATTAACGAGTTCTATCAATTAATCAATGATTTAACACTTCTCAAAGATCATAATTATCCATACTTGAATGAATATATTGCATATATTCAAAAATATATTGAATGTTTACAAGAAAGAGACAGCTCAAAATTAGAAGATGTATACAGAGAATTGGATGAATTGTGGATGGATATCAAATATCACATTCAATATGTACATGATATTGAGTATGGATATTGTGATTCTTTGAGATGTAAAGTAACACCTGATTTCAGTGTTAGATTGGTTGATGAGGAATACCAAGATGTAAATAATTTTATCAAGGAAAAGATTACAAAACGATTATTGGATTACTTCTCCAATAGAAATACAAATCTCGGAAAGAAAGGAGTAAGCACTATAGAAAAGTCATCCTGTTTTATTTATTACTTTCCATTCTTGTGTGGAAGCAGCTTGAATTTCAGATTTTCTGGTCAATCAATCCCAAACAGACCAGAAGTCTCTTCCAGTAAAGGTGTAAAAATATTTTTTGATCCAGTGGCAAGTGACATGTACAATTCACAAACAAGACAAACAGCTAGAAAGTTATTTGAACAATGTGATGATATTGAGAATAACATGACAGCATCAGAGGCCATTCGATTCCATATTGCATCACATGAGCTAGGTCATGCCTCCTATAACTTGTCGAGTATTAAGGAATCTATTACAACATCCACTAAAACTCTATTGGAAGAACCAAGAGCTCAATTGACTGCATGCTTTGCCATCAAATTACTCTATGATCATGGTGATATCACCAAAGAGGAGATGGACAGAGGATTACTATTTTTTGCTGCTGAGGATTTGAGTAATTTTGTAATGGCTGGAAAAGTTGCATTCGAACCTTACATTATTTCTGGAATTAATTGCTATGGAATTTACGAAACTGTTGGATATATGTCTATTGTAAATGACAGGATTCATATCAATAATGAAAAATCCTATGAAGCACTCTGTAAACTTGAAGAATTATTCGAAACAATTTTACAAGCCGAAGACGAAAATGATGGAAACAAACTTGAAACCATTTTACAACAAATGCAAAACAAACCTCCAATCATTACCTGGATGTATAAGAAACTTAACCTTGACCTTGCCTAATTCCCTTAATGACCTCGACCACATTTTCATTATTTACTCTCCCTATAATACCCATCATTCTGCATCAACTTCAAAACAATAGAAAAACTAATCATCACTAGTCCATTAGAGAATTTCATCATTCCAATTTCATTTCCTTACTTGCAATTTTCCAATCCGCGTTTACTGTAAATTTTTGGGTTTTTAGCGAATTTAAAAAAATAGTCACAAACCTCTCCGCGCAACAGAGATTTGATTTTCCCTTAAATTAAGTAAATTTTAAGAGAGGGTGGAAATATAAATTGGAGGATGATGGTAGGTTATTGTTAGTGGTAGAGAATAATGTTGGTGTTTTTAAAGAATGGAAATCATGATTAATAAATCTAATATTCGGGAAGGAAAAAAACAAAAAGGTGATGATGAGGAACAAACAAGTTTCAATGATGAGAAGAGTAGGAAAGATACAGCAAAACATCAGGTACAATCGCCTCTTATCACTAAATTAAAGATACAATCTTTGGAAAAGGAAATTAAATTGCAAAATGAATTAATCGAACAATCAGAGGAGGATTATTCAATGAGGGTGACTTACCTTCAGAGTATGCTTGAGTCCGTATGTAAGGACATTATTAATATTGGAAATCAATCCTTAGTAGAAGGAGAACAAGAAGAAACAATATGTTTGGAAGGAGATTCTACTTTGGAAGTGTCAATGATTCCCAACCAAACAGAAATATCTCCAATTAAAAAGAGCTCTATGGAATTTGATTCGCCCATGTTGGAAGACCTTATTTTTGTGGAAGGATTTGGAGAAGGAGATGCAGAACAATCAACAACTATGAAAGAACAAGAAAATCAAACCGAGAAGTATTTATTGGAAAGTAATACTTCAAATCTAAGTGTTATCAATGAAAGTGAGATTGATAACCAACTAAAGGATCTCAATAGAAAATTGAGAGACGTTGAAGGACAATTAGCAATGAATAATCACAGTTCCAAGCTTGATATTTCAAATTTGGAAAAGGATTTATCAGATAAAATTGAAGGCATTGACAAGAAGATTGATTCCTTAGACTCTAAAGAAGAGACAGTGCTTTATTCTATCAAGAGACTCTCAATGGATTTGAGAAAACCTGAACAATCACAAGTTAAAATTACGGAAATTGTTCATCACAATTATCTGAACTTTAAGGTCTTGGCAGCAATTTTAATATTTGCTGTTGCCATCTACTTTGGGCTCCAATTAACAAGCTATGACACACCAACATTTTAAAACCACATGTGATTATACATCAGGACTTTATAGCAAATTAATCTTGAACTCGTTTTTAACAGTCTCTCTCACATTGGTTTCGAGTTTTGACAAGGCAAAATAGGCAGCTGTCTTTTGAGATTGCTCAGGTTGTTGCTGCTGCTTGTAATAGTAGATTTGACTTCCAAATAATTGTTTGGAATAAATGAAACCATCTCTGTCATTTTTGAGGAAGAGTTTTGTAACGGCCTTTCCAGTCTTTGGTTGTTGGGCCTCTTCATTCCACCATTCTACTTGTTGATTTTCTGTAGAGTTGAGATAAGTATTTCTGGCCTTTGCTACATTAACAAAGAAGGTCTTGCTTGAAATATTGGTTGTTGTTGCCATACTATTAAATTCATCATACATTAGACAGAATGAGTTGGTATCTGTTGTTTGTTCTCCATTATTATTAGTAGCTGGTGCTCTCTTATATCTGACATTACCATTAAGCTTGTATGGTGCTGACTCCTCTCTAGCAAGAATCATGTTGGTATAACTTGATCTATCCATTTTTCTGGATATTTGTCTCAAAATTGGTTTCATCTCAGTTCGAATCTTGATGATACAATCATTGAGATCGCATCTCCAATTGAAGGACTCCTTAAATTCCCATAATAAGCATAGTGATAGATCTCTATATCTATATGTTATTAATGCATGCTTCTTCATTGATGTAGTGTTAGAATCATTTGAATTAAGATAGACTTGCAAATAGTCAATTTGATCTTCCTCGCTGAGAACTATAAATTCTGATTCCTTATCTCCAGAAATAATAAACATGTTGTAATCCAAATTGATACGAGAAATTTTTTCCTTTGATTCGCTATTGGTTGGATTTTCTTCATCCTCAGAATATTGTAAATCCTGAACAGCTGTTGTTTCATACATGGACCAGTCATCAATCATGTATGCGTTAATACCAAAAGCACTATTTTCATTTGGTAATGGGCTTGGAGCATAGGTTGTGCTTGCATTTGATTGGACGGAGGCATTACTCAAACCACCAGGTGAAGATTCGTGGAAACTACTTCTCGATCTATTCTCTGGTGTCAGAGTTCTTTCTCTGGCAGATCCAATACTAGACTTGGAGAGTGATTTTACCAATGGGCTCACTGTTGCTCCCGAAGTCAATAAATTACTGGTGCTATTTGATTTGGCATTTGATCGGTAAGGGCTTTGAGTATTTACAGGTGTGCCAGGAGTTTTGAACTTTCTCAGTGGAATTGGTGTAATATGGCTCGAGTCTGGTGTGGATACGAATGGGTTATCACTTTGTGGTGTACCAACAACACTTCTTGCTTTAACCCCGTTTAATGGTGTAAATTTGGTCATTGGACTTGAAACAATCTCTGCATCGAATGATTCATCATATCTGTCCTGATATTCACACAAATTCTTTTCAATACATTTTAGTCTGAATAAAATAAATTGAACAACCTTTTCATCCAAATTATTGAGAGCTACTAGACCCTTACTTTCGAAAAACATTGCCGAGCCGATAAGGGATCCCCGTTCCTCAGTGATTTGAGTATCCTCATTAATTGATAAATTTTCCAATTGTTTCTGTACCATTCTTGAGAGTGAGACTCCAAGGGTATTAAAGTTATAATTTGGCTTGACTCGTGGCATTGTTGATCCATAAGAATCCTGCAATTGATTCAATATGGTCATGGCTTTGATAAATATATTCTTTTCAGGAACTTCTGCATAGGGAATGGCATGTGGGAATATTCTTTGAGTCATGGCCTTAATTGGCAGATCATCTGGAATTTTTTGACTTACAGTATACATTTTGATGAGGACATTTAAATCGTCAAGAACCATCTCCTGATCAGAATTCCATCTCCGTTCAGTATTAGGTCTCTTCTTGTAGATATTGGAGACGATTGGGTTATATGGTGATGCAATCCATGGTGTTCGATGATTATCATTTGGAACTATTGACCTCACTGGGAATGGCCCTTCAATAATATCCTCAAAAACATCCAAACTACTCTCAAACTCATTGGTATGAGAGGTGTAAAATTCAGTTTTGGCAGCTTCAATTTCCTTCTCTCTCTTATTTAGTGAGCTTCTATCTGAAAGTACTTGCTTAATATTGTAGGTTCCATAAATAAAGGCAAAGGAATCGAGAATGTGACGTAAATTTTCGTGTAAAATATAATTTGGAGTACTTATTGGAGCACATAGACAGTAGATCAAGTTGTAATATCTCACAATTGCCATTTTAGAGTGATTGAATTGTACCATATTGACAGGATGGTTACTTTCTTTAGATTGAACTCGAGGTACAGCTGTTGCTTCAGCCTTGAGTGAAGATGTGAGAAGTGATTTGGTATTGTCAGCTGAAGTTGGTGGAGAAATTGAGTTGTTATCAAAGCCGTTTTCTTCTGGAGAAAGTGTTTCAAAAACGAGAGGGTGGAAAGAATCAGTAAAAATCAAATATGATTGAATATAACCAATAATATGGAGTTGTGATGTTTTTGAGACTGTACTTGGATAGAAATAAATTAATTGTTCCTCCAATAAATCAGTTTCATTATCTGTGACCTGATCATCTTGTCTATATTCATCATACATGTCGAATTGTTCTTCTTCTTGATCATCATGTGAAGAGAATGTATGTCTTCCTCTCTCGCTTCCTTCATCCAACTCAGTTTCACTACTGTTTGTGAAAACCATAAAACCATTTCTAAAGAATGACAATCCTTCATTCTTTAACTTTTTCTCCATTTCATCTTCATCCCTCATCACATTTGTTTTCCTTTGTTCCATGAGTTTTTTCATACGATTGACCTCTCTTTCTCTTTCCTTCTCTCGAGCCTTTTTTTCCTCCTTGTGAGTTAATTGATATCCTGTAATATTGATCGAGAGAGGAATATCGAATTGAGATAAAGCTCCAATCGATCCAAAACCATCCAGATCCACAAAAGTGTTATCTCCACCATTATTTTGCTGTTGTTGCATGGCAATTTGTGCCAATGATGATGATGGAGTTTCATTATTCGGAATGATGACTTGTTGCTGAGAATTATTTGTAGTAGAGGTGGTAGGACCAGTATAGGCACTCATTGGTGTTTCGTCCTCTTCTAATAATGTTAAATTCTGATGCATATGAGAAAAGTAAATACTATGAAGAAGATTTGAATCGGTAGAAAAGACTGTTGTTGTGGGTGTTGCATTTGATGAATTTTTGTCCTTGTTAGGATCATTCTTTGTCATGGTGAATGTTCTCATCATGATTATCAGATTGTTGTTGAAGAAGAATTAAAACAATTAAAGACTTTGAAAATCGATCCTCTGTATGATGATGTTATTGAACAATTAATGACTGTTATTCATGAATCCGTTTTAATGTATCCACTTCAAATTATTAAATAATCGTATGATCAACGAGTTGTTAATATCAGTGCAAAAGCTAACACTCAATGGAAAGAAGATTTTTTTCAAGTCTGCTTTCATTTATTATTATTTGATGATGGTTGTCGGTTACGATATGAAGAAAAAAGACTTGATTGCATGACTAACTTTTATGACTGGTTGAAGGTGTTTCTTGTCTTGTTTATTGATAATTTGGAATTGATACCAAACCATTCGTTCTAAAACAATGAAGTCATTATAGAGGTATTGCTTCGATGTTGTATGAACCTTCCTTGTTGATGTTTCCTTTTCTGTCACATAAGAGCAGGTGCCTAGAGGAGGAGAATATAAAATCTGTATTACAAATATAAATTATATTCGTTGGTTAGTTTGTTGGAGGGGCCAATATCATGATGATCATGAAAGTCATTGCATTTACATTGACAATACTCATGTTTTGCATTCTATCATCATCAACTTATTCCGTTCCTCTTCTTTCCTCAACTTTGGGCATCATGATGAAGAAGTGTTGCTGCGTTGTGTAAGGCCCTTACGTGTTCATTCAACAGTTTGTTTGCTCCAAATTTTTGGCGCTATTTTATTGATTGGACGTTGAAAAACAAAAGAAAAAAAAACATAAACGCTAGGCCAGCTCTGAGCGCTTTAACAACATACTCTTGTTGCAAAGCACTTTTTTAACCACACACATCAGCTTTCCATCAACGGTTTTTTTGCGTTGCGTTCAAATTGTAAGACCACGTTTTTTAACAAGGCTTCGAACTCTGAAATTGCCAGCAAAACTTCTGTTTTTTAACGGAACGCGCGTAAATTCAATCTCACAAACAACCGCTATTCAATCTACAGCTTAGCAATTTACACCAACAGCAACAATGTCCATCGAACAAGAAAAACCAACCTCATCATCCACAACATCAACTACATCAACAACAGATGAGAAGGACACCAATATGATGATGATCACGAGTACTACTAACAGTGATGGTGGAGCAGCCTCTACAATAGCTTCTAATACTCCAGTCAAGGCTGAGTCATCATCAGCTGCTCCACAAACAAAGAAGAAGGCTTTGATTGAAAAGCTTAGAAAGACAGTAAGCAATACTGAAAATATTGTTGCTGCTGCTTCTACACCAACTTCATCCAAGAAAGCCCCTTCCACAACCATCTTTACTCCAACTGTGGAACCACCTTCTCTCTCTATTAATACCAACACTGCTACTACTGGTGTAGCTGCAACAACAATTGGTGCCTCTTCTTCCACATCCAACAACACCACTCCTACCCAAAATTCTACAACCAATACTACTCATCCAAACACTACATCAACTACAGAACCAATCACTCCAACAAGATCCAAGAGAACTCGTAGACCAAACAAACTGTTAAATGATGAAGAAATTCCAAGCCTTCCAGAAAGTATACAGAAAAAGCTCCAAAAGCTAATGGGTATTGTTAAGAAACACAAATGGTCTTGGCCATTCAATAATCCTGTTGATCCTGTACAATTGCAAATTCCTGATTACTTTGATGTAATTAAAAATCCAATGGATTTGGGAACTGTTGAAAAGAAGGTTAACAATAATGAATATATGGATGTCTACCAATTCTTGGACGATGTTAGAGTTATTTGGTCGAACTGCTACTTGTACAACCCTGTTGATAGTGACATTTACAAGATGGCCAAGGAAGTGGAAAAGTATTTCAATGAAAAGTATGTCAAAACTGTTGGTGAAGTTAGTTATGATACAACAACAACTGTTCAAGAAGAGGTTACATCACCATCAGCCCAATCCAGTACCATTACAACCCCAGCAAGCACACCATCAACAAGTAAGAATAAGAAATCGAACGGAACAACATCATCAACTAAAGGAAGAAAGAAAAAGACATCCGAAACTGAAACCAATCTAGACTTAATGATTGAGACACCAATTAAGGAACAAGTAACAACACCATCAACCACCTCAAAATCTAAAGCATCATCAACCAAAAAAACTACAACAAACAAGAAAACAAAACCTAAGACAATGTCCTATAATCAAAAGAAGGAACTCAGTACAAATATTGGTTCTTTGGAAGGTGACAAATTAGCTGAAGTGGTTCGAATTATTCAAAGTAAAGCACCATCAGCTTCCAGCAAATCTGAAACTGAAATTGAAATTGATTTAGATAAATTGGATGATGCTACATTATTTGAATTAGAAGCATTCGTGGAAAAGAATCTTCCTAAAGAGAAGAATAAGAAAAAAACATCTTCAAAGCCTGCACCAAAGAAGAAGAGAAAGACTTCCCCTGTAAAGGAAAAGAAATCAAACAAGAAACCAAAAAAGGAAGAAAAAGTTAGTGACTCGGAATCTACTGCTACAGATAATAGTGGATCAGAATCAAGTGCCACAGAATCAGACTCTTCCGACTCTGACTCTTCAAGTGGATCTGATTCTGATGATGATACTATCATGAAGACCATGACAAATCCTGTGCCACCAACTGTTCAAGAGATTCCAAAATCAATTCCTGAAGGTAAGTTTAATCTTTATTTTTCACGTTCATAAGGTATAGTTTAGTAGCTCAAAAACCATTACTTCCTAACATTCAAACAACCAACATTAATACTCCAAACTCTGTGAATAATAACACTATTAATACCCCAACCAATTTATTACCACCAACTCCTACTTCTTCTAGACCTCCTGCCAATATTATCCCAACAAAGAAACAAGTTGATACAGTAAAAGTTGATGAATTAAGCTGGACAAGTTTATTGGACGATGATGATAAGAAGAAACAACAATCTTCAACAAGTTCTGGATCTAGTATGGACACATCTGATGATCATACCAGTTCAAAATGGACCATTTTCCAACAGCAACAAAAGAGACAAAACGAATTGGAGGAAAAGATGAAACTTATCAGAGAACAAAAAGAAGAAGAACGTAGACAACAATCCATGCATGCCTCTCACATACATATGAATGAAAGAGAATTGGCAAAGAGACAACGAGAAGAGGAGAGACAACACAAGATGCACGAAGATTTGGATCCAGAGGCCTTTGAAAAGGAGTATTTTAATTAAATTTAATTTTTTTAATGTCAATTCACAAATTTTCATATCTTAGATCAAGTGAAATCACATACTTTTTCATTTATTGACATGTGCTTCTGGCTAGTTAGATATTCTTTTACTCTCCTCTATGGTCATTTTTAATGAACTGGATAAAAGTCATGTTGATCATTGAGGATTGACTAATGTATCCAATCACGTTGTCATTGAGGTACTTATTTCTAAGGTTAAGTTTTTCCAGTAAACTCAAATCCTTGATTTGATTAGCGTCAATGTCATCAATATTATTGGACTCAAGATGTTTTAATTTTTTCAATTGATTAATATGTGGTTTTAAAGAATCTGCGAACTCCTTATATTAAGGAATTGTAAATTGGTGAAATTATAGGCATCTAAACTGATGTTGATGCATCTAAAGGCTTCCAAACTTTCGTCCAGGATTGTCTTCATTGACTTCCTCTAATTCTGGTTTGGGTAGCTCTTATCCATTATTTGTTTTTATATTCCATTGAAAGAATTCAAGATGAAGGAAACAATTCAATAATCTTTAATATTTTTACTCTTTCTTACAAAATGAAAAAATTCTATTGAAAATATCGAAATTCTCCAAGCATGCATTTTGAAAAACTTGCTCAAATGCTTATTTTCCTTAAATAATTTCTTATAGTCATCTCTCTCTAAAACTAGTCGGTATACCTTTTCTGGATATTTACTTTCGAATAATGGACAATAATAGTTGAATATTTCATCTCGATTGTTGAATGCGTTCAGAATAACATAGTTTTGGGATTCCCACTCGACTTTGTATTCTTCAAGACTGCCAGTGATAATATCCAGATACTTTTCAGAGATATCATTTTCCAAGATTAGGTTAAATGTTGAAATGTTATTCGAAACCTGTGGCACAGTGTATTTCTTTTTGGATGCAACAGCAACACTGATCCCTACCACCTCCAATTTTCGTTTCTTCTTCAATGTTTCATTTTCCTGCAATAATCGACATATTTCCCTTTCTTGCATGTTTAGTTGACTTTCCAATGACATAATTTTTGAACTCAGCATTCCAGCTTGATTAATGGAATTGTAAACATTCCCACTCTCCATTGTTGATCTGCTCCAATTTGACATTTCTTCTACCACACATGCGTTTACTCTTCTTTCTTCTATTGTATTACTTGTCATACATGAATTGTTAGGATGTAATACAGTAATTCTCGTTGTTGCATTGATTGTTGTTGCATGTGGTGAAGGTGTTGGTGTTGTAGATGAATGTTGTACTGTTGTAGTTGTGACATTCGAATGATTATTAGAAATATTCGAAATGTGTTGATGAGAAGAGAGTGTCCCATCAACAAACTCTTGAAAACTGGGAAGAGCAAAGATTTTCTCTGCATGTTTTCAAATTTGTTGTTGATACAGCATGTTGTTATCTTTTGATTTTTTTGACTTGGACATTGTTGCATTTCGACCAAAAGAGAAACCAACAACCAGAAACCAGAATGTATTCGAAATTGCACGGAGATTGATAACAATTATGTCGGGTGGATTAATATTTCGGCTTTTACCAATCCGATATTCCAAATTAAAAAGACCTCTCTAAAATATTTCCAAAACCTCAATGAAATATAGTTGTGATGATTATAGTAGGCACGGTCTGTTACAAAGCTCATTGATACCTTCCTTTTCTTGACAAGTTGTTGACAATGTTTATTAATCCGCATTGTGTTGTGTTGATTTTCATGAACATTGTGGGATTACATGGATTATTTAAGAAGCTTTTGAGTTTCGAAAAAGTTACCATGGAAACCAAAAGGTACTCTTCTTGGTAGCTCAATATTCACTAATGGTGTGTTATTCATTGTCTTTCCATCGAATACAAACACTGTGGAAGAATTGGAATGTTCATGGTAGGCATAACATACAATGTAGACATCATCCTCTTCTTCAGATCTTGGTATGATTGAAACTTCTCCAATCATTCCATTGTTTGGAATGGTAATTGTTTGGAATGCATTTCCTTTTTCCAAATCAACTTTGGCAATTGAATTGGCAACGAATAGTTCTGATTTTTCAACTACTAAACTGTAGTAGAAAAATCTATTCTTTTGACCAGTGATTTCTCCTCTTACGACAGGGAACTCTCCAGAGGGTAATTGATTTCCGTCGAGGGTTTTTAAGAAACCTTCTGAAATTAACTTGCCACTTGTTAAGTTCAGAGTGTATTCATATGGGAATGGTTGCCCTTTTGAAAAATCAGTCATTGAGAATGATTTTTGAACGTGAACCAATATCTTAATCAATAAATCATCACCCTCTCTTTCTTCATAAGCATTAATATAGTGAAAGGCAACACCAGTTTCAGCTTCAAAGAATTGTATCTTGCTCGACTTGCCATCGTACAATCTTGGGAAGACAGCAATCTTGGTTGGTTTGGTATCATCGAATACGATTGGATTTTCACCAGTTAGAACCTTCTTGACATCCAAAATCAATGGATAAAATCCAACAATTGAATAATTTTCAGTAATGACCATATCATGAATCATGCAAACGTATGGAGTTTCTTCCTTGGTGAACTCATGTGAATGAATAATATCAAGATTCTTATCAGTGACACCATATCTGAAAGAGGTTCCTCTAGGATTCAATTCATATCCAAAGAAAATCATCTCTCCATTTCTTGGATCAATTTTTGGATGAGCAGTGAAATTATGTTTCAATTTTCCTTTAAAATCAAACTCTCCAACTGTTTTCAAATCTGGGAATGTAACTTCCATTGGTTTGTGTCCTTCTTCGAGTGCCAGGAATTTACCACCATGATAAATGATATTAGTATTTGCAGCACCACCTCCCTTCTTAAGTGGTCCATTCAATCCTCTATACATTCTCTCGTACAAGTAATGATAGGTATATTTGAGAAGTGGATTAATGCCACCATCCATGATCATACTATGAGCGAGAGGTCTTCCATTCTCCTTCTCTTGCAAGTACTTTTCAGTTTGGACGAATCTATTTCGATACGAACAATTTCCATCCTTGAATTCAAGTGCATGAATATGACCATCACCTTCAAACCAATGCAAATTATAGAGTGGATTAAATTGTGGATTTGGTCCAATTCTTGCATAAATTCCATTCAAATCCTTTGGAATTTCACCACTAATAATCGGAAGCTTTGTGATGGTCAATTCATCATGAATCGGAGCAAAATTACCATTCATTATTGGATTGTTTTTAATACCGCTCTCATAGGCTTGATTCTTATAATTGGAGAAGAGGAAATACTTGAAAACTCCCTTGATCCACAATAGGACGCCATTTAAAACTGTCCAGCAGAGGATTAACAAGTATCGTAGTTGATCAATTAGAGAATTTTTGGCGGGAGAAGTTGGTTGATCATTGGATGAAGCCATTTTTTTTCAAGATGAAAAATTGATTTTTACAATGACATTTCAAATTAGGAGAATTTGAGTTCAATTTAATTGAGAATAGTTAAGAATCGAATAGAATATTAAATTGCAAAATATTAAATTTTGTGATAGTATTTACTACAAGTATTCTATTGTAAAAGTTGGAATGCATAAATTCAGAAGATGTCAGCAGTCACAATGCTTTATTAAAAAATTAAAAATATGACAAGAACCACTGAGGAGGACTGTGAATCCCAACAGCCAATCCAACAAAACACCACCACTCCAAGAAAAACACCTCTCTTCGATTTATTATATCCCATTCTCTTACAATTGTGGAATTCCTTCCATTCGGCCAATCAAAGCATCTCTGAATTTAACATTAATGCATGGACACAGGGATACATTGATAAATTCGACTCTCTTGTGGGTATTGATAACGTTACCAACATGTTCAATTTGAGAATAATCTGCATGATTTTCTTATTGTTCTGTGCAAGTCTTTCTGATAATGCATCGTCATCACTCTCCACAGAGCTCATTGTTGGATTCTTGACTGCTGGTTTGGGATTTTATGCGAGAATTTTCTCAGATCCACTTGGAATGTTAATGTTCAGCATTTTGAATTTGTGTCTCTTTTTGCGTTGCACTTCTTGGATTGAAGATAAGCAGACTGCTCTGATTTTAATGACTCCCTTCTTGTTTATGAATCAAATTCGTTCGGTAGTTTGTGTGTTTAAATATGGAAAGGAAAAGATCAATAGTGGTTTAAAGGAAAATTAGAATATTTTGAGTTAAATGTTGTGTAATTAGTATGAGAATATTTAGGTGAAACGAAAGTAAACTATTCCTATTCCTCACTTGATACGCGTTTCGAATATTGTTTTTTTGTAAATGATGAAATATTTGTTACAATGAATTTTCAAATAGGAGATTTTTCTTGGAATAATCTTTAAGAATCGAATAGTTTATAAATAACCAATTTTAAATTGGTAGAAACCTTATTGGATATTGGAAAACATCTGAAATAATATCTTTAAAGAATGGGTAATACACTTGATTGAAATTCCTTTCTTCATTCCTTCTCTAATTAATTCCTTCCATTAGAGTGCTGTGAATATTGGATTTTCCTCACAAATTGATGACTTTGAGTATTATTAGATATGTGGCCAACAGCCTACTACTTATTGAAGAAGTTGTTTAGTATTTAAATTCTGCATTTCTTCCACTTTCGAATAAAAACAAATAAACCGTTACGAAAGTAACTATCACAGACACATTAAAAAAAATGCCCTTCGCATGGCTCAAACGAGGTAGCGGCCAAGAGGAAATAGATTTGGAAGATGTTCCTCTGAATCAGTGGTCTTCCAAACAGTTGACCAAATTTCTCAAGCAACACAAAAAGAAGATTGAATTGGAAAATAAGGATATTACCAGTATGTTTCAACAATAGCGAAATATCTAAATAGTAACAATTTTTTATTCACCATAATATTATAATGTCATCATGATGATGAATTTTTATTATTATGTTCCGTGATGACGACAATGATGATGCTAACCACACCACGAACAACAATAACAAAAAAACGCGCCAATTCTATATCTACTACTAACTACGATAATGATGATGATCAAACTCTAATTATTGCAAATTAACCGATTAATAATAATAACAATAACAAATATGATAATAATAACAATACTATATGATAATAACAAAATAACAAAAAAGAATTGAGAGAAGAAAGATGGAATGGTTTATCCATGTTAAGTGCCAAAGTTGAAGATTTGGAAAAGTTGGGTCTTGCAAGTGGATCCGCGCATGCACTCTATACAACAATTCATGAAGTTATCAATAGTCAAGTACAACGAAATCTTCTCAACTTGAGTAATAATAGAATTTCCGTTAATATCAATACAGCATCATCGGATATATCAACAAGTGATTCTAATATTGGTTCATCATCATCAGCTGGTCATTCTCTAACGATAATTTCAAATGGAGGAGGTAGTGGAGAGGGAAAACATAGTTCTCTAGAATTTTCAAGTTCATCACCTGGAACATCAGTCAACCAACACCAACTCAATTATATTCAAACTATTATTCAAAAACAACAGGGTAAATTGTCTGTACCAAACTTGAAAGATGAACAAATTGAAACATCTGGTGCAGTCACAACAAAAACTGGAGCAGATTTGGCTGCTATTCCTGCAGAAGATGATATTCGATTGGCACACGATTTGAATAATCCAGGAGAACTTGTTGAAGTTTCTCATGGTAGAAAGTCAGCAGGTGGTGGATTACAAATTCTCACCCTTGCTTCATCTTCTACAAGTAATGCCAGTTCTCTTGAATCTGCTGTGAAGGATTGCCCTGCTTGGAAAGTTGATCAACTAACAGCTCAGCAAACTCAAGCTTTTGAAAATGCTGTTGAAAAGGTACAGAGCTTGAAGTATCCAATCAAACCTGAACTTATTGATGTTTTAGCTCAAGACTTGGTTATTGTTGATAGATTCAAGTATAAATTCTTGAACCCAGACCGTTTAAAGCAAAGAGGAGATGGTGGTAGACATGATACTTTCCTCAAGATTAAACTTGTCATTACCGAAATGGATACAGAAGTTTTCCACAGAATTTGCAGACGTTTTGCTAATACCTTCTCTACAACTGTTAGAAATAGTAGATGGGGTATGTTCCACACTGCCTTGATCATTGGTCCATGGTATTTGGAATGGAATGACAGTTCTCTTTCAACTGTTAGAAAGAAGAGTAGTAGTAAGGCAGTTTTTGCTGTTGATATTGCTAAAATTGAAGGACAAAGAGAAGTTAACGAAGTTATTGATTCTGTTGCTCAATTATGTACAGTATGGAACGGATACAAGCTTTATGAAAATGACTCATGTAACTGTCAACATTTTGTTATTGACATGTTAGAATATTTGGGATTGGGTGATTCTTTTGAAAATGTTTTGGAAAGATTCCCACCACTCAAGGAATACATTAACAAACTTAAGAAACGAGGTGTTTGCGATATGGCTTACTATGTAGATGATAGAATTGCTAAAGCCATCAAGGAATCTACACAAACAAGTAGAGCTTTGAAAGAACTTGTCAAGAATAAGAAGGTTACCTTTGCATCTCACAAACTTTTGGATGAATTTGTGAGTTTTATCATGCAAAACTTCCCACTCTTCATAACGAATCGTCAACAAGAGTATGAACTTTTGAAAGCCTTTGATCGTGCTTTTTGGTTGAGAAGTCAATCTTCACAAACTGAAGATGATGAAACTGTGCAACCTATGGTTGATATGCACACTCAAGAATGCAAATGTCCTTTCAATAAGAATAATCAACCAATAACTGAAGTTAACAATTCTATTGTTGGTATTGACTATGATGTTGGTAATTATACAACTCATTTCCCTAAGCCTAGTGTTAACGCTTAATTGTAAATAATTTTCTAAATTTAATTTATTTTGTTAATAAATGTGATGTTACTGATCTAACCTTTTAATAGAAACAATCATATACATCTGAAAGGGCATTAACTTTAACATCTTTCCAATGTTGAACAAAATCCTCGATACACATGTAAAAGATACCATCATCTCTGAATTCAACATTCAAACGCTTAATGAGGTATGGTGTCCAATCCGAAGAATTGTCTGAATATCTTCCCTTCCACTCTAACGATGCCATAGAGCTTTGAATTTGTTGTTTTGTCATGTCGCTGCCAGCAAATCCCCTATTGAATTGTAAATAAAGTTATCAAAATTAAGATGAACAAACTTACCAAGGATTCATAATTTTAACAAGACGGTGAACCTTTTGCTCATCCTCAACCTTTACAACCTCCAGTACAGCATATGCATGGTATTCCTTGATTCCACTTGTTTTCTCAGTTTCTGCATAGTTCTGAGGAGAGTAAACAAAGATTGTGTTGCCTGCCTTGTTGAAGTCGACCAGTTTTTTCCAAATTTCTAACGGGTTACTTGTTGGTGTAACAACTAGGCCTGGTAAAGGTCTAGCTCCACAAAGAGTTGCTGTTGCAAAATCCGATTGACCTCCATGCCCAATAGCTTTGTATCCTCCATATAATTTGGCAAATGCTTTCTCCAAAAGTGGAACCCAAAATTCATTAACTGTTGATGACCTAGAACATAATAACTTTCCATTTCCTCCAAATGGGAGTCTATCGTCGATAGTAACCAGTGTTTCCTTTCCATCCTTATAGAGACGTAAAACATGTTTTCCCTTCTTCATATCACTCTCCACAAAAATATTCTTAATAATTCTTGGGCATTTGTAGGCCAAATTAATGACAGCTGCCAAAAAGTAGCACGTTCCAATAGAAGACTGCCTAATATCAAGAACATCAATGCCATCGAAAAACAATTGAGGATCGTCAGCAATTTCGCACGGACGTAACCATGCAGAAATCTTTTCACTGAAATCCCAATCTTGTTTGAATTCAGTGTCGAAAAACATTGTGCTTGTATTTGCTCTCTTTTGTCTTTCAACCATTTCCTTACTTGGATTGAAAATTCCATGCAATGCACAGTAATAATCCTTCAAGAGTTTTAAATATTGGTACAATTTTCCATATTTCTGGAAGCAATCAATAAGGGTTTTAACTGGAGTTTCATAACTTGGCGTCACTGGCAAATTTTTGCATTCCTGAATCAGTTGATCAACAGTCAAATTCAAAAAGTCTGGTACATTTGGTGTATTCACCCATTCGGATCTGACTTTTAATTCCTTATCTAAAATATCGCAGTGACTTGGATACCAACCACTTAATCCACTCTGAAAATCCGAATCTGTCTTCTTTACATAATTCATATAAAAATCAACATGTGGTGGTTTTGCCAAACCAATACCATTATCCAAAGCCTTTTCCCACTTTACTATTGTATCTAATGTTTTTGTAAATTGAGGAGAGACTCCATCTAATTTCCCATACTTTTCCTTAAACTCTTGTAGTGTTTTCTTAATACTATATTCCGAGACAGACATGATGATTTTTGATTTTAATAAAAATACAAAACAGAAGTAAAGTTCAAGCCTTTTTTTTTTAATTTTTTCAAGTTCAATTCGTTAATTACAGTTATTATTCAATTTTTGGCGCCAAAACCACCCAAGTTACTTTTATCCAACCGTAAATTACTATAAATTATTAATACAATACCAATACTTTACAATAAATTATTGATCGGGATTATAATACTGATAAATCTTCGCGCATTTTTCAAAAAGGAAACCAAAAACGAATCCAAAAAAAACAAAAACACAATACTTTCCTTTCACCATATCATCATCCACAACAAACTCAATCATCATTAAATAATATTATTTATCTATTTAATAATAATAACAAATGAGAAGGGGAAGTATTCATTCTGATGATGATGATTTTTCCATTCCATTCGATTGATTATCATCATGCAACAACAATAACAATGAATGAAATTCCACTTTCTTCATCATCCATGTCTCATCATCAATATATGCCTCCACCTCCTGTATTATCATCTACTACTCCATCGTCACCATCTGGAGTAGCAGCAACACATCATCATCCTACTAGTACATTATCTTCCTTGTTTAGAAAGTATACTTCATCACCCAGTAGTAGTCGACAAAAGCAACATTCGGATATGAATGATTTACAACAGGATTTGTTGGAAAATGATTTTCAGGAAGAGTTGCAGACGAGAAATAAGAGTATTGATGGGTATAATGGGGTAGTGGACGATGATGCATACTATACGAAAGAAAATAAGGTGAAATTTTACATTCCTGAGAAGAAGTTTAATTTCTATCCGAATGTGGTGTTTAATTTGAGTAATTCGACTATTGGAGCTGGAATATTGACACTGCCATATGCTTTTAAAAGTTGTGGACTAATTATGGGAATTGTCATTTTGGTTTTGGTTGGATTGATTGCTGTCCTTTCACTTCATTATTTATTGAATGCATCAGAGATTACAAAAGGGAGAACATATAGAGAGGTAGCTATCAAAGCATTTAGAGGGAAAAAATTCATTGGTGTGATAATTGACATTGTGACGATCGTGTTTTGTTTTGGAGTCATGGTTGGATATGCAAATATTGTTGGAGATTATATGAAAACTATTTATGTTGGAATGTTAGAATCGGATTTGTTTGGAGGAAGTGAAGGAGCTTCAAAGGGACATATTATGGCTACCAGAAGTTTCAATAGTTTTATTGCAATGGTTTTGGTAATGCTTCCTTTGAGTTTACTTCGAAAGATTAGTTTCCTTTCGTTTACTTCGTATATTTCAATGATTTGCATGTTCTTTACAATGGTTGTTTTGTTTATTAGATTCTGCCAAAAGGCACCAACTCTTCCAAAAAGATATGGCTACGATCTGACTCTAGTTCAAGAAAGTGGAAAATTCATGGAAGTTTTCTTAGCATTTCCAGTTTTATTCTTTGCATTTGGTTCACATTTTACCTTACTTCCACTCTATTATGAAATTAAGGCCAAAATACGATCAAGAAGAAATATGGCTTGGGCCATCAACAATTCATCCATCATTTGTATGATTTGCTACTTGTTTGTTGGTATATTTGGTTATGTACAGTTTGGAGACAAGTCAGTTAAGGAAAATATTCTCAACTCTTTCAAAGCCAATGACTTGTTGGTACTCGTTTGTAAAATATGTATGATATTTGTGGTTGGGTTGTCCTATCCACTCATTAACTTTGTTGCTAGAGTTCATGTTGAATCTTTATTATTTTCCAAGAGAAAATTCTCCTATTTCAGATGGGTTTTTGAAACATGCATAATTTCAGCATTGGTTTTATTGGTAATTTTGATTCCTTTGGATATTGTTACAATTTTTGGATTGACTGGAGCCAGTTTTGGAATGATTTTAATGTTTATATTACCTTGTGTGTTTTATGGAATGGTAGAAACTCACAAAGTGAAAAGAGGATTTGCATTCTTTGTTGCATTTATTTGTTGCCTTCTTGGATTAATATCGACAGGAAGTGTCATTTTGGACTTTGTGAGAAAAATTATGAATAATCAAATAACACTGCAAGATTTCTAATTTATTTATACAAATTTGGAGTTTATTTTCTTTTTGGAATATAGTTGGATTGTTGTAGATATTGATTATTTAAGTTTGTTCGGAAATCTGAAATTCATTCTATCAACATAGGTCCATAACTTCCTTGGATCCAACTGCTTCTCAATTGGACACTGATATTTCCATTTAGGAATGGATCCTTCTTGGAACTGAGTAGAAACTTCTAAATTACAACACCAAGTATTGGCCAACAACTTTACAGTAGCACAATACAGAGCTTCATTCATTCTCAATCGTTGCTGAGTGGGAAGATAAAAGTACTCAATCATTGATCCAAATGGTCCAGAGATATTTCTAAATTCCTCCTTACTCGGTCTTGCTGAAAGCTTTTGCTTTTTAATGATTGACTCAACTGGTAAACCACATCCTGCCTTCTTTGAATATTCTCCCAGCTCGTTCAGTAATTGATTGCAAACATCTTTTGAAATTGCATTCTCAATCACAACATATCCATATCTGTGAAAGAATTCCAAATGTCTTTGAGTGACAAGTTGCGAATGCTTGTTATACATTTCATCAAATTGAGATGATGGATCTTCATTAGTATTCTTTGAGAATAAGGTCTGAGAATGATTCTTCTCCCTGAATAGACATTCTCCGAGTGGAGTGAGCGGAATTAAATGTTCTGGATTGTTTGGATCCATGAATTTCTTTTCTAATTGGAATTCTGAACTGAAATCGTTTGGAGTTTCAAAGGTTTTTCTCTTCACACGTAAAGATTCGACTGTTTTCATATTGATTGGATGAGCCATTTCGAATGCATGATAGAAAACACATCTGGGATAGCTCATATAGTTGAATTTTGAATTCTGATGTGGCATTCGAATATCAAAAAAGATGTAATCACCTCTTTGAATGGGTTCGTATGGAATCTTATCGTGTTCCTTGGCTATCTCTTTCAAATACTTGATATATTGGTCGACTTGATCTTGATCTGAATCAATTTCTAATCTAGTCACTTCCTTAGATGGTGGAGACCAATTTTTAGGTACTCGCTTGACCTTTCGTATTAATTCGAATAATGGACTATCCTCTTTATCATTCTCAACAAATTTCACATGATACGGACTCACCCAAGGTGATTTCTTCCTCATCGACTCTCCTTCCCTAAACTTTTCATCACAAGCTTCAAAATAACCATCAGCCGAAACTGTTGGAAATCCAGGAATAATCTCCAAACTACCTTCCTCCTTACTCTTATCCAAATCTCCATCCGAAAGACACAACATGGACTGGAAAGGTCTAAATCTATCCAATTTCTCATACTCATACTTTCTATTCAATTTACCCCAGAGATTATACGGCCACGAGTCGAGATGAAGACCAGTTCCAGTTTGCCTCAAAGGAGTTGTGCTGGTTGTTGAAGACTTTTCGGATTCAACAATTGCTGAGCTGGATGAGGTGAGAGTAGATTGTTTTAATTTACGTTTCTTTGTGGCTGTTGCATTATCTTGGTTTGGTTGTGATTTCATTTTTTTTGGTTTTAGTTTTTTTGTTTTTGCGAGTTCTAGTAAAAACTGGAAGTGATATTTCACCAACTTCATAAAATTCATTAAACATATTCGATGAAAATTCGATAGAAAATGGTAAATGGAAGAAAATGGTTAAAAAGGTATTTTACTTTCGAATATTTATTTAGTCAACTTGGCATTATTAATAACAGATAATGGTTCATTTACATCGAAAACCTTTGCTTCTACATGATCCACTCCAAAATTCTTCAATCTTGCAGTATGCATTTCAAGATAGGCACGTGCAGTTTCTTCACTTTCGAATAAATAAATTCCACCAGCTTCTTGGTTCTCCTTACTTTCGGTCCAAACTTTCCACAAAAATCCAGGTTCCCTATTGATCGATTCTGCTAATCCTTTCAACTGCTCCGACATTTCCTCACCGAAAGGTCCATTAAATTTAAAGTGCACTTGCAAGAGTTTCATTTTGTTTTGTTTTTTTTGTTTTTTCTGCTTTTTATTTTCAAGATCTTTTGATTTGGTAATGGTGTTTGAGTGGAGGAAAATTATTTATCCATTGTGAATGGATATTAGAATTTGTACGTGCGTGTTATTTATTGTTAAGAATTCGGCGAAATAGTTTTACAATTTTCATTATTTGCTTGCAGAATTCTGTGCAACAGATTTGAATGAATCGAGCTCAAGTAATTCTGGATATTCATACTCAATTCTCAAATCTCTGTAATTGGCTGAGTAGTCTGTTTGTGAAAGGAAGCCGTGTAAGGAGAGTGCTTGCAATTTCAAATGTTCATCAAAACGATAGGATAATGGAGTACCTTCTAGAGCTTGTCCATTTTGTTTGATACATTCAAAAATAAAATTCCAATCACTTGTAATGTCGTTGTCAGCATAGCTGAGAATATTTCCTTGATTCTTGACACATTTCAATACAAATTCTCGATCCTTCTTGAGCTCATCTGATGCAAACAAGAAAGCTCTTTCATCATTTAGAGTAGCTCTATAGACAATCTCCTTATCATTTCGAAACTCCTCACAAACATGTTCCAATAGGGAGCCACATCTTCCAATTGATTTCAAAACAAAATCTCGATCACTTCCTAATTCAGGAACATAACCCATTGCAAATCCAATGACATATTCGACATGGTTTCCTCCTTGATCAACAGCTTTCAGTAACAATTCCCTTGTTCTGACTCTTGGTGGAGTCAACTTGATAACATAACCATTCACCTTTAAACATTTCAACACAAATTCAGCATTCATTTTCAAATCTAAAGAAGCAAATTCAAATCCCTTTCCATCAGGCGTTTTGCTAATTAATTCCAAGATGAATTCCTGATCTTCTTTCAAATCAGATGAAATACGATGCATTATCCATGGCGAATCAAGGACTGCAATGGTTACAATTTCCCTGTTATTTCTCAATTCTAGAGAAGCAAATCTCAGTAATTCTCCTTTTTTGGAAACTGATTTTTTAACATAATCATAATCATTGGAAAATTCTATTGGTATAAATTGTGTATTGATGATTTCCTTGTTGTAAATCCATCGGATTGTTGACTTGGAAATGGTTTCAAATTTTTTCTTTAAATATGTATTAGAAAACATCTAAAATAATAGTGGCAATTTCATCATCATCATATTCATCTTCTGATGATGATCGTTTGATTTTTTTATTTTCTCCGAAGTAAAAACTGTCATCGATCTGCTTTCTCTTGTTTGACATTTTTTTTAAAGAATTTTTATTGTAAACTTTTATTCCACAACATGTCAGAAAAGCAAACTATTCTTCTTCCTCCTCATATGTTTCTTCTTCTTCAGCAACAACTTCTTCCTCATTCAAAGTTAATTGAGCCTTTCTATTTTCCCAAACAAGAGTAACTTCAACATCTGAGAATTCTTCATCTCTACATTCAGATTTAACATAGAATGTGTAATCTCCTTTTGGAACTCTTCTTCTTGTACCAGTAAATACATAGAGACCATCGCATTTGATTTCCAATTCTTCACAACTTAATTCAAGATAACTGTTGAATTTGTCCATATCATCGTGAATCATTCTCAATGCAATGAGAACGTCACAAGTTCTGTCGACTGAAAGTGTGAATTGTTGAGTGAGAATGCATTCACCTTCCTCATTTTCACAAGTTTCGTCCTTTTCATCATGTTTGAGAATTTGTCTATAGGTAGGGAAATAGGACGATTGGTGAACGTTGTGCAAGAGTTTTGGACTGAATTGATATCCGAATGAATTCTCGTCCTTATAGAAACATTCAATATCCACAATGTGGCCAACTGTCATTCTGGAGAAACAATTAATAACATCATCAAAATGCATCCAAAAGACACCGTCATCCTTTTCTGCCTTATTTCTCTTTCTTCTTGATTTTGCATCAGTTGCTGTATCCACAACAGGCAAAAGAACTGTATCTTTACACAACTCCTCAATGAGTTTTGATTGTCTAGTTACTCTCAGATTGAGTTCTCTCTTAACTTTTGTTGTCATCTCCTTAGAAGTATCAGACCAAGCTCCTTTCCATTCAGTACAACCCCAAGGATTTCTCAATCTAACCAATTGATTTCCATTGTAATCACAGGCATCAATGAGCGCATAGTAATGTCCATCAACAATACCACTCTCTGTGGTGTTGGTATCACCGAGTCCAGATTCATTTTCTGAAGCAAAACCAATTGCATTACCATTCTTTACTCCTTTAAGAATTGATTTCCAAATGTCTTCTTTACACAATCCACCAAAAGGTTCTTCTTCTACACCTTCTTCTTCTTCCTCAGCAGTTTCCTCTTCTTCCTCTTCAACATACTCGTATTCACCTTCTTCCTCTTCTTCGTATTCTTCAGTTTCTTCTTCTTCTTAGCTTCCTCTTCACAATCACATTCCTCTTGGGTACAGGAAACGTGATTCTTCAAATATTCGAATTGAGGAAGGCAACCTGTGAAAATTTGAATTCCCAAAGTACCATCTCCACCATCAGTTTTATAATAACTTCCAAAAATTTTGGCAATCGCCTTCTCAACAATGGTAGGCCACAACTCATTTGGATTCTTTGATCTAACACCCAACAAGGATCCATCAGAAGAGACTGGAACATAATCATCAATAGTGACATATCTCCACTCGTTTCTCCAGAACAATCTCAATGTATATTGTCCCATCTCAACATTTGCCTTAACAAACAAGTGAGCAATAATGTGTGGATATCTGGCAACAGCTGCTAACGAACTCAAAATCCAACAATTTCCAAAGCTTCCCTGAGCGATATCATTCACATCAATGCCATCACAAATAATCTGTGGATCATCACAAAGTTCGGAGAGTCTCATAAATCCATTATAATTCATACCTTCAAGATCTTCGTAGCCAAAAGATGTTTCATCGGCTGGAAAATCCAAATCAACATACGGCTCTTCAAGAGGAGCCAAGTCTTTTTGCATTGAATAAAATTCCTCCTTACTTTGATAGGTTGTCATTGTGTCTTAACGCCAATGAGGATGAAATGTTACGGTATTTTTTTGTAATTTTTTATGTAATGTGGTTGTACTTTCAAGTTCATAAGCCAGTATTGCAACACTGAAAGATGGCCACAATGATGCGCACAAATTAATAAGAAAGTTTCAATAATATTTATTTTTCGTGGAGTTTAGAAGAAACCCAGAATAAGGAATCTTCATTTTCTGGCATATCTTCATTAATCTTTTCCAAACACTTCTTTCTGATAAGTTGATAAGAGGCCTTCTCCTTTGATTCTGCCATATAGCTCAATACATCCTCATTCTGATCCATAAATTCTATGGCTTCCTCAAATCTCAAGCTGAGGAATAATTCTCTCAGAGCTTGATAACCAGAGCACATTTTGATAAGATCTGGATTTGCATGTTCCTTTCTAGAGAGCACACTATAAATATTGATTGGAATGGCCTTTCCCTTAACACAAACCACATCAACCCATTTACACAAGAATTTCTTGTGAACCTTTGCATAGACATTCTCACTGATCATTATTGAGGAACCATACATGGAATTGAGAGATTCGAGACGGGATGTTGTGTTGACTGTATCACCCAGACAAGTATAATTCATTCGGTCAACAGACCCAATATTACCTATGAAACATTCTCCTGTATGAAGTCCTATTCTTATTTTCATATTAAAATTGTCAAAGGTTCCAGCATTCTTGTTAACACATATTAATCTCAACTTTTCCTTCCACTTGTTATTGAATGGAACTAGGCCCTCCTGACAAGCAAAGGCACTTTCAACAGCAGCTAATTCATGATCTCTTATAGGAACAGGATCATTCCAAAAGGCCATAATTGAATCCCCAATAAATTTATCTACAGTTCCTTGGGTTTTCATGATAATATCTGTCTGTTGAGTGAAAAAGTCACACATTAGCTCTACAAGTGTATCAGGCGACATTTTCTCAGTCATGTTTGTAAAACTTGCAATATCAGAAAAGTAGAGTGTGACAGTTTTCCATTGAACACCCAACATGGCTGGTTGTTTTGACTTGACAATAGTGGCAACAATATCATATGGCACATACTTGGAGAAACTATTCAAGCCTTTGCTCATTTGATTGACTGAGGAAATAATGGAACGCACCTCTGAGAATGTAACAGGTACCTTGTCATCGTAACCTGTTTCTATATTCATCTGAGCAAGGTTGTCTACTCGTTTCTTCAATGAATTCAATGGACTTGTAATCAGTGCACTGACACAAATAGATATCATAACGGAAACTAAAACCAATACACACGACACGGCAACTACTGTGTAGCTTGTTTCTTGAAATAGTGAAATATAACTACGTCTTGATGTTGAGTGGATAAGTAGCCAGTCTAATCCATTTTCAGTAATTGGCTCCACAGATACAAAATGAGCCTCACCACTAGAATCAACCAGGTAAATATTATTCGGAATGTTTGTCACATTAAGAGTGCCATTGATGCCATAATCTGTAAAAAGTTTTGTTGCAATTGAGGAGATGACAGTGTCATTTGCATTCTGTGCGAGAAGTAATGTCTGAGAACCTGACGAGTAGACCTGTTTCTGCTCTATTCCTTTACTAGATCCTAAAAGAGCTCCATCTTGTCTGATAACAAAAACTCTGTGATGATCCTCCTTGGCATATTCAGAATATAATTTCGTAGATAATTCAGAAAGTGAAAATATTACTGTCAAAACTCCTGTAAATTTGTTGTTGATATAGTAAGGGATAGAACAACCAATAGCCCATTTACCTGTAATAGTAATCTGGAAAATACTTGACCATACTGCAGTGTTGGAAGCATCTAATCCTTTGGCCATTCTCTGTTCATCTATTGCTTTTAACTCATTCACACTAGAAAGAAGAACACCAAATCTACTTGATGATAATGGCATATTTCCTTCATAATATTGAATTTTTCCATTAGTCATCCTCCAAAAGTGCAACTTGTTTGTATTGTTATTTACAATGTACCTTTCTACTAATGAACCAGTTGGTGAATAGCTAACGTCAACCCCAGAATAATTTCCGTATAAATCTACAGAAAACATTTGATAAAACATTTCAGATTGAGCCACAGTATCTCTGAATAATTTCCTTAACATAGATTGATATCTTTCATTGGTTAGTGTATCTGTCAAGGAGAGGTTGGGCTCCAATTGAGTGAGTACAACTCTTGCCAAGTTTAACACACTCGGAGCATAGTTGACCACTGAGGTCATCCAATTAGTTTTCATAAGATCCACTAGCTCTGAATTTGAATCAAATGCAATAGTATTAACTACTTGATACTCAGTGGTTAAATACCCTGCGAGCCAAACTGAAATTCCAGTCACTACCACAACAGAAAGAAATACAATGAAAAGTACTATTTTGATGCTACAAACATAGTCGAAGCATTTTCTCTTGAAAACTTCCTTTTCTTCTCCAATGGATTCACTAACAAATGGCTCGGAAACAGATCTATTGGTAGAAACAACACTATTTCTATGATTATTTACAGTTCTTATGGATCTGGGTTGATCCTCACTACCTCTGTGGGCCATGTTTCTGTTGATATGATTGACTGTACCAAAAGAAAGTTGTAATGATTGAGGTCTATTAACAGAATTCCCATTTCTTTTTTTGTTGACTTGACGATTTGGAACCTTCTTTAAAACCTGTACCATAGTTGATGCAGAAGGAAGATCATCAACGATAATTTCGTTCTCCTCTTTAAAAGAAACTTGAACATTGTTCGCAGTAAGAGGTTCTGACCCTATTTCTTCTCTTGGAGTTCCAGGAGAGACCGCCACAATTGGGGAATTGGTTAAATTTAGTGCCTCTGACTTTTGTACTGGTTGAGAAGAAGATCTTCTTCTATTAGGATCATATTTTGTGGGTGGAAATGCAAATGACATGTTTACATCTTCCTCTCCGTCATGTTCCTCCATAGACTTAATTTTCTTTCCCAATTGTTTCTGAATAGTAAGAGGATCTACAACCAAATTATTTCTTGATGGTGAGGGAATGAGTTTTGGAGCTCTTGGTTGATCTCCTTCTTGACTTTGGCTCTGCCAACTTCCTACAAGCTGTTTTCTTCTAGAAGAATTAGCTCTAAACCTGTCATCACCATCGTCTTGTAAGTCGTCGCTCAACTCTCCTTGTTTAAAGAGCTCTACTATTGATTTTGCAGAGCCCATCATACTGGATTTCCTTGAAATTCCACTAGTGTTTGACAAGGAGTTTTCATTGCCAAGAGATTTTCCAAAATATGAATTAACTGGAAGAGAATGAGTAATTCTTTCGGATGTGTCTGGTGTTGCTAAATGTATTGGATTGGTAGAATTAAAAGAAGGAGTAAATGAAGTACCAGTTGAGTGAACATCTGTCATTAGAGAATTGGGAGTGCTACAAGAAGGAATGTGTTCCTCTACTAAGGCATTCAAATTAATATTTGTAATGGCCTCATCAGGATTAATATTCTCTGCAAATGAAAATTCATTCTTGAAATTATCCATCTCCTCATGTACCTCTTGATGATCATCTTGAATGGTAGAGACAGTCAGTATACTATCGAATTGTTGTTTCTCTACCTCATCATGAATATTAGTTTCATTCGAATGTTCATTCTCAAGACTCTTCAATTCCGATGATAGAGTGGTATTATTATTACTATTTTCTAAATTAATACTATTACTACTAGTAGTCTCCACAATCGAAACATTTACATCTTGCTCATCACCATCACAAACATCTTCAAATCTAGTTTTCTTTTTTATCAAATCATTCAATTCAACCTTGACCGTCGGAGGAGTACTATGAAGAATACTTTTCAATTCACGATGACTCGATTCTTGTTGTTCTCGTTCTTGTCCTTGTCCTTCCACAACAGCTTTACCGAGTGTCCTACCTCGAACATTGTTTTGTTGTTGATTTAAACTTGGTGCTTTTGATTCATTTTTTGCTTCTCTTGCAAAAAGATTTCGCGCCAAAGAAACGGAAACTGTTGGCGGCTGATTAAGTTTTGCTGATAATTCATTTTCGAATAATTCTTGTTGTTGGTGTGCTGAAGGTGATTGTGGTGGTGATTGAGGCTGGGAAGAAATGATGGTGGGTTGATTTCCTCGGAAGCTTCCATTCTTGGGTGAGTTGTTTCTAGAGCTCGAATTACTACCACTTGAATTGTTGTTGGTCATTGAGGTTATTCTATTGAGTTGGAGTTGTTTCTTAGGTGATGTAGGCGGTATTGATGATGATTGGCCTGAGGAGTTTGTTGTTTGTTGATTGGAAATTATACTGGGAGAGCTAGTGTTATTGTTGTAGGATCGCCTACCATCACTAGGTGTTCGTGTATTTCGATTATTCTTCATCATTGGCAATCAAGTATAATGAAAGGAGTTTGGGATTCTTGGCTCAATGATAAAGTTCTCTCTTTTTTTCTGTACAACTTGAAGGATGACATTAAGAGTTTGAAAGCAATCTAGCGTTGTACAATAAAAACTCACTACATCTCATAATTTTCAACAACCTTTTTTATCCTTACTTGGGAGAGATCTGTAAACCTGAAAATTTCTTACAAGGAAAGTGCGAAAGTAATTTATTCTTGTGGTTTTGGAGTTGTGTTGGCTGGTTGAGCAACTCTAGGTTTTGGGAATCCAGTTATTTCGTAAAGTTTTTCGACTGATGGTTTAACGATGGCAGCTCCTTCTAACCATGGAGTACCACATAAAATATCCAGAACAGCATCTAATTGTTCATCGGTCATAACCATGTCACCACAAACTTGCAAAGCTCCATATAATTGATTGGCAGCATATTCACGAACCTTTGGGAACTTGCTTAATAAACAAGAGGTAAAGAGTCTTTGGAAGGCCTTTTCTCTTGTTGGATTACTGTACTTGATCAATTCACAGAATAAATCGACTGCAAGCATAATCTTTTGAACATTCTTACATGTTCCAACAATTTCCTTGGTTGTAGCAACGATGAGCTTTTCAGTGTAATCATATTGAGGAGGTTGGAATCTTTCAAATACACCATGACCAATGAGAAGAGCGTAAGATTTGAGTAATGGAACAATCACTCTATCGTCCAAAGCATATTGTACTCCAATTTCAAGCATTACTGTCAAGATCTTCTCTGACATATCGTCACTGGTTTTCAAATAATCAATCAAGGCTGTAGTACTATGTTTGAAAACATGGCTAGACATACCACCCATACTAACAACAAGTCCACTCAACAAGCTATATCTATAAATTTCCAAAGGAAGAAGTTTGACGAAAATAGGGAATGATTTTTCAGCAGAAGACCAATCAACCAAGCTTCCATCATCACTGCTATGAATTATTTGGGAAATTTCTTCTCTCAATGGAATATTCTTAGAATGTTCATTTGCAAGAATACGAACAATAGATCTACATGCATTATCTCTTACTCTATCTATTTTTTCTACAGCTTGCTTTAAGAGTGAACACATCAATGAGGTGGCCATTTCTACAGTAAATAATGGAGTTGGTGAGACGAGAGTGAACCATCTTTCCAAAGAGGCCATAGAAGCCTCTCTTACCCATGAACCAACATCACCTCTCTTGTCGACAGCATAATCGTTTGTTCCCTTAATAAGAGCATCGAATATCTTGCTTGCATTTTGTTCAGTGACTCCATTTTCGCACAAACCAATATTTTCAGAAAGTGAAATAATACCATAAATTGCATTTCTACGAGCATCAGCATCTTGAAGATCAATATCTTGCTCCAATTCAAGTTTGCTAATAAGCACATCAATAGCTTGATTGAAGTAATTTTGCATGATTTGTTTTGGTAAAACTCCCAAAGCAAGTGCAAGTCCTCTTCTTGTTGCTGGATTGATATCTGTATTAAGTTGATGAATGTACTTTTTGGCAACCTCTTCTCCAAATTCAGGACTGGTATGATAATATTCGTGAGAGAAGGACTTGAGTGAGGCCACTGCCATTTCAATAATTTCATTATTAGGATGTTTCAAGTTTTCATCAATGGTTTCTTGGAAAATGGTCAAAGACTTCTTCTTCAATTGTCTATTACCAACAGAAGAAGCTACAGTCATGGTGGCTGGAAGAGTAACATGACTCAAAGCCATACATTCAATAAATCTAGAGACGGCTTCTCTCATAATTTCACCTCCTTTACCTCTGTACAATCTCTTGGCTTCAATGTTTGGAACAATATTTCTGAGCTTATCTTGCAAATCTTCGTCAAAGGTTACGCCCAAATTGGTGAGAGCAAGGATTACCTCAGCCAATGCAAATAAACTACCATGTCTTGCATTCAAATCTGTTTCGACACATCTATCAATCAACTTTGGAATGATTGATTCTTGAATGAATTTAGCATCCCTATCACAGAGTTTGGCCAATGTTCTTGAGGCAAGTTCTCTGATTGACTTTTCCCAGTGAGTTACCTTTGAGTCAACCAAATATGAAATCAATGATTGACAATATTCTGGATATTGAGCAATATAGTAACTGATAGAGAGGTAAGAGTTATTTCTATTACACAATGAGAAATAGTCAGCAACTGTAATAATGTCAATACCGTGAGGGAAGCTTCCTTGTCTACCAACATTTTCTTGGAAAGCAGCAGCGGCAGCTCTTCTACAGTTAACTTCTCTGTCATAGACGGCAATCTTGACAAGTCCTTGAGAGAGATTGTTCATGTAAGGTTTGATAATTTCTGGAGCATAAGCTCTAGCAAAAGCCCAACAAACATAACAGGCAGCATCTCTTACATGAGCACCAACACTGTGAGTTCCCTTTCTGACATCATAAATGAGAGCTTGTTCAAGCAATGGAATTACTTGTTGTAATCTTTCTGGGAGAAGAAGGCCTCTTCTAGCAAGTTCAGCAAGAGCCAAAGAAGCACCATGCCAAGAACTATCATCCTCATTTGCATTCATCAATTCACAAACTGATTCTACAATTTGATCACCAAGGTATTTTGGAAGTCTCAGAGTCACTCTACCAACACCCTTAGCAGCACTCCATCTTACGATTGTATCCTTATCTCTGAGGCCATTAATTAATTGTGAGATGATTTGCTCAACTTCTTCATTGATTTCAATATCTTCATCATCTTCCATTTCGTTGGAAGAGTTTGATTGAGATGTTTGTTTTTTCAAGTGCATTAATGTGAGTCTTGTTGTGTGATATCTCCATGCTACAACTCTTGGTTTAAGATGAGTCAAGCCAATTCTTTGAATGAGTTTCATGTTCAAGTGTCTGAGCATTGTATTGTTATTATCAGTCTCTGCTGTAACATTTGCCCAAATAAGTGGAATAATATCTAACAATTCATCTCTCTTACCAATCTTGAAAATCATGACAATTGTACGCATGATACCAGCTCTCTAAAATTCAATTATTAGAAAAATGAAAATCTCATAAACATACCAAAAATGTAGTTGTCTTTGGTCCTGAAATAGTTTCAATTCCCCATTTAATAAACTCTGGTAATTTTTCCTTAGCCATATCTGGTCTAGTTAATAATCTAGAAATTAATAAACATGATGAATCTCTTGTTTTACCTGGTTCTGATAATTGAAGTTTACATTCTTCCAACATGTTAACTGGTAATTGACCAGATGGATCAACAACAGTAAGGTCGAATGGATTAATAACAATCATACTAAGCCAAAGCATTAAAATATACTTAGTTTCCCATTCAGATGATAACACATTCTTGTATAATTCAAAGAGTGGTTCCAAATCAACAATTTCATGAGGGAATAATTTAGCTAAAATTAAGTGTTAAAAAACTCTCATCGGAAATGAAATCGATAACTTACTGACAACTTTGTGACCTCTCACTTTAGTCAAGGTACAAATGGTTTGGAATAAACAAATTCTAACTAGTCTTTCTTGCATACAATCAACAAAAGTCATCTTTTGTTCATTCAAACCAATAACCTTTCTAGAAATTCTCATCAATTCGGAAACGATATTTGTCAAGTGTGGATCTAATAATTGACTTTGTTCCATATATTTAGAAAGCTATATTGAAAATAACAATCAACATCATCATTCTATGAAATCATGTACTTACAATTTTGAGAATTGAATGGGAAGTTTGTTGAATGGTATCAAAACATTCTGGCTGTTCAAATTTTCTTATCAGTTCCGAAACTTCCTTGTGTTCATTGAAGAATGATTGATAACAGGAATCTTCTTGTTCCTCTTGGTTATCCACTTGCATTGGATCACTCATGGTATCGATTTCCATCTTTTGAGTTTGTGAGGTTGAGTTTGTAGTTAGCTTTTTTTTGTATTGTGTTTTTTGTATTAAACAGTTTGGTGCAAGATTTGACATTCTTTTGGCGGGAAGAGATGTATTACAGTGAATTGAGAACACTGTGAATTTTTCAACTGTTGTTGCTAGAGAAGATGATAATATTTGAAATTGCTATCTTCCTTGTAATTTCATGAAATGACAAAGTAGTGAAGCTAAAAGTGATGGCTTGCTGCTGTTGTATCATCACATCAAATAAATAATAAAATTAAATAAAAAATGACTGATTACATACTCAACGGATTCCCAGATAGTTACGAAAACCCAAGAAAGATTCCAAAAGCCGATTTTATTGTACGTATAACCTCTTGATGTTTAGTGCTGACTTGATGATCTGTTGTTTTTGGAAATTTGTATGTGTGTGGATGATAATACAAAAATGTTGGACTGTTGTATGATGTGATTTTTCTTGGACCTTCAACATTTTTATAACAACAATAATAACAACAAAACATATTCAATTTAAATAGGAAGACGTAGAAGTCCTCGTTTCTAAAAAGGGTTCCGATGTTCAAGAAATTGTTCAACAAATCTATAGAGAACTTCATCAAAAACATCAAAATTATCAATATTTCGAATTGCGTTTGCATGAATCTCGTGAACAATTAAAGACCAAGATTCCAGAAATTAAAAAGACTGTTGAATCTGTCAAATTCTTGAAGAAGGCCTTTGATGGTGATGAAGATTCCGAACCACAAGACAAGATTGAAACTCACTTTAAGCTCGATGAAACAATCTTTGCTGAAGCTGTCATTCCAAAAACCGATCGTGTTGCTTTGTGGTTAGGTTGTGATATCATGGTTGAATATTCTTTGGCCGAAGCTTTGGAATTGTTGAATAAGAATTATGAATTGGCCGAACAAAAATTGAAGGAAATCAATGAAGATCTTGCCTATCTTAAGGATCAAAAGACTACGACGGAAGTTAACATGAGCAGAGTTCACAACTTTGGTATCAAGAAGAAGAATGAAAAGAAATAAATTATTTTAACTTATTTGAAATGTATTGTGATGGTAACAAAACAATTTATGATCCTTCTAACAAGAAGAAACTTTCATTTTAATATATAAATTTACAACTCCAATGAAACAAATTGTTCTTGGAACTAAAAACGAGTAAGGCAAGTATCATTGATTGCCAAACATTCACTCTTTAGTCATTATTCCATTTAGTTCACTTTCTCTTCTTTAGTTTGGCATAAGTTCCCAGTTTTGTTTCATCCTCTTCATCAACATGTTTGCTTGTTCTTTTTTTCAAATTAGTGCAATTTTCAGATTTGCAATTTTCACAATGTATTTGTTTTTTTGCACAAGCACATTTTGTGGTACATGAACCAGTTCTACATCTGCAACAGGATTTAGGTGACTTTGAAGATTTTGGAGTATTTTCCACCGTTTCAATTGAATCATCTTCAGAATACTCGCCAAGTGTTTCTTGTTCCACTTTTGTCGAGTCTACAAGTGGTATATCATCTGAGGAAATGAATAATGCAGAAAAGTCTGTTTTATCAACTGTGTCAGTAACTTCAAGTAATGTTAAACATTCTCTTGCTGTCAATCTTTCACTTCTTTTGTGTTCTTAACCATGTTAAATATTGTTTTACCCTTTTCATTGAACTGTTCCATGCATGCAATCTGAAAATTGCTCCAAAGCTCTTGAATTGCTTTCTCATCTTTCCAAATGCGCTGATTACACTCTTTTTCAAGAATGATTTCAATGAAAGCAAGCCCAAGTGAATAAATATCTGTTTTAGGATGAATAAAGTGATCTCCGTCTTTTCGTTTCTCTGGTTCATTATATCTGGGTGTTCCTGAAGTTGAGGTAACTTTTGAAAAATCACCCTCTTCATAGCTAAATCTCATTTCCAATTCAAAATCAATAAATTTACATAGAAATGTTGGTTTTGTATGCAACTGTTTATCAGTAGGTCTTTCTATTGTAATGATATTACTTGGCTTAATATCATTATGTATTCTTTTTTGTTGGTGAATACTTTCAATTTCCAATAACAATTGAGTCATGATATGTATCTTCTCAATAGATAATCTTTTTTTAATACAAGATAATTCATCTCCTTCCACTGATATTTCTAAATGTTCCTTTCGTAGCGACCCATTATGCCAAAAACAATCAATAGGAAGAAAGATATTATAGTGTGGATTCATGGACAGCGAATCATAGAAAATCTTGACAATTACTGGCAGACCAGAATGATTAATCCTTCCTTGAAAGATATCCTTATCATGGGGAGTGCTTCTCTCAAACAAATATCTCGTTAAAGTAACATTTGTTTCTTGTGTTGAGTAGAGTGAAACAACCAACTCATCATTCTCATTGAATTTAGATGAATTGATTTGTGAGCTTTTCATTCTTTGTCTTCCTACTGATTGTTTTGTTATGTCTTGAATTAATTTGTTTTCTTGTTGGATTGTTTCTCTACATGCTTCCAAAAAGAACGATACTAAAATGGCATACTCTGGTTTCTTTGGTTCAAGAGAAAACAGACCAACATTGAATAATTGATATCTGTCATTGAAATGTTCAGGTACTGCTCGGATTCCAATAACACGAACTGAGCTTTTTTCTGTCAATAATCCATATGTCACTATTTTTTGGATTTTGCTGGCATTTTCTTGTGATGGCTTCATATTTTGTAGTATTGTTGAGTGAAATAACCTAATAATTGCAACAACCTTCAATAAATCAGGATGAGCCTTGTTCCTTTCAAACTTATCTTCTTGACCAAATTTAACTCTAATGGTAGGCAGGGATTCATTTTTCATCTCAAAACCAGATAAGTTGTCAGGTTTGATAGCACTACCCAGAAGGGTAATAACTTCGGCAGGTAAAGATGTTTTTGTAGTGTCATTGGCCATTTCACCAATTGAAATATTTCTTTTTTTGCTTACCAATGAGATAATCAGCTTACTAATACCTACGCATCCAGTTTAAAGTCATACAGTGCTGATAGTTGCAGTAATTTACGATATGTCGTGTTGGTGTGAAACATTTCACTCCCTTTTCCTAAAGGTTCTATCTTTGTTGGACTGAAACAATCAAGCAAAAGGTTAAAAGCAGCACTCTTGTTTGTAAACGAGAACTCCTTATCTGCTTTGACAAATTTCTCCATCATATCTCTTGATAGCTCGTTATAATCGGTCATGAATGAAGAATCAGAAAAAGAAATGGTATCCATGTGTTTTGACATTGCCTCAATAGAGGTTCTCAAATCCATTACACAATCGACCTTTTGTTGTGCAGACAGCAAATCATTAATACCACCAGTTTCCACATTATCTACCCATTCTACATTCAATAAATTCTGGGCAATGGAAATTTTTTGATTGAATTCTTTCGTTCCTTCTGGCCAGACATCGTCCCGAATGAATAAACCTCTTTCATTGTGTCGACATGTTAGCATTTCATCGAACGATGTCATTTTTTAAAGTTTGAAGAAAACAGATTTTAAAATTACGCTGCTTAAAATGTTTTCTTACAGTTTCTAGCTATTTTTTAATTTCATCAAATAATATACCAATTCTTCTATATTCGATAATAATGAAGAATAAACCTATCACCTCATTCACGAATACTCTGATTAGCAAGGAGGTGGAAAGTGAAAACTCAGATTAGAAGCTTACAGTTTTCACTTACTGTGGCATAAGTTTTTTGAAGTTTATTTTTAAAAATTGGAGGGAAAACACTTCATTGTAAAATATAAAATATAAAAGACAACCTAAAAATTTTTAAAAATTGTTTCAAAAAAAAAGACATGTCCATTCAACGCCCAACTGTTTCAGTCTTCAATGCTAAGACTGGTGAAGTCACCAAGGAAGTCGCTCTCCCAGACGTTTTCCAAGCTCCAATCAGACCAGACATTGTTTCCAACATTGCTAACATCTTGAGAATGAACTTGAGACAACCATACGGAGTCCACAAGTATGCTGGTCACCAACACTCTGCTATCTCATGGGGTACTGGTCGTGCTGTTTCCAGAATTCCTAGAGTTTCTGGTGGTGGTACTCACAGAGCCGGACAAGGTGCTTTCGGTAACATGTGTAGAAAGGGTAGAATGTTCTCCCCAACTAGAACTTGGAGAGTCTGGATGCACGTTGTTAAGAAGAACGAAAGAAGATATGCTACTGCTTCCGCTATTGCTGCTTCCTCTATCACTCCTTTGGTTCAAGCTAGAGGTCACAAGGTTGAACAAGTTAAACAACTCCCACTCGTTGTTTCTGATGATTTGCAATTCGTCCAAAAGACTAAGGAAGTTGTTGCTTTCTTGAAGAAGCACGGTTTGTTGTCTGATGCTAAGAAGGCTAAGGACTCCAAGACTTTGAGAAAGGGTAGAGGTAAGATGAGAAATAGAAGATATACATTGAAGAAGGGTCCATTGGTTGTCTACAATGCTAAGCCAGGTACTCAAACTCCACCAATCGTTTTGGCTGTCAGAAACCTCCCAGGTGTTGATGTCTTGAATGTTCATCAATTGAACTTGTTGAAGTTGGCCCCTGGTGGTCACCCAGGTAGATTGATTGTCTGGACTGAATCCGCTTTCACTGCTTTGAACGAAAAGTTCGGTTCCATCAATAACGAAAAGGGAGCTGCTACTACCCACTTCAGATCTGGTGCTACTTATCATTTGCCAAGACCAGTCGCTGTCAACACTGATTCCTCAAGAATCATTGAATCAGATGCTGTTCAAGCTGCTTTGAAGCCAAAGAAGGTTGTTCAAAGATATGCTATCAAGAAGCAAAGCAGAAGCAACCCATTGTCCAACTTCAAGTTCTTGGTTAGACTCAACCCATACGCTTTGAAGGCCAGAAGACTCCAACTCTTGAGAGAAAGACGTGCTGCTCAAAAGAAATAAATTAACTTGACAATTTTGTAACTTATTTTAAAATCAAATTATTTTCTTATTTTTGCTCAACATTATCTTTGGGAGCTTTCGAATTATTTCACCAATGTTATCATTACAAAGATCAGTGTTAAAATCAAAGAAAAAATGTCTCACCAGGAAGAGGACAATTCTGCAAAGAAACGCTCCAATGATGACATGGATAGTACAACTACGAATAGTAATGCTCTTGCTAGACCAAAGAAAAAAGTGAAACTCTGTATTGAAGTTTACGAAAAGCAGAGTGACCATCCTCTTTTTAAATTGCCCAATGAATTGTACATGCAAATATTTTCATATTTGGTTGGTGATCCGATGCGTAAAGTGGATATTTCTTCAATAGAGGTGAATCAAGTTTGTCGTCCCGATAATTATCCTCTTCACCAACAAGTTCTTGCACTGATTCCTCCCTTTGAAAATTTGAAAACCATTACTAGATTAAATCTTGTCTGTAAGGACTTTAATATGATGATTAGGGGAGGTATTCCACCAGATGATAGGTTATTAGATAGCAGTGAAAATGAGAATGAAACAAATGAAGAGGAAACGAATGAACCTGAGGAACCTAATGAGTTTATAATGAAGGATTTTGAAAGATTTTGGTTACGTGGATTCAATTACTATTTCAAGCTACTTTATTGGATTAGAACAAGAAAGTTGGAAAGTATTACAATGGCTTATGGAGACATGACACAGAAAGACTATATCGAAAATGCCAAAGCTCAGAATGTCATTCTTCATTATGAGAGAGGGAAATGTGCGACATCGTTCGAGGATGCTTTTGATTATGATCAGTTTACAGGAGATATTGATATGGATGCGAGTGATGAGGAAGAGGTGAGAGAAAACGAATCATCCTCTGAAGTTCACTCAAATTCAACTGAAAATAAGGAAGAAGAAAATAAGGAAGCTGCTGAACTTTACAATAAGATTTTCAAATCAAGAAAACCAAAGTATAACGATCCACAACAAAGTAAGGAGCAGATTTTAAAGAGATTAAAGCAGTTGGAAATTGACTGGCAGTCTTACGTTAAGTATTTTAGACAAGATGATACGAGTTTTGAGTTGTGTTTAGATGTAATGCTTATGATATCTCTTCACATGTTTGATACTTTTGTAAGTTTATTGAAATTAATGATTCAGTTTATTGATACAGATTCTAATTTTACTGTATAATTATAGGACTCTGATAATACTGATATGTATGATGCAGGATCTGGAGTTCCCATTCAAAGAAAATATTTGAATTCTTGGGTTTCAGGAAGTGCAAGAAAAGTTTCAAAAATAGAGTTGGATAATATAGATGATAATCAGAAATTGGGTCTTTCAATTACGAATAATGGAGGATTTGCACAATTTTTAACAAACTCAAATGAGGATTTGAGTTCTGAAAAAATCATGAATTTGAGCATTTCAGATGTGAATATGGATAGTGTCATGAATCATTTGCACAAGGCAATATTTTTAAACTTGGAAAATGTGCTACTATTCAAACCATTGGAAAACTTTGAATTTCCTCTAAATATCAAATTTCTAAGTATTGATATCAACTCGGGGCATTCCTATAAAAACTATCCTGCAGAGGTATTTAAAGACATGTTAAAAGGGATACGCTTTCCTGGAGTGAGATATTTGCGAGTGAGATTTGAAGAAAGTGAATTTCATTGTAGTGAGGTAGATTTTAGTAGCCTTAAAAACAAAATTCTCCATTTTGCCACCAATTATGAGATATTCCCGAATCTCAGGTATCTTACACTGAATGGAATTGCATTAGAGGAACCAACTGATAATGATGACGATGACGATATGGATCTTGATTTTTTGGAACAATTGATTGGATTTGAGGTTTCATTTGACAATGATTCTAGAGAACACAAACATTGGAACGAATTTAGAAAGGTAACCATGCCACTTTCCAAGAAATCCAAGTACCTCAGACATGTCATTCTGGAAACAAATGTTGATTCAAGGAGTTATCTAAATTTATCCGTATTATTGGAAAAGCTCTATAATAACCACAAGAAACCATTTTCTATTGGTTTTGGTAGTATTTCTCACTTTTATTCCATTTGTGGGGAATAAATGATTATATAATCACGCAACAGCAAAATTTGGGATTTTCCTCTAATTCTTTTGGATTACGAATTGAATTATTCACCTCTATTTGAATTTCTTCTTCCAATATTGGTGTTGGATGTTGAATAAGAAATTCAAATTCCATGTCTTTAAGTTCAGTTGAGCTACACTCAACAGGAAGTTTGAAGGGTGATGTTTCATTTTCCCACATAATATTATAATTCATTCCATTCCAATCATTCAAAATTTCTCTCGTTATTATTGGTTTTGCTATAGGTAGAATACTCGTCGAATTGAGTATTTGTTTTTCGTCTATTGATGCATTCAAATCAGCATCTCTATTAAATGTATTAATGTTGAAAACAGAATCTCGTACTTCATTTTCAACTATTTTCAGCCTATCAAACCACAAATCAAATAATTTTTTACATTCTCCATATAATTTCTCTTCAATCGATGTCACAGATCCTATGAACATGACCTTATACTCTATTAAAACATATATTGATACAATTATACTATATCTGGGTGATAAACATGATGATGACGACCCAAGATGTGATATTTCTTCAATATTCTTAAATGTGAAATATCCTTTCATTGTCAAAGTTCCAGGAAACTTCAACGACTCGCTCTCTATCAAACTAATCTCAAAATCAATTCTAATCGTCTCTATAGTATCCACAATTTGAAACGTCAGACATTCTTCCATCATGGCACAATACTGCTGATTCAACAATTTAATTTTACTCCTCCGAAACAATTTATGATCTTCGTCAATATCTATCAATTTTTGTGTTGTTGATGATGATGCTGCAACTCGTGGTGTCCTTCCACCTCCAGCACCAACACCAACACCATTATCATTGTTCCGATAATAATTTTCTACAATTTTAATTCCCAATATTTCTCCTTCCTTTTCCTTCATCAAATCATTCTCCTTATTATTATTATCCTTGTTATACAATATCCAATCATTGATCAATTCGGCATGATTTACTCGTTTATATAATTTAAGAAAATTCAAATGAAACTCTTCCGAAGCTAAAATAACTTTTAATAAGAGTTGTTGAGCAGAGAGTTTGAAAAGGTGTTCATTCACCAATTCTTTCATTTTTTTTGAAAATGAAATTTTTGATATCCAACAAGAGAATCAACACGATTTTCTAGATTGGAAATATGAAAGATGTTAGGAAATTACCATTTTTGGAAAAATATTAACTAACTTTAAAAATTGGACTAATCTGTTAGTGAACTGTGTAATTTTATTGTCAATTAAAATACTGGTTGCTTATTTAATGAAGTAAAGTTGCATAGTTAATAACAATTGATGGTGAAAAATGATATTCGAAACTTATTTGCACTCCACCGAACGATGAGCATTCATTATCTTATATTCAAATCTCTTTACATCATCAAAAGCTTGTTTCAACTTGTTGTAATTTTCACAATATCCATTTTCTAAATCAGAACAATTCGAGATCTCGAATTCGTCAGAGGAATTCGACTTTCTCAATTTGTAACGTGTAATGTTTTTGGGCATCTTTTTAAACACTGGGGAACGGTATGATGAACTTTTTATGTTTTCCTTCCTGGTGTGCTCATAGTAATTTGCAAATATTTGATCATTGATTTTCATTTCCTGATAAAGTAATTTGTTGATTGTAAACAAGTTAGGAATTTGATCGAGTGGGAGAAATGACATGGTGTAAACTTGTACTTCTATTGGGACTTGGTTATAGAACTTGGCTAATGAACATTGCAAGTTAGATTGCTTAAGAGTGGATGATGCCGAACGAGATGGTTCCTTTCTATGTGAGTTTCCCATTTTTTATTAGAAACTTAACGAATTAATTATTTATTATTAGAAAACGTGATATTAATTAATTTACAAATCATTTCTACTTTGATTTTCACAAGTACACTGTCCATCACATTCTCGATCATTGTTGTGAGATTTACGAATCAAAGACCATTCACGTTGATATAAAAAACATGATCAATATCTTGTGAATAATTCTTTTTGGCAATTGATCTACCTTAATATTTTTCCCTTTATATTTGTTGCTACATTTAAATTCGAATATGGAATACAAAGTTTCTAAAATAAAAATTAATTGGAATGGAAAATTTGATGAGAGTGGGATTTGAACCCACGCCCTTGCGGAACACGGTATTAATAATACCTTAACGTGTCGTCTTAGACCACTCGACCATCTCACCATTGAAAAATCGAGTTTTTACTAATATAATATTTTTTGCTTAGCATTGAACTTGGAATATTCAATTTTGAAATAATAATAAAAATAAAATTAAAGTTCATTAAGTTCAAAAAAATGGTCGTTATTCATCTTATTGATTTTATTGATGACAAAGTAATAACCGAATCAATCACTACTTCCTATAATTCAAATCAAGAAGAATATAAATATTTAATTAATTTATTAAAACATTCAATAACCCGAAAATTATTAGAACCTTTTTCATTGAATTTTGAAAAGATTGAATTGAATGGAATGTCCCTAGGTACTTCATCCTATGATATAGTTATATCACCCTTCTACGATAAATTAATTGTAAATCATAAAAATTTATTACAAGTTTACAATATATCTTACAATAGATCAAAAAGAAAAGAAATTAACTTGTCAATGTATTCACAAATAACACACAAGGATGGTGCACACTTTAGGGTCATGAAATTAATGAATGAAAGTGGGGTTGAATATATTTATGCTAGTGATAATAGAAATTGTGTTACAAAATGCCAAGTTTCAGATTTGATAAACGAAGGAAAACATAACATAATTTGGAAATCTGAAGAATATAGGAATATGTGGGGATTAACAGTATTTAATGGAAAGGTATATGCCCTAGATTATGATAATGGTATTAAAGTGCTTGATTGTAAAAGTGGTAAAACACTTTACAGTGAAGAAATACTTCCAACCATTGAAAACGGATATGGAATTCATTTCTATTCTGAAAATGAACTTTTAATTGGGCATTCAAAGAAATTGGAATTATTTAAAAAGAATGATAATTCTTGGATTTCAGTGAAATGTTCATCGTTTACAATGCTAGACTGTTATTCTATTTTCATTGAGAATTTATCTGATTTGATTTATGTTTCTGATAGCTCTGCAAACAAGATACATGTTGTAAGGAGGAATGATTTGTCACTTGTGAAATCACACGATGGGTTTCAGTCTCAATTTGGAATGTTAATAGATGACAGGAATGGATTATTATATGTATGTGATACATTTGCTCATCAAATACGCGTTTTTAAATAAAATCACATGACCATTTTCAACTGAATAATTGAGTGAATTGGTGAAATTCTTTTGCTATTGTCCTCATTTTCATCTCTTGTTAATCGAAAAGAAAATTAAGCAAAAATGTAATTTTTCAAAAATCAAAAATTTAAAAAAAAACAAAAAAATTTCAACCGTTATTCCAATTCATCATCGGAATTTCACATTTTAAATATCAACAATATTCATCAAAATATTAATAATAATAATACAAACAATTAAAAATCAATAATAATAATAATAATACTAACTGAACATCATAATGGAAGATCGACCAGTTCATCTCAATGTCGGAGGTAAAATAATAACAGTTTCATTATTGGATTTAACCAACACGGAGAGGGAACCAAATAATTTATTTATTAGAATGTTTAGAGGAGAACTACCATTGTATGAAACAGCCTCTCCTCTCTTCTCTGATAAAGTCTATTTTATAAATTGTGATCATAAACCATTCCGACATGTTTTGAAATGGTTAAGGTATGGAAGAATAGATCAACAAATGGTGGAATTAAAGGCTGATTTGTTGGATATATGTAAACAATATAGATTGGAAAAGTTGGAAAAATCAATTTCTCAAATTAATGTAAATGATTGCATCTATGATCTTTCATTCGGTCTGGGTGTTAGTAGTACAATTATACAATTTAAGGAAGTTATGGATTTGTTTAAGAGAGCACTAGGATGTGAAACTCCTCCAAAATTACTTTATAGAGCTTCAAATGATGGATTTACGGCTCAATCATTTCATCAAAAGTGTGATCATCAAGGTAAAACTGTGACCATAGTAAGGTCAGAGTATGGAAATATTTTCGGTGGTTTCACTTCTCAGGATTGGGAATCACCAAAGCAAGCTAAATTCAAAGCTGATCCAGCAGCTTTTGTATTCAAATTCGAGAGTGATAGTGCTGGAAATTCAAGACTTGAAGTATTCCACATTAGACAAGGAGATCAGAAGGCAATTTATTGTGATGCTTATGATCTTGCTATATTTGGAGGAGGATGTGATTTTTACATTTCCGATAGTTGTAATATCAATTCGGCTTCATATTCAGAGTTTGGAGATAGTTACGAGTTGCCTCTGGGCTATTCATTCGGTTCTGAACAAACTCATGTCTTTTTGGGAGGTAAATTCGATTTTAGAGTTTCTGAAATTGAGGTTTTCAAAATTGATTAAGGTATTCAAAGAAAATAACACTTGTTTATAAAATCAAGGCTAGGTGAAATACTCTTTCAATTACTATTATCTCGTTCCAGTTTTTTGAAAATGAAAGGCAATACCACACCCTCTAAATGGTTTCGTTCTTGGAGAATGTATTGTCTCTGAGAGACGAGGTCAATATTAACTTCCAGGAATTTACCATAAAAGAAGGACCACCCTACAAATGCTCTCACTGGACTAGTAAACACTGATGGTTTAGCATTCTCATTATAATTCAAATAGTGAGAGTTCATGATCAAGAGCTCTGGATAGGGCTTGAAAGATAGGTGGAAATATTCATAAGTCTTTTTGATTTTTGAAAAATCTGCCAAACATGCATCATAGAATGACTCTGCACTATAGAAATATTCTACAATTCCCTTCCAATCCATTGGATATCTGATATTTTCATAAATGGAGGAGGTTTTTTCAATGAGATGAGCCATAGAATTTGTGGTAATTGGAGATTGGAATTGATTGAGCTCGCTCTCATCAGGTAGTGGATAAGTTGGTGAAGGGAAAGGAAAGAGGCTACGATTCAATTCTTCCATCGATATTTCTCTATGTTGTCCATTCTCTCCTTTCGAGAGTAACTGATTGATTTGATTCCACTTTTCATTGCACTCTCTTCTACTCTTCTTGCTGTATTGAGAGCCCTCAATGTGCATAATCTCAAACAATTGCTCGAAACATTTAATACTCTTATTTTCTGCAGCCACAGAAAGCGAATCGTATACATCTCTAAAAGTTTCAAAGTGACAATACTGACTTGCTAGGGCTGCCTTTTCTCTAATACTCTCCTCAATCTTATCCAATTTGGTATTCAAAAGTTTGTGTGTTGATAAAATCTTGTGTTTCCATACGAATGAATGTGTTGCTCCCATATCAAATAGCAAAGCACACGAATGAGTCAAGCTCAACAAGTCCTTCCACTCTAAAAACTCGGAAACCTCAATGAATAAATCTCTGTGAAATATAATTTCAAAAACTGTCTTTTGACAATGTTTGGGCACCAATTTGTGAATTTTTGGTTGATAGGCCACTGGAAGAGTGCTTCCACGTTTTCTAGTTCTGATTTCAGCAAAATTTGTTGATGAGGTCGTTGGAGAAGAAACATCCTCAAATTGTTTTGCAATGGCTCTTCTCTTTGGAGAGGATAAACATCCAGGTCTATAATTATCATCATCGTTATTAGAATCTGAAACAGATTGAAAGAAGAATGGAGCATTATCAGAGAATCTTCTCCCTCCCGTTGGTGAGGTTGCAACATTTAGCATATCAACACAACTCTCTGGGAATATACTGAGAGGAGAAGTGGCTTTGGATTTGTTTTTGGTTGTTGGAGTGTTGAGTTGTCCTTTCCAACTCAAACTCTTACTTTCCTCTAAGGGGTGATGATCTTCATCCATAGAATTGGAAACTTTTATCTGAGGAAATACAGAGGTACAACTATTGGTTTTTGTTTGAATTGCTAGTGGGCTCTTACTAGGAGATGAAGAAGCAAAGGAATCTCTCAATTGTCGAATGGATTTTGGAGAAGCATAGGCTGGTATTGAATTCTTATTATTTTCAATTGATGAGGAAGAATCGATAAAGTTTGGTACATGAATTGATTTCCTTCCAGAACTGCTGGTAGTGGAAGGAGAGGGATATGACTGTTTTTCAATTACCTCCATTGTTGTTTTTGATGATTTATTTACAATTAATTGTGGATCGATATCGGATTGGTGATGAAACTGTAAAATATATACAATATATACAACTATTTTAGCTACTACTTCTATTTAATATATATACAATAATACAAGGAAGAACATTAACTGAATTTTTCAAATGGAATGAAAATAAATTAATGATGAGGGATTGAATTCGTGGCGATGATGATGATGATTAAGGTTGATGGTTTAAATTTGCCACTCCGATTGTTGTTGTTTTTTTCAATGTAAATTGCTGGTTGTTGATTGAGTAAAATGTACAGAGATGAATGACCTCTCTTGAAAGTGATGAGTTTTATGTTATTCTGTTATTGGGTGCGTAATTATAAACTCAAAAAGGACAAAAACTCATGATTGGAAGTACATTCGATGAGTGTTTAGATGTTAGAGTAAATACCAAAACTTAGTCATTGTCAGTCAATGGCTCTTCTTTCAAATTGATATCAATCAATATAGAGGGTTTAATCATTTGAAGTGAACTATATTTATAAATAATGACTTTTGTAAAAATCACTGCGCTTTTGAACAATTTTCAATTCTTTAGGTCGGAAACTTTCATGCAGTTGACTCTTAGTTTGCCATTTAATAGCTCTGGATGCTGCTTGAAGTTCTAGAGTTGCGACATTCTTAGACAGTTGCTCAATTTGTTGAATCTCCTTATCTTCTTCGTCTGTATTATCTGTTGGCTTTCTTTGTCCCTTATTTTTTGTGGCAGCTCCTGACTTGGGACGTTTCTCATTTGCCTGAACTGGCGTTTTTCTCAAATCTTCTTGCTCTTTTTCAATTCTTTCCTTCTTTCTTTTTTCAAAATCTGCTCGTTTATCAATGAGTTGCTTTTGAAGATCGTGTGAGTTGATGAATTCCTCCTCTGATTTCATTTCACATATGAGGTAGAATAAATCTTGGAAGGAAACTTCATTTTGGGCCACAATTTTCCTAAAGAGAGCCAATTTCTTCTTTTCATCTTCTGTGAGTGAGTTTGGTTTTTCCTCTATCAATTTGAACCATTTCTCTGTGAATTTGGTTATTCCCAGAGAGTCCAGCAATGCATTCATTTCTGATGCCTTGATGTTGGTCATCTTTCCTGCTTTGAAAGATGGGTGATTATTCTTAATTAAATTAATAATCAAGCCCCTTTCATTGCCCGTCAACAATAGACCTTCAAAATCTCTATAAACATGGGAAAGACTTTCAAATATTGTATCAATAGAGCTCTTTTCTTTTTCTTCATGCTCTAAGTATTGCTTCACTTTGCTTTCGAGAAGAGTTTTTTCCATTCTGGCTCGTTCTTCGTCCTCCTTCTTTACGTTCATTACAGCTCGTTCTTTCTTAATGTTGTTGGCGTGCTTACATGCTAATTCAGCAGTAGCTCCCATGAATGAAGGTGGTTTGATAGTACTGAGTCTCATTGTCTTGTGTTCCAAAACATGAGAAGGAACAGTTTTTCCAAAGGCAATTTCTCTGCTGAGAGTATTTCGATTCTGCTGATATGTGAGTGCAAGTTCTTCTCTCTCTATGGTAGTAATTTCCACCCTATCAAAAACTTGCAATACTGGAATATCCAAAACCACTCTAGCTCTATATTCATTCTTTGGAAGAGTGTCACAGAGTGGATTCCCAAATAGCGTTAATTGTTTCAAATATCTCATTCCCTTAATACATTCCATAACTTCATCCAAGCTCTTCAGATTATTTTCGTGCAATAACAAAGTCTCCAAGAATTTGAAATTACAAAAATTATTAACATCCAATGACTCGATTCTATTCTGTTGCAAGTAGAGATGTTTCAATCTCATACAACCAGTTTTTACTGGTTTATCAAGTATTGATTTCGATCCCAAGATTGCTCTCTCAACGTTCGGGGATCTATCAAATTTGTAACCTTCTTCAATTTATTTCCATTGAGCCACAACTCCTCCAACATTATTAATCGACTAAAATTAATATGAATTTCGGTCATTCCTCTCTTTCCCAAATGTAATTCCTTCACGTGGCGAAAATCCATTCTACCAATCTCACCCATCGGATCCACTAGAACTGGTGTATTTTCATCCACAATTTCCTTAGCAATCGGAGGCACACCAACCTCCTGTAACCATTCCTCAAGAATCCTTTGATAGATTTTTTCTACTGCCTCCTCCACATTTTTCTTCTTCTCCTCGAGTCTCTTCTTCTCATCCTCAATTTGTTTCTTCGACTTCTTGGGTGTAGTTGGTTTTGGCGGCATTTTTTTAATTTAAAAAATTGTAAATTTTCGTTATTACCGTTACAACACCTTTATTATTTTTGAATTGAATTAAAGATCTGTAATGAATGAGCAGAAAATAAATTCATTAAAGATTTTCATTTACTTGTTCATACAGTTCAACTTGTCACTTCCCTTACTCTTCTTAAGACATGCAAACTTGACATCCAATGATCTCAATAATCCATATAAATTCTTTGGTAATCCTTTGAAATACTTTTTGGAGACGTGGCAAGTTTTAATCTTTTTCAAATTCTTTCTACATTTGGAAAGGGATGCCAGCATTTCATTGGTGTGTTTTTGATACATTTGTTGGAATTGTTTCACCATTTTCTTAAGAGATGAGATTCTATGTTTCATTCGCTTAATTTTGGAATGGAAGCACTTCTTGTTAGTTTTGGCATTTTGGAAAACTGTATATTGTCTTGAAGTTAATTGACTTTTGATTTGTTCAACTCTAGAAATTGCCTTCTTTGATTGCTTAAATTTTTTCTTCAACTTTATCAACTTTTTCTTAACTTGGTGCATCATTTTCCTGAATTTTCTTCCTCCTCTTTGAGCTTTTCTCAATTTCCTATTGATTTTCATCATTGATATTTGGCATGTTTTCTTTACAAGTTTCCTTCTCCATTGATAACAAGGGCTATCTGTAGACGAATTAATTTCCTTAAGAGCAGAGGAGGTAGATTTAGCAACAACACTACTCAAAGTAATGGCACTGCTTGATTCAACTTGTTCAATTGTTGTTTGTATGAACAATAAATACAAGATTATCAATGACAAGCCAACAAGACATTTCCTGTAGGGATTGTATTGATACATTTTTTATAATAATAATTAGCTCTGTAAAATTAATTGATGGGGAGAGATTGATTTATAAATTGTTCTTGGTCATGTATGCCTTGAGTTGTGACAAGAATGCAGGTTGAACATTATTCTCTTCCATAAACTTTACATAACCTTTGAATTTTGGAGTGTTGATAATATCCTTAACTTTCTGACCTTTGAATTTACCAAATGGGAAAATACCCTCGCTATCGAATTTAAAACCCTTAGAAGCACCATCTTCTGAGGTTTCCTTTTTACGAGAGGTAGGTTCTTTCTTGTATTGAGCTGATCCATCATCCATACCAAAGTTATCAAACAATGATGCTTCACTGTCAACAGAGTCAGGTGTCATCATGACAACTGGTTCCTCATCAGCTTCAACTTGTTCTTCAACATCTTGAGGAACTTGTTCTACTACTGCTTCAGCTTGCTTTTTTGGAGTTGTGAACTTGCTCTTTTCAACATATGGATAGGTGAATTCTCTGTCATGTCTTCTGAAGAGTTTCTTGGTTGTCTTTTTAGTGACATGTTCACAGAAAGCTTCAACAACATTCTTAGCTCTCCATGCAATAATAAAGTTTGGATCCCAAAGCTCACTACCAATACCAATATCCTTACAACATCTCATTAAGGCATTTGACTTGGCACCTTCAAGAGAACTTCCAATTGATTTATATCCTTGTTCATCAACAGTTTGCTCTCCAAATGATTGACTCACAAATTGTCCTCTACAGAATAAACCATATTCTTGAAGGATACTTCCTCTCTCAATTTTAAATTCAGAGAGTGGAACTAAACACCATCCTCCAGGGCCGAAAGCCTTGTTCAAAATACGTCTATACTTAATTTCAGGCAAGTACAAAATACCATCAGGCTTAACTTCAATATCTTGATCTGGGAGTGGAGCCATTAAAATTTGGGCAATTTCTTCACTAAAAGGTTGTTTACCAATTCTTTCATAGACTGTTGTACCATTATTTGCTAAATCGGCTCCGACGAGAGAAGTAGTATTCATTGTTTGTTGATCAAATTCTTCACAAACTCTTGCTGATGATGAAAAATTTCTCACCGATGATAACAATCCCGAGGCAATAAATGATTGTGATGATGATTTAAAACATTGTTTAATGCTGCAACAAGTATTCTTCTTGAGCAATGACGAAGTGGTAGCACGAATAGTAGCTTTCATTTTTTTTGATTGAAATTAATTTTATTAGAAGCAATTTTCAATCAGTTTATTCATTTTGTTAATGATTGAATTGTTGGTTTTGTGAAGTGCCTTATTAGTTGTTGGTGGCGAGGCGTTTATCCAATCGAATGGCTGAGTAGGGAGTTGAGTTTAATCTTGTAAAATGACCTTAATGAGAAGGACACTTCAAGAGATTCGAATTTTAAAGAAATTGATTGGTGTGAAAGATGAAAATTGATTGGAAATCTCTCTTATTTCTTATTGTATGGTGCATGTATGCATTGTATCAAAACTAAACACCTATCAAAGATCGATTTACTCTAATCAAAAATTTCACTTTACATTAAAAACAAAACAGTTCCGATAATGGTGTACTTGTTGATAAAACATGTACATGTTTGCATTGAAGGTAATGAAACCATTATCCAAAGTAACATTCAATTTTTTTATCATCCCATTCTCGGAATCATAACACAGGGTTTTTGATATCGGAACGAAGAACAATAAGAAGGAAAACAGTCATCAAAACCAAGCAGCAAAAACAAATGACAGGCGTTTTCTAAAAAAAGCGGCATTGTAATCCGAATAATAATAGAAAACAGACCAAAAGTGAACGATGTGTACGGCTTTGACGTCGTTAAAAATCAAAATTACCACTCAAACATTTTTAAAATTTAAAATAAAAACACAGAAAAAATTTCTTCAGTCTTGTTTGCACAAACTCGCTACATACACAATTTTGAGCAGTTTTTCTAACGGCGTCTATACAACGAACAAAATCTAGAGATTTTCTAAACAACAACAACAATACAATCATCATCGTCTGTTTAGACTAGTAAATATAAGAGTAAAGTATAGAAAATGAACACTACTATGTTTGATATTAAGAGTAAAATCAAGCAAATTAAAAACACCGTTCTTCAGATGACTCCACTGGAGATCAAAGTCAGAGAATGTACAAGTAACGATTCTTGGGGAGTTAAATTGTCTGATAAATTAGAAGTTGCTGATCACAGTTTCAATTATGAAGACTTCAAGCTCATCTTCTCTGTTATCAGAATCAGATTGGCTGACGTTGGAAAGGATTGGAGACACGTCCAAAAGGGTATCCAACTTGTTGAATTTTTGGTCATTAACGGTTCTGAAAGATGTTTGGATGAAGCCAGAGACATGCAATCACTTATTCGTCAAATGAAGAACTTTAAATATGTTGATGATGACGGAAAGGATTGGGGTGTTAACGTAAGAGATGCTGCTAAACACTTCTTGGAATTCATCAAGGATGAAGAAAAGATCAAGGAAGAAAGAGAAATTGCCAAACAACAAAAGGAAAAATATGAAGGTTTTTCTAGATCTGAAGCCAAGCACAAGTCTCGTACAACAGGTAGTTCTTCATCAGAAAAGAAGAAGAAGGAAAAGAAGCCATCCTATGATGATGAATATGATGCTCCTAAGAAGTCTACTTCTCGTTCTAGCTTTGAAGAAGAAGAATATGAACAAGAAGAAAAGCCAAGAGCTTCTTCTCCTGTCAATCAATCTGGTAGACCAAGAAAGCCATCTACTGGTACAACCCCATCATTCCAAACTACATCTCAACCAGTTAAACAAAAGGAAGATACTCTTATTGATTTCTTTGATACACCAGTTACCACAACAACAAACCAATATAACAATAACAACTTTGGAAATAACAATGGTTTCGGAAATAATGGTTTGGCCAATAACTCTGGCTGGTCTCAACCAACTCAACCTGTCAATACTGGATTCAATCCAAGAACTGCTAGTACCCAACCAACAAACTCTGGATTTAACCCAAGAGGTAACAATGGTGCTTCATTCAACACTGGTGGTAATGATTTCGAAGCTAACTTTGATAGCTCTGGTTTTGATGATGGTTTCGGAACAAATGATGCTTTCAATAATGCTTCAGGTCAAGAAAAGAAGGATTCTACCTTGTTTGATATTTCAAGTGGTTTGGTTAACTTGGATCTTAATGAAACCAAGCAACAAACAACATCTCAACCAGTTAATCCATCTCAACCATCAGCTAACATGTCGTTGAAGGAATTGAAGAGATTGCAAGGAAACAATACACCAACCAAGCCTCCAGTCATGAATAATACCACTCCATCTTTCCCATCCAACACATCTTTCCCACCAAACAACAACTTTGGAGGTGGTTATCCAAATAACAATGGTTTCAACAATTACCCACCAAACAACAACAATAACTTTGGTGGTTATCCAAACAACAACATGCCACCAAGAACTGGCGGAAATTATCCACCAAATAACAATTTTGGTAACATGCCACAACCAAGCGGATATGGATACAATAATCAACCTGTCAATAATAATAGACCACCACAAAACAACAACAACAATGGAGGAGGTTTCGACTTTTTCTAAATAAATTATCTATTAATCTACTACATTGTATCTTATTATTTATTATTATTTATTATTATTTATTATTAATTTTGTTTTTCGAGTGAGGATGAGGGAGAATTATTTTGGGTGGATGGAGTATTGTTTGAAATGTTGGCAGACACTACAAAATCTTTCATTTTTGATGCCACATGTCTGAAAAAACTATGGAAGGCAAGGAAATTACCCTTACCTCTTCTAAATTCAATAAGTATTACGGTATCTGAAACAGTTCTGAGAATGGCTACATTAAGAGTAATGACCGAATCAGCCAAGTTCACATAGCACTTGATCAAATTGGTTCCTTTAAATTTTGGATTGGCTCTTTCTTCCCTTAATATTTGAAAAACTCTTTCCGAAATATCGTCAGCTTTTCCAATAGCAACTAATCTGGTTTGTCTTCGAATTAATAAATTATCTTGTCCTGTTGCCATTTTTGAAATTGATCCCATCACAAACTGAGATGCTATATCAAAAGCATTCATTCTAACCTCTGTTGGTTGATTCGTATTACTATTACTCCCCTGAGGAGGAGGTTGATCTATTTCCTTATAAAAACTATCCTTTACAGCTTCCTTCAAATCATTGTTGGAAATTTCAATTTTGGGTGATTGAAGAACAACTCCAAAATCTTCCCTATATCCTATTTGGAACCATTTAGAGGCCTTTATATTTGGTATGGAATATCTCTTTTTTGGATTAACTTGCAACATTTTCGATATTAAATCCTTAGCTTCTTTTGACAGATGTGATGGGAATTCAACTTTTCCACTTTCTATTTTTTTAAATAAATTGTTAATGTTTCTATCATCGAATGGAAGTTCTACAAAATATTGAGTTAATAATCGCATCTTTTTCAAAATAATACATACTTCCTGTTAGCATTACATAGAGAATAACTCCCATCGACCAAATATCTGCTAAAAATCCATCATATCCTTTTTCCTTAATAACCTCTAAAAGAATATATATTCATGCACATGATGTAATTATTGTTGTTGTTTCATGAAGTTTGAATGTTGTTGTTATTGAATGGAAAATTGCATTTGAGATTGTGAGCCTCACTTTAGAACCATCAACAACTTACCTGGTGAGACATAGTTCGGAGTACCACATGTTGTTTTCAAGAGCTGTGACTTTCCCAGCTTGTTAGGCACAATACTACTCAAACCAAAGTCCTATTATTGTTGTTTAATTACAATCCATCATTCTCTATCAATTACATACCGTTATTTTCAGTTTATCAAAAGAGTCTAAAAGTAAATTCTCTGGTTTCAAATCTCTGTGAGCGATACCCTGATTGTGGCAATATTCGATTGCTGATACTAATTGATGAAAGTATCGTCTTGCAGTAATTTCATCAAACTTTTCAGCAGCCACAATTCTATCAAATAATTCTCCTCCTGTTACTAGTTCCATTATTACATAAATATTATTTTCAGTTTGTAGTACTTCTTTTAGATTTACAATATTAGGATGCTTCATAATCTTCATGATGGCAATTTCTCTTTTTAATTGTGTTTCCATCTGTTCCTTCTTAATATAATTTAAATTCATAATCTTGATCGCATACGTCTCTCCAGTTTCCAAATCCCTCCCAAATTTTACTTTTGAATATTTACCCTGGCCGAGCGTCCTCATAATTTCATAATTCGCAACAATCTTGACCATTTTTTTTTATTAAGGTTTTTACAGTTTCCAGAATGATGATGTCGATTGAAGGAGAGACCAATCACCACTTCCAAACCAATCCGCAACAAGACCTCAATTTTTAAACAGCAACAACAGTAGCAGTGGCAGCAACATTAGCACTCAACATCAACTCGTGTTATTTGGAGTCAATTACCAGCCACATCTACAGTTGGTTCCAGCAGAACATTTGTTGGCGGTTGTTCTTCTTCTGAGGTATGAACACAAGTTCAAGGCGAACGAATACGGGCGGCCTAGGACAGAACGTGATGTTGATGCTACTGGTGTTTCGACTCAGGGGCCACAAGTTCATCGGCTTTGACAATGCATCACGGCAATACATGATGATATAAAAGAGGAAATGAAAAAGTTTATTGAAATATTAAATATTTAATTGGATAGTGAGTGTTGTTTGGTTTTGAGGCAAATCAAGTTAACTGATGACCTTTAATAACTGTTATTGAGGCAAGAATTTCCTTATTTAAAGGAAGACGAATAAGGTTATTAAAAAATAATTATTTTATGTTTTGTAAATTGAGATTTAGAATCCATCCCTATGAAATGATTTGAAATATTAAATTATGAAAATTATTGAAATCAAAGAATTATCTAAATAAGTAGTGTTACTATACTAATTTGATGATTATTGAATAAAAATGGATTTGTCGAGTCTCTTCTTAGTAAATGTTTACGGCTTACATTTAAGGTCTTTAAAATACTAACCATGGCATTCGCAGTACATTTACCAAAGCAAAAAGGAAATTGTAAAGATTACTTAACTTCAAAACATGTTGCAATTCGTTGCAAAGGACGTATTATTCTCAATGGATGATAATTCTTCGAGTGACTGTCCATCTCAAAAAGCACAGTTTAATTGCTGTATGAAAAAGATAAACGTTACATTCAGAGATAATTGTAATCCAAATGTCATTTCCTTCCTTGAACAGAAAAAAAATATCAACGTGAAGCTGGCGTAGCTCAGTCGGTAGAGCGTTGGTCTAATAAGCCATTGGTCGCCGGTTCGATCCCGTCCGTCAGCAAACATTTTATGAATTAAAACAATAATGTTTACCCTTTTAATTAAAATAAAAATTATATTCTATTTTTTGTTAAAATCTATTTCCATATTTTTTTGTCATTTAAAATAGAGAACAACTTTCCATGTTACCAATCACCAAACATCAAACATATTACAAATCAAAAAAAAATGTCTCTCTCACAATACGATACCCGTGAACAAGCTGAAAAAGAAGGAGCGGTCGTTGCAAAGATTATCTTTGATAATGTTACTCTCGAGCAAGTAATACAAATCATTTCCGATTATAAAAGTTATACCGAATTTGTTGAAGGAACAAACAAGGTTGAATATAAGGATACTGTTGAAGGTACTGATGGAAAGTGTTTGGATGTTTGGTGGAATGTCACTGTTGGTGGATTGAAAACTGTGGAATATACTTTGAGATTGTGTGTTTTTGAAGGTATGAAAATATTATAATAATTATTAGAATGTAACCTAAATTATCATGATTTTTAATAGATGGATTATCTTGGCAAGAGACTGATCATGGTCCATTTAAGAAGAATCGTGGTGGATGGAAATTGAAACCAACCACAGATGGAAAGGGAGTCGAAGCCACCTATATTGCTCTCATTGATTTCAATGTTTGGTGTCCTGGTTTCATCAAGGATTTCCTTGTTGGAAAGGGATTGACAAAGACATTGGAAGCATTCAAGAAGAGACTTGCTGAAAAATTCAAAAATTAATTCATAGAGTGGATTACAATAAATTCATCAGCAGATGAATTTAGAGTTTTATTTAAGTGGATTTTCTTAAGGGTAATGTTCAGAATTGACTGCGATTGGCGCTATTGGCGCAGTTGAGTAAAGTGGACATTTTCACAAACTCTTTGAAAGAGTTTCGAACAAAGAGTATTGAAATTGGAACTGAAAAAAAATGATTCAAGGACATTATGGACCTGCAGGTTTATTACACTTCTTCTTTAGAGATATCTCCTTCACATGGCTAATGATTTCCACTCAGATCATTGACATGGTCTTTTTTGCTTTCGTATTGTGTTGTAAATTCGTTTGTAAAATGGAGATTCACTCATGTCCACAACCATTAGCTTGTTTGGAGTACAGTTCCTATAATGTTTCACTCATGAGAGAGAATCAAGCTGTTCCATTCAATGCTCAGAATGATATTTCACATAGTTTGAGTGGAACTTTGATTTGGACTTTGGTTTTTACTGGAATTTATGTTTTGGTCAATTGGAGAAATAATTCTAGATCATTTGCTTCATTGTATGGTATTTTCTTTTTGAGTATTTCGTCTCATTGGTTGTTGGATGTTGTGGTGAGAAGGTAAGAAATAGTTTTTATGAATTCTTATTCGAAATGTTATTAGAAATGATGTTGCTGTTTTTCCACCATTCACATCGAACAAGATTGGACTTGGTACTTGGCAACACTTGTCAAAATTGAGTAATTATCTCATTGAAGTTGGAAGTGCCGTATTAGGATGGTTGTTTTTCTTCTTGGTAAGGAAATCATCCAAGTTGACAAAAGGTTTTTGGATTTCTTCACTTCTTTACTTTCTAATGACATTTGGACTAATGTATGGAGTTTATTTTGCTGTGGATTATTCTAAAATTGCTGATTCTGTTCAAGATGGTTCTCCAACTTCACCTGATCAAATTCCATTCACCTATTTCACTTATGTACTTGTTGGAATACTTTCGTATTTCATGGAGAGAAAGGTCAGAGAAATTAAGACTGAATAATTATACCAACTTTCAACCCTCCCTATTAAATTTCAATAATAAACAGATCAACTGAAATTGTATTCTTCCAATTACCACAGTTTTAATTTTTCTCGAAACTTGTTTTGTAAAAAAGGCAATTTGTCAAAATTTGGGGAGTTGTGTGAAATATTACAATAATCAAAATATCTCACACTGCGCAATCCAACAGTCGAACGCTTGCACTATCCACATTGTGCGATTTCACCCGCACCTTATTTATCCAAAGATTACGCGCGTATCTTTGATAGTATCTCAATTTAAAAAATGAAGACTTTTATTGCTACTGTCTTGTGGTTATCACTCATTTCCACCTTCCTTAGTTTAGTCCTAATTGTTACTGTTGTGAAGGGATTGAAAGTCGAACAAGAAACCTTTCGTTTACAACATTTTTCAAAGGATTACTCTGTTGATTCAATTATTCAACCAGTTTATCAAACATCAATGAAGTATTTACATGGCTCTGTTCTTTCTCTACTCTTCAATTCAGCTGCATGTCAATGGAATGGATCCTATAGTTTAACATTATTAAATAATGATTATTTCCCAACCAATAGACCATACAATGATGTTATCACACGTTTGGAATCTGATTTAATTTACCTTGATTTGTCTAAATTAACATGTGTTAACAATTTAGAGCAAAAATATGCAATCATTACAATCAAGTTGAAGAGACGTGATATTGTGAATATTGATCCTTACAATTTGAGTGTGTTTAGTTTCGTTTTGAAGGATAGGTCACTGGTTTATGAGAATGTATCATTTTCAAATGGGGGAGTGAATGATTTGGAGAATGAATTCTCTTTTTCTTTGAAACAAGTATTTGAAAGTGGAAGAAACTATTTTGGTTTCCAATACTGGGTTGATTCTGATTACCATTCTCAAACTGGTATTCAAATTCGCTACCCAAAGGACATTACACTTTTAAATTCACATTTTATATCATCAATGGAGTTAAAATTTTCATACAATAGAGCTCCAATCATTAATCCAAATTTGGTCAACTCAATTCCAGTAATTTCAGTATATAACGAATTTTATCAAGTGGAAGACAAATCAATTCCAAAACCATTCGATTATATTCTTTCAAAATCCAGAACTAGTTTACAAAATAGAGGATTGAAACCTCTCATAGAGGAGAAATCAATGAGATTTCACTATGATGAGAGAAATGGGTTTAGAGATTCGAGTAATAATGTTTATTTCATTGATCCATTCTCATTGGTTTGTGCCTTTTCATTTGGAGGGGATGATTATTTGAAGATTGATGAACAATCGAGAGTAATTGAAACTAAACATTCGAATTATTTATTAGAATGTTCATCTAGTGAAATAACTGAAGATTATTCATGGACAATTTTGGCAAAGAAGAGTGATAAAAGACAGAAAGTGAATTGTTACTATGGAAAACCATGCCCATTATCCACTGATTCAATCTCTTCATTGACTTTATTTGCAGAAAACGATTTCGAAACTCTTAATATTTGGCCAGAACTTTCCTCAAACATTTCTGGAAATTTGCTTTTGAAAAATCTTGAGAATTCTGAGGAATTGACGACTTATTCGCCGCCAAATACTTATCAGAAGCCACTCACATTGATTAATTGTTTTCAAGTTGATTTTTCACAATTGGTAATTTCCAAAAAAGGGCAAATCAACTTTGAGTTTAAAAAATCAACACAACCAAACGAAGATCCATTTTCAACAAGAATTTCAATTCTGGACAAACAAACCAGTTCCTTCTTTCTCTATCAAAAAGATTCTCCTACCAATTCAGATCTCAAATGGTCAATCAATCCATTGAATGAAAATGTTACATTTGGATTATGGAGCTATTCTCAATCTGAAGCAAAATTAGGTGATTTAGTGTTTGTCAATTATCCAAGAAATGTCAATTATCAATTGACAGATTCTCTCAGTATGAATGTTTACTTTAGTGGAGTTTCCATCTCAACTCCTAATTCATATCATAGACCCCACTTTACAATCAATCAATTCACACCAAATATTTCATTACTGAATTATGTTATTCTTCAAAGTTTCCAAATGAATTATGGCGAAGGTTTGAATCATCTCGAATTTGATGAAGGAAGAATTTTCAATTTTTTTCCCACCACAACTCTGGTTGACCTTAATGGTAATAAGGCACAAGTTAAATTAACTGACCTGTCATGTGTCTATGTTTTGAAAAGTGAGAATTCTCAATATTCGATTATTGAATTGAGTGATTTATATCCGAAATTCAGTAATGATGATGGAAGCTATCAATTGGATTGTTCAGAGGATGTTAGAGATGATGAATTTGTTTTCATGCTTGTTGGAAAACAATTTGAAAGAAAGTTTGTTTCTGGTGTTTATGGAATTCCAATAGAAGTGGATTCTGCACAGATTGTTTTATTCGAAACTAGGTGGTCTCCTTTGGATAAGTTTACAATTTCGGTTGATGTGAATACTGTTCTGAGAGGTGAATACATATTTATGGAAAAGCAAATTGAAGATTTTAAAGATTATCCACTTTCAAATACGAATCAAAAGCCGTTGAATATTCTTGGAATCTTTGAACTTGATTATTCGAAAGTGACTTCTTCACTTGACATTGTTTCAGAAAATTTGAATGGTTTATTTATTGAATTCCAAAAGAAAAGCTCCTTAACCAACACAGATCCTTCCTCTTTCAGATTTTTCAAACTCAATTCTTTCACAAAAGACATTTGACTTGATGTTCAATGATCAACCATTCACAGGTCCTTGGGAGTTGATTGTTAGTGGAACAGGAAATGAGAAATCAATGATATTCGCTATTGCTGCATTCCAAGACATTTCAGCATTGTTTAATCATGAATATCCACTTTCATATTCAAGACAATTACAATTCACAGTTGACCAAAGTGAATTAATGTATTCTTTTCAATTATCATCTTCCTTATCAACTTTATATCCTACTTTCCAATTGGATCTTAATACAACTCATTCCAATCAAACTATTATTGATCCAATTACAAAGATTGAATATGTCAAAATTCATTCATTTTCCATTCAGCAAGATATTCTAAACTATAATGTAAAATCGACCAGAAAGTTCACCTTCTCCTCAATTGGTTCCTCTCTTGATCCTCTTAGTGTAACATGTGCTTTTACTTTTAAGGGTGATGAAAATTTTTATGTGTCAAAGTCAAAGTCTCAACATGATAATGATTTTATTCAGTCAATTGTGAAGAAGGAATTTTGAATAATGAATATCAGCTTTGGATAGTTGCAAGATATGTAGCCCCAATTCCACAACCTTCCGCTTTGCATTCAATTCATCCACAACCAAGCACTAGTCAACCAAAACCATCACCAACACCTTTGAATTCGTTTGAAAGAGAAAATGGAATTCCATTAGAAAGTGGTTCAACTTTTTCAAGAACTATTGATCGTGGACAATCGATTCTCACATCTATTGAGCTGAATTTTGGAAATCGATTGACTATTTCTTTTAGTTCATTGAGTGGTCAATCGATGCAATTATTTGTTGGTACTGATTTTAAACCTAATTCACAACTCTTCACAACAATTATGGATTCAAACCAAGTCATCTTCTTAACCAATGTTCAGTCAGCTAGCCAAACAATTTACATGTTAATTCAAGGACCATTGACTGATGGACAAGCTCAATTCACAATTCTTCCACTAATCACCTCAATTCCTCCTAGAGAATCAAGCAACAATCCAGTTATCCAGAACAGCAACGACACAACTTTATTCACAGTTGCAATAATTATCTTGACACTCATCATTGTCATTCTTTTGATATTTGGTCTGGGAATGGGAATTTATATGAGAAAACAATTTCTTGTCAGGAAGAATAGTGAGGAAAGAGTTGAACTTGTTCCTTTACACATTAAGCTAAATCAAGATCAAGTCAATAATAGTTACCATAATGAATTGTAATACTTCTTTCCAATGATAATAAAATATTCTTCAAATATATGTTAAATATATCAGTTCCAAACCAGGATCAATAAAAGGTTAATTTTACAAATTTTATTCATCTTTTGAAATAAGTTAAAATATCTTTACAAATAAGAATACAAAAATTATCATTTAGAATTGTTCTCCATTTCTGTTGGCCCATTCTATCACTTCTTGGTAGAACATGTACTTGAAAGTGTTAGAGTCAGCCTTCTTTTCAATGTCAATTTCAATCTTTTCTGGGTGTGGTGTCAAATTAATGTACTTGTTACCCTTCAAGAATGGATGATTAACAGCTTCATCAAATGAAATACGTTTTTCTGGATTCCATATCAAGAATTTTCTCAACAAATCAAGAGCTTCAGGTGGTGAAGATGTGAAAATTTGTTTCAAATCCAAACCATCACTTGGGTAGAGACCAAATAAACGTTCGAAATATTTTACACCATTAGCAGTTCCCTTAACATCACTCATTTCTGGTTTACCCAAAAGTGATACAATCAAGTTCAAGTGTTCCTCAATACCTTGAATGTTAGCTCCTGATTTACGAGCAACAAAGAGTGGTCTTCTTTGTGGTTTTGGAGGAAGGAGATATAACAATTCAGCAAATATACAACCAGCAGACCAAGCATCAATGGCAGAGCTTTGAATTTCATATTGCAGAATAACTTCTGGTGGACGATAATATCTAGTGACAACGTACATGGACTCTGGATTGGTTACTGAATCACTTTCTTCCTTTGTACTAAGACCAAAATCACACAATCTAAATTGTAATTCATCTCCATTATTTCCAACAAGAATATTACTTGGCTTGAGACTGTTAATGATGATCGTCATTGTGTAATAATAATTATTAGAAATTATTAACATGAATATTGTAGCAACAATTAAAGCAAATCATGAATAAATAAAAGATTAATATGATAATATTGATGTAAAAGTAATACAATATGTTCGGAACAAGGAAATACTAAAAAACTACTTACTCACGATGCAAAATACCAGCACTGTGCATATAATGCAAAGCACTCAACAATTGACACATAATATCCTTGATACCTTCCATAGAGATACCTCCTTCTTGGACCTTTTGAGACATTAATTGTTTCAAATCACCTCCATTCATCATTCCCAATACAATATACAAGTCATTCATTTCTGACAATGTTTGACCAGGTACGAAAATATCAATTAATTCAACAATGAAAGGATGTCCTCTCAAGTGTTTCATAATTAAAACTTCACGTAACATTCTGTATGGAGCAACATTGAAAACATCTCCAATTTTCTTTATAGCAACTAATCTGTTGCCATGTTGACGATCACGAGCAGCAATAACAATACCATAACCTCCTTGACCTAGAATACAAATTTGACCAGTTTGTTCATCTCTAACAGGTTCATAACGTTTAGGGAGAGTTACAGTTGTAGTGCTATCCACATTGTAAGAAACTAGTTGTTTTTGATATAATGGAAGTGGAAGTTGTTGTGTTGGTGAAGGGGTATCATCGAGCATCATTTTCCAATGTATTTATATTATTAAATAATAATATTATATGAGCAATTAATCCAACAATGAATGGTGAACTGTGTGGATGATCAAAAAGTGAGTTGAAAAACAAGATTCAAATTATTTCAATGATGATGCCACTGTTATTATTATCTTGTTGTATATTTGTTCGTCTATATGAAAAAGCAACAATTAGAGAGGAGATACACAATAATTGATGGTGTATGAAAAATTAATACAAAAATTCCTCCGTATGGAATATCGAAAAAGTTGTGAGTTTTTTTTTGTGATTTTTTCTAAGATCGATTGATGGCTAACATGAACTTGCTGAGGAACACTTGATTTACCGCCAACAGAAAAAAATCCGTAAACAAGGTTGATTAGAAATGCCTTATTATCTTTGTTGGGAGTCATTTTGATTAAAAAGATTAAATATTAGATAACATGTAATTGTTATTATTATTTGATGATTTGCAGAGCAATTATTATTATCATTCCTGCTACATGTAGAGGTGAAGTGAATTACAAGAAATCAAAAGGTTTACAAATGATTCTTACGTATTAAAGGTTGGTTGAAAAGAATCCTTCCATTCAATAATAATATGTGTTATTCTCTACCAGTTACCACCAAGGAACGAATCGGAAGGGTTCATTAAGGATCTTTTCATTTCTGAAGGAGTATAACTTGGATAATTCTTGTTGGGGGTAGACTGTGATTGGATTTAAATCATTGGTACTAGTTGAAGTGGAGTTTTTGCTTTCCAATTTCTTGAGATTTTCCTTGGCATCAGTTTGTAATTGTGAGAGCATGTCTTCTTTTCTGTAGAAGCGTTCATAGCACCATTCATTGAATTGTTTCTCATCATGATGTGGAACGGTGTTGATTGGAATCTTTTTGATATTGACACAAATCTTGGTTCCTTTCAGACGTTTCATCAATAATTCAGGAGCTCCCAAAACAGGGAATGCCTTATTGACGATTGAGGAAGCAACTTTCTTGTCATTCACTGCCTCTTTTCTACACGATTCAATGTATTCCCTAGTTGGTGGATATCCAATTGTCACGTCATAAATATATTTAATTCCATTGTCCTTTTCCACAGATAGATCAATATTTGCATTTTCCTGCTGAGTGGTAATTGCCTTAATCATCATTCCAAGTCCTTTCACTCTTGGAAGGACAACTTGATTTAATTCCCTCAATTTTCTCTCTCTGGCAAATTCATTTGATTTGGTAATATTATTTTGGGTGATACGTGTTCCTTCAGGGAAAATCAAGACATAGCTTGGAATATTATCCTTCATTACAGAATTCACTGAATCTGCAATAGATTGTTGGTCTTTTTGCCAATTTCTATCCAAAACAATTTGTTTTCCTTTAATAATATCAAATAATAATACATTCCAATAATTATTTTCACATATCCACAAATCAATCCAAATAAGTAATAATAATAGTAAAATAGGAAAATGAATTCAAACTCACCTAAAATTAACCCAGGAAAACCAAGGAATGGAATGATGAGTAAATCCTTCTTTGCCAAGAATTTCAAAAATCCCAACAATCCCTTTCTATAGGCAATACATGCCAACACTAGGAAATCAACATTACTCACATGATTACACATGACAAGTGCACTCTCCTTCTCTTTAATTTCATCTCCTGAAAATTCCAACTCACAACCAGCATAAACCTCTATGAAAAAGACAAACCAATAGAAACCCAATCCACTCACGCTCAAATTCAATACCTTGATGAATCTGGCAATTCTTGGATGTACTCTTCCGATAGTGTGGAGTAACAGCCAACAAGTAATTTGTGGAATGTTAATTGCCATGAAAATGTACAGCAGAAAAACAATTACCAACAGTGCAGACAGTACAGCACTGATAATCTTTTGCAATTTCATCTTGTTCCGTTTTGAATGTTCTTTGCTTTGAAAACAGTTGATTTACCCACTTTGAAATCACAACCTGGACCAAATGAGTGTGATGACGTCTTGTTTTTTTTGGGTTGAGACTTCAATCAGCATTGAGTGTCTCTTGAAGGGTATTCATTGCTGTGGAGATTTTAATATGTCCATTTGAGAGAGATTTAAATTTTCCGTACATAAGGAACGAAGTAATGGAGTATTATTAATCTTCAAGGTGGCCACTAAGGAGATTTGGGTTTTAGCAGCCAAGTTGTCGTATATTGATGTTTTAGTACTATTGGCAGTATGGATATGTGTAATAATTATGATTGATCTAAATATTTGAATTGAGAATTTCTATCATTCCAATTGTATAAACCAATCTATCAGGTCCCATCGATAGTAGGAGAGGAGAATTGATACAATGATGAATAATACTAATTAGTATTGTTCTTTAATAAATAATTTTCCAAAACTGATAAACCCTCAGCAAAATTTCTTCTTCCTAGTCCAATTCTCAAATGTTTATCGTCCATTCTATTGTAAACAGTTGAAGGAAGGAGTAAAACTCCACAATCTCTATTCACTCTTTCACAAAATCTGAAACTTCCCTCCTTCCAATCTTTGAAATGAATGTAACCAATAGGTCCTGCACGAGGAGGAATCCACTCAAATATATGATTAGCCCTTTTTGTGAAAAACTCTTCAGCCAATTTGAAATTCGTTGCAATAATTTCTCGATTCTTTGTGAGAATTTGGTCTGATTGTTTGAGAGCAATTTTTGAAAGACATTCCGATGGTGCTGGATTGCAAATAGTTGTAAAATCCTTTCCCTTGAGTAGAGAATCCAATAATTGCAAATTTTGTGAAACCACCCATCCCGTTCTTAAACCTGCCAAACCATATGATTTAGACATGACATTGAGTGAAATGGCATTATAATACAAGGATGAAAGTGATGGTATCGATGCATCTGTTTCATTATACTCTAATCCTCGATAAACTTCATCTGAAAATATTAACAAGTTCTTCTTTTTTGCAATTTCTATAATATAATTAATTTCCTCCAATGTATGCAAGTGACCTGTTGGATTATGGATTGGATTAAGAATAATGGCCTTAGTTTTTGGTTGAATTAAACTCTCCAATTCGTTCACATCAAAATTCCAACCATTTTTCGTCTTTTTTGCATTCCAAGCACTCACCCTTGTCTTGACTACATGGGAAAACTCTGAAAGTGCTTGATATCTAGGTGATTGAATAATCACGTGATCATCCTTCTCTAAACAAGTCATTCCAAACAGTAAAATTGGTTCCACACCACCTGTGTGAATTAATACATTGGCAGCACCAAGCTTACTCTTATCGTACCACTGTGGGTGAGTGTTAATAATTAAATCTCTCAATTCGTAATCTCCCTTTGATTCCGTATATCCTAAATGACAATTTAACAGTGCCTGTAAATTATCCTCATCATTTCCTATCAATTCTTTAATACTCATCGATTCACAATCGGAGGAACACAACAAGTATTTTGATGAAAATTCATACTTGGCAAAGAAGCGTTCCAAAACAAAGGGTTGATCTAATAGACGATTGGAATATTGTCGGGACTGTTGTGATGATGATGAAAAGCAAGAAGAAGAAGACTTGCTGATTTTCCTGCACACTACACCGTATGAAGAAATGTTCGACAGCAAGTTTTTCATTTTTTTATTAAAAATTTAAAAAATTAAAATTCTTTTTCCACAGATTCTCAAAGTGTGAAGGATTGAAAACAATGCAAGTGCTGTGGTGAGTGAGCTTTAGAAAGACACTGGTGAAATTAAATGTGATTATTGTTGAAGTATAGAGTTTTGAAAAGTATTATTATGCAGAACTAACAATGCTCTTTGCAACGCCTTCTACCTTGGCCAGAACTCTCAAAAAGTTGAGACCCATGATATTCTTTACACAAGTGTCATCATATCCCTTTTGAATGAGGGCAGCTGCGATGGTCATGTGATTGGCAGAGGATTCTGCTCCACTGGTTGTAAATGGTTGATTTGGATTCTCAAATCCTTGTCCAATTCCAACATATTCACAGCTATTGGTGATTGTTTTGACATAGTCAATGTGTTCAACAATGTCATCAACACTGGCTCTTGAGGATGATGAGCTAATTTCCCATTTAATCATTTTCATTGTGGCTTCTTCAGGAGTGGTTGAATTGTCAGCCTTGAATTTGTTAAATTGCAATCTTTCCTTATTGCTGAGTTGGAGTGGATTTTGAGAAATAATGACAAGTCCTTGATTTTCCTTGATGAGAAGTAGAACTTCATCAGAGAGGTTGTCTTCATGGCTTGATAGATATTTAGAACCAGTAGAAGAGATGATGACTGGTGCAAAGGAGACTGAAAGAGCAGAGGTAATAGCACTCTCAGTACAATGTGCCAAATCAATAACCATTCCAAGTTTGTTCATTCCAATAATTATTCTCTTTCCAGGTGTGCTCACTCCATTTGTATATCCTCCAATGGTCTTATAATTTGAAGATTGAATGAATTTGTTTGGACATTTTTGAGAGGCAAGTGTCATGATACGAGCTCCTGCTGTATAATAGTATTGCAACACTTCCAATGAATCTCTAATAGTATGTCCACCATCAATGTGTGTCAGAACAGAAATCTTTCTAGTCTTGAATACTTTGTTAATTTCACCACTGGCATGTACTTCACGCATTTCATTAGAATGTTGTTTTACAATATTTTCTCTAATGAGATCCATTTGTGAGACAGTTCTAGCAAAGATGGTTGTTTCATTACAATCAGAACTTCCACCAGTTGTCAATACTAAAACACTAACATTTCCTACTTGTAATTTTGGGATATTTGTTGTCAGAGTAAGTTGGTGATCCTTGTATAAATTGACTAATGAATCTCTAGTTGGAGAATTGGTCAAGTTCAATAATGAATCGAACTGCTTCCATTCCATTATTTTCGATAATTTATATGGTAAATAATTGGTATATTCTACAAATGGTACATAATCTGTGGCAATTGCTTTGGCTCTAAATATTCATCATCAATCATCAAATAATTATTATTAAATTAAATAATAATAATAACAGGTAGATAAATTATTAATAAATTATCAATACTCTAATTATTACTCTAAATTCCTTACCTATCATATGGATTAACTGGTAATAACAAGGCTGATGCCGATAAAAAGGAAATGACAGGAATGAGCACCGAAATGATCGTTATCAACATGAGCAATGAAACTGTACAATACAAGATATATCTTCTAATTTGCTTTCTCAAGGCTTGAGAGGAAAGTCCTTGCTCGGAATCTGAATTTCTCATCAAACACAATAGTAAACATTTTAAAATTGCCAATGGTGTAAAATTTGTCTCTACTCTCCGATCCAGATCAAACTCTTCATCATCATTGTTTTGCGTTCTTTGATTTGTTGTTGTATTATCATCAATTAATCGACTTGGTTGTAAATCCATTTTTTTGTATTTTTATTATTAGATTCTAATTGAATCATTTTCAAACTGTTTAATTCATCAATTAATTGATAAAGAATGAGTTGAATGAAACATGATATTTATGTATCATTGTCATATTACAAGAATTTAATTTTGAAAATTTACAAAATATTTACAAAATGGTACAACAAGTTGATTTTCTAGTTTTTCTATAAAAATCTTTAGCTCCATCCGATAATTCATTGGTTTGTTCAATGAGCTTATCAATATGAGTTCCTCGTTCCAATAATTTATCAAGAGTTTGATGGAGAACTTCCTTAGTGTCTTCGATATCTTGTTTAAGCTTATACATGGTGTCTCCTTTGGTTGGATCTTGATATTTGGTCATGAGTTCTTTGAGTTGGGCATTAAATTGCGAACATTCATTGTCCTTTGTGAATGTTGTGAAGGAAGACTTCATCAACCAATCTGAGAATGCTCTCAAAGTATATCTAACCAAATCAAAAGCCACTCTTAATGGATAATCCTTATCAGTGACCAATACACAACTCATTCCTTCCTTTGTTTTTTGTACATAACCAACCAAATCATCCTTTTCAACTTGTTGTCTCAACCCAGGTTGAGTCTTTTCTGCCAATAATTTAGCCAAAAAGACTGTAATTTCTGTGATTTGATCAGTATAGAAGAAACTATACCATCCACTATCTACATTACTACTCAACACTAAAGGTTTGCTTGAATGTTGTTGTTTCAAGATGAATAATCCGTAAATTTTGACCATTTTCTTCCTTCTCCGAGAATTGTTGTTGATTTGTTTTTAATTATTTTCCGTTATAATATTAAATTATAATATTTATCAAAATTGATCTTCTATTTGTTATTCCTTTTCACCAACAATAACACAAGCTCTCTCGCTATTAATATTTATATTATTACTATGATGATAATAAATGTTTAATACGATTCTAAAAGATCTTCCTAATGTGTACGCTTTAACGTTCTTTTTCTTTTTTTTTGCTTCTAATTTCCCTCCAAACTGCATATGCTGGTGAAGTTTCTGAAACATTTTCAACGTTCATATAGTATTGTAAATGACGTAATGGAAAGGAATCAATAATTGCTGCTTTGAAAATAAGTTGTCCAGATGTAGAGCTAGATGTTTATTGTGAAATTGCATTGTTCTGCGTCAATTAAGGACGGTACATGACATCTGATCTGAGAATGTACTTTTTACAATTTTCGTCTCCTTCAACTTCCAGACCTTCGTGTAAGAGTTGTCTTACATCTTGCTCAAATACACAAACAGTTCCAGTTTTTGGTTTAATACGAGCTTGGAAACCCTTCTCTAGAAAGACGGTCTCTCCTCCCTCAAAATCATCATTCAAATAAACCATGAATGTAAAGAAACTTTTACAATTGTTGGAATGATTGGCAGCATCTACGTGAGGTCCAAATTTGTGACCGAATTTCTTGTGGAGATACTTGATGTATCGAATCATGGGATTGAGGCCTTGAAGAGGTCTGTCAATTCCAGAAACTTTGTAAGATTGTGGAAGAAAGTCTCGACTTCTTTCGAATAGAATTTCAGAGAGCTTCTCATCCATGATTGATTTTCTAAAGCAATGACGATTTCCACTCAACTTGAAATCAAGTCCAACCGTTTCCATTGCTTTAATCATTAGTTGGCATTCGTCTGATGAAAAACAATTTTCTATTAAAAATCCAGTTAACCCCATTCGATTATTTGGAAACAAATCTACAACTTTAATTTGAGTCTTATCATAATTCTCGAATATTTCAGCAGAAATGTGATCCGAAAGAGTTTCAACTTTATGAGATGAAAAATTATACGAAAGTGGAATTTCCTCTTCATATTTAAATCCAAAATCTTCTTTCAGTTCCGAAGTTTGATATTCATCAATCCATGATGAATCCTCTTCTTTAATTGTTGACATTTTTTTTGATAACTATAATTATGGAAAGGTTCATTTACAAATTGCATAGTTTTCTTCACAGCAGTACTCAATAACATCTTTGTAAAATTGACTCAATTTCAGTTTAGCACAGGCCAGAAACTTATTTTGATAAGTAATCTCAATGTTCCACATGTAAATAGAGTGTTTTCATTTGGTATTCATAAAGACATATTGCAATATTCACCTTACAAATCATTCAAACTGAAAATAGCAATCAGTGAGTATTGATCGATTTTGAAGATAAGTAGCTAACTTGGGATAAATGACTGCTGAAAATGTTTTGTAAAAAACAACTGTTCTTGAGTGTGCAGTAACTTGATAATTGTTTCCAGGAATTCCATCAAATTCTTTTGAAGCATCCACCACATATCTCACATTATGACAATTGCTTATCGCATAAAATAATCCATTGAATTCAATAAAGAATATATCCTTAATATATCTAATCTTTGCATTGTCTATGTTGGATTCAGAAAATTGTGGATAAGAGCTCAACAACTGTTTCAAATTCTTATATTCCATCATTGCTCCATATAACCTGTAATTCTCACAAGTTGGAGTAGTGTTTGCAAATCTCACTACCGTACAATCGTATCCTCCAAAAGCTTCAGAAATTTTCATTTCATAATCAACAGAAAAATGTGCAGTACCCTCCCTATGTGGCATCTGATTACTTGCATTATCTCCACAAAACATTACAGTATCATCTTCAAATATTACAAAAAATTGAAAACTGGCACATTCAATTTTCTTAATTTTCTTTTCACAACAAAACTGGCTTACTTGCCAACCCATTACCGTGTGAACAGAATTCACCCAATCCTGACCTGAAATTCTAATATCATGACAATCCAAAACGATTATTGTAAAGGAAAAACATGATGCAATATGTGTAATTTGCTGTCTAAATCCATTGACGGTCGGAGGAGTGTACAGGAGAGTAAATTTCTCCGTACCATCCTCATTCATACAATGACTATTACCTAATCCAAAACAATCATGGGCCGAAATGCCACTTCCATAGAGATAAGTATTATTGATCTCATCACGAACCAAATAAAGTGTTGATCCCTCGGAAAATGTTGAAATATCTTCAATAAATAATTTTCCATCATTTGTATGGGTAGTGTCGAGAAGATAAGGAACTTGTATTATGCTGCTATCAGCAAAATCATCATATTTGAAAATATAAACCTGACCACTCTCCGATAAGATGACTACATTTGTCTGATTGACCTCTACTTTTTTAATTCTCTCAAAATCAGGAATTTTAATGGTTGTGCAAGTATTCAGATTTACAATATGAAATGGTTCTTGGTGATTGGTTGGTGTTCTATCGTTGTAGCTATAGTGGTGGTAGATTTTGAGCATTTTTTTTTGATTAATAATTTAAATTGGTTGAGTTGACGGGGAACTTGATTACAAAAATCTCAATATTTATGGTATTTTGTTATTTCATAATAAGGATATCATAACTACTACCATTCTCCATATTCCATAATTGCCAAAACAAATAATTGAGGACAATAGACAACATGATGAACAAATCCAAAACCTCCTCCTCCAGTATCAACAAATGCTCCTGCATTTAACACTTTAATTTCATCTCTCATTGATTTCCCATATAATTCCTCAACTTTTTCATATAATTCTTGAATCTTTGCCTTATTTCTCAAATTTTCATCGTTTAATATGTAATATTGAGTTGTTCCGTATGGATTTTCCATCAGTAATGAAATTTGCACTCCTAAATTTTCAACAGAATGAGTTGGATTATTGTCGGAATCATGATTCAAGGAGGATGGAAGTGGTTTTGTAGTCAAATCAAACCATTCAATTTTTCTCTCATCACGAAATTTACGATAATCCCAATATTCAATGGTCTGATCCTCTCGGATCTCCTCAAAGAGTTTGAGAAGGGAAGGGTCTAGCTGTTGATGTTGAGACATTTTTTTTGAAATGTTTGAAAAAGTTCATTTTACTGTTAGGTCTATAAAGTAAATTGAAATTTTACAATTTGAAAAAAGTTTACAATAGTGTTTAATAACTTTCATTCATACGAATGGTTTCGAATCGTTTAATATTCCACAACCATCCCTTTCCAATATCTCCAATATCATTTTGAAAAATATCTAAAAATCTCAAACTTTTCAATTCTGTTGTCCGACAAATATATTCAACACCAATGAAGGATATTTGATTATCGCTTATATTAAGCTCTGACACATTATTGAGGTTTGTACTTTGTGCAAGGTATCTGACTCCTTCATCTGAAATTTTACATTTTTGTAAAATGAGTTTTCTTAATTTGGAAAAGTTTTCATTCCTTGCAATGTGGAAAGCACCTTCTTTACCAATTGGATTACCAGATAATCTTATTACCGTTAAATTAATCAAGTATTGGCTTTTACATAGAAAACTGCATCCTAAACTCGTAATTTCTGTCAATCGATAATCAAGACTTGTAAGGTTCACTAAGGTTGGAGCATTTGCAACTCTTTGACATCCATAATCACCTTCCTCATATATTCCCAGATATTTAACTTTTCCCATATTGTTTCCATTTAAAATTAGTTCGCAGAGTTCGTCATTGATATGATGTAAGCAAATGTCAAGTTCGGTCAACTTGGAAAAATTGGTGCTTGACATTAATGATGTGAGACCTTCTTGAGTTAAATTATTGTAATTGAGGGCAATAGACCGTAAGTTTCCAATAAATTCACTTTCAGCAATACACTTGACGGCTGGATCAGTAATTCCAATTTTACAAATATTCAATTTTACCAAATTCTGAAAGGCAGGATTTCTTGCCATCTCAATAATTGGATCATTTCCAATTTCCACATTCCTGCTCAGAAACAAATTCTTCAAATTAGTGAAATTTTGACTTGTTGCAAATGACATCATGCCATCAAAACCAATTTCACAATCGCATGCATTCAGAAGAGTTAAATTGGGCATTTTCTTACATTTTGCAATCGATCGCATGCCTTCATCACCAATTTTTGTTTTTTCTACAAACAAATTTGTCAAGTTTTTGAAATTCTCTGAACTGCACAGAAAATTCATTCCAATTTTGGTAATGGCACTTTGGCTAACATCCAAATGAGTTAATTTTGTTAAACATGGACTATTGGCAAGATGATTCATTCCTTCATCTGTAAAATCGTTGTATCCAATATCCAAATATGTTAAATTTTTTAAATTTTCACAAATGGAAATTGATAAAATTCCCTTATCAGTAATGTAATTTCCATTCAAGTTTAAACTTGTTAAACTGTTAGTGATATCTTCAACTATGAAAGTTTCCAAACTGTAGTCTTGAATTCGGTTCAATGGAATGTTCAGCGAACGTAGGTTTCGAATATGAGAATTGGACGAAATCAAACGTATTCCACTATCTTCCAATCTTGATTCGTCTCTGAATTGACACGAAAAATCCAATTCTGTAATATTTGGAATAAATCTCGATTCTGAACTTGCCATTTTCTTTAGAATCGAATAAGCGCTTGTTGAACTCTTAATTTTATAGCTCAATTTGACGTGTTGCAGACTTTCGTATAACCATTGCTTGGAGATTAATGCACAGGTGGTTAGAATAAACTTGAGATCGAGGAAGGTCATGATTTGATAGCAAATATCATCTGGAATATCGAGATGATTGAATTTAGTTTGAAGTTTCTTTCGTATAAAAAAGTTTGGACATGATTGGGGACTTGATGTGGAATATGGTGTTGAAATTGAAGAAACATCTAAGGTGTAAATTGGATAGGCAATCCTCATTGTATTTGTTGATATAATTTTTTTTAAAAACTAACTGGTTATATTTAGTAGGTAGTTTTTATTCGAAAGTTCATAACCATAGAACAATGAACTTCAAGTTACAATTCAATTAATTTCTCAGTTTTCAAAACATCAAATGTTATTTCAATTTTGGTCGCATCTAAACGAAACCCAGAACGAAATTCGAAATTCTATTGAGAGAATAAATAAATATTAAAAAATTCAACAATAGTTTCAGATAACAACAATTTGAATTTATCCTTTAGTATTTGAATTGATTTATCCTGAAGCACCCTTCAAACCACTTTCCAAATGATCAGCTTCACGATTTCTTCTAGTAGAATATTTATCACCAAAGTTTCTCAAATTATTAACCATTCCCTTATAATCATTCTTAGTCAATTGACCAAAAAATCCAGGAGTGGCCTTCTTAATACTTCCATATTGATGTTGGACACTGTAAGCAACTGATTGGACAGATGATGGCAAATCCTTGAAATTCTTGACAGCATTTGGATTTTTGGCAGCAGCTGCTTCATAATCTTTGGCCAAGGAGGCAAGTGACTTGTCCATAACTGCCTTATCAATGGCTTTAGCTTCAGCAGGTGATAGGGATAATGGATTCTTTGATAGGAAATTCTTGGCAGCTTGTTGTTTCAAACCAGTATATGGAGAAAGTTTATCGACTAAACTAGGTGAAAGTCCAAGAGATTTCAAACCCTTAACATTTTGTTGTCCAATATCGAAACCAGTACCAACAGTAACACCTGATTTACCAACGACAGTACCTGACTTGGATTGTGGAACGTAACCCTTAGTAGAGAATGCTTCATTCTTAGTAAGTAAACCCTTATCAATCTTGTAACCAGAAACAGTTGCAACAGAAGCAGCAGCAGGTTGTTGAGCTAGAGCTCTATTTTTGACAGATGTTTGAATGGCAGCAGCTGTCAACTTTCCAGTGACTGCAGGTTGAGCAGCAAAAGCAGCATTAAAACGAGCAGTTAATGAATTGACACGTGGACCCTTAACATTCACAGCAGCAGCCTTAGCCATAGCAGAGAATGCCTTTGCCATATTTGGACCAACTAATCCAGTAAATGCCTTACTCAATGTAGGACTAACTTTTGAGAATTTACTGGTAATTGAGTTGGCTAATTTGGAAAGAGAAGCACGAGCTTGAGCTGCTTTGAGACCTGCAGTACGAGTTCTACCTGCCATTCTACCTGCAAGACCCTTATTTGATTTGGTTGATTTGGAAGATGGTCCAGATCGTCCAGTTTTACCTGATGATCTACCATTGGATTTACCACCACTGGATCTTCCATTGGATCTACCTGATCTACCTGATCTACCTGATTGACCACTGGATCTTCCACCTCTGGAACCTCCTCTGCTACCAGAGCTACCTCCACGGCTACCACCACCTCTGGAACCACCAGAACCTCCACGACCACCACCAGAACCACCGCCACCGCCACCGCCACTGGAACCACCCTTGTAAGAATCTGCCAATTCGACAATTTCTGCCAAGAAGGAAGAGGATGCGGAAACTGCAATGATGGACACGGAAAGAATGGCCAAACAACACAAGATTGTGAATGAGAGTTTCTTCATTTCGTTTCGAATATTTTTTTTTAGATGATGAAAGAGTAACTAAATGTTTTTGAGAGTGGATTATTTTGCTGTTTGGTGGTTACTATAATGTACTCGCAGATTCCTTATTTGGATATTTTTGATTTGAAAGATAAAGTAAGATAATCAATACCGATTACAAAAAGTGAAAGATTACAATTGTAAAATATTGTAAATTGGGAGAAGGTGGAATAATTTCATTAAGATTTGTTTTATTGAGATTTTTTCAAGATATTTGTAATTTTTATTGTAAAGTGTGAAACTGTAGTGAGTTTAGTTTTCTGGATTAGAAATGAAAATTTGAAATAATGCAATGTTTCATCCATATTTATATTGTTTATTCGAAATTTATTCTCCTTGAAACTGAAAATTATTCAAAGAAACAAAGTCATGAAACTAATCCAAACTGTAAATTGAAACTGTAAATAATTGACAAATATTACAAAAGCATCTCATATCGTATAATTCTTCAGTGATGAGGGTTGATAACATGACGACTGCAGAATGCTGCAATTTTCCAATGGTTTGCTTTGGAAATGTCATTTTTATTCGAAACCAGCGCTTTTATGGACAAAAATGGAAAGAAACATATTTGCTTGTTGATTCATATGTTATTGGCAATGAGAGGAATACAGTCCTATCAAGAATTAGTTTCGTCCATCTTTCGAATAACTAGGCTCAAAGATGACCGATATAAAGTGAGACTAATGCGAATTAATACGCCAATGAAAGAAACCATGTTTAAATGTACGATTCTTCATATTGAGATGCCCAATTCATATCAATTCACTCAACAAAAAGAATGTCATCATCACTATTCGAAACCTCATCTGAAATGAAACATTCTTCCACTTTCCAACAAGAAGATTCCCAACACAACAACATGTACTATCTAAACAATACCTCAAAGACAATCCAAGAAGAACAACCTGAGGTTTTCAAATATTGGAAACATGTCAAGATTCTTCTCAAGAACATTTTTATCCTAATCTACTTTTTCTCATCGAGTTTAATAACAAAAATTGTTACCATGTACATGGCCATTCCAAATGTTAAGATTTCTCAAGCACCTGCTCACGACATTCTTCTTTCCAACTTGACGAAACCTATTCGAATCGCCTTTACTTTATCAGAAACTATCACTGGCTTACTCGTTGTTATTCTCATCACCTTGTCAATATTTAACAAAACTCATCGATTCTCCATCATGAGTAGGTTGCTATTCATCGTGGCGAGTATCATGAATTTGAGAGCTGTTTGTATTGCTGTTACAACTTTCAGCGTTCCAACAATCGAATATTTGCAAACTTGTGGTCAATTGCAATCGTTGAAACCAGACGAAAGGTTTGTGAGGGCTGTTAATATTTTTGGGTTTAGTGGAGGAGAAACGTGTGGAGATTATGTTTTTTCAGGGCATGCAACTTCGTTGAGTGTGGTTTGTTGGTTTGTTTGGTATTATTCGAATAAGGAATGGGTTGGAAGAATCTGGACGAATCTCTTGCTGATTATTTTGCATATTGTTGGATGTTTGGGAATATTGTTGGCCAAAGAACATTACACAGTTGATGTTTTACTTGCTTGCACTATTTCTCTTCTGGTTTGTCAATTGTATCATTCGTATTTGAAAGTTGCTTCGCTTGAACCACATTCGAAAGGTTTATTCTTTTCAGTAATGGAATTTGACTTGAGTGAAGAAACTGAAAATGTGTTCGACAGCTCGATATTTGGTTATCTTTACGAAAAAATTGATGGAAACAAAACTAATTTCGATCTAATCTCAGACAATGTATAATACTAAACTCATTTCTAATAAAATTTATCACTAGGTTTATTAAACTTTCACCTCATCAAGCTCTTGATTCTTTGCAATTGAAGATGATTTCACATTCGCATACGAAAAATCTGATTTCTGCGTAACTTTCAAATAAACTTCTTCCAAAGTTGTTTGAGAAATTCCCCAATCTTTAATTCCTAAAGTTGAATTTTCCAAATCTGAGATTAAATCCGATAATTCTGCAAGTTGCTGCTTGGGAATGTTAAAGATAAAGTTTCCAGCACTTTCGCTTACAATATTTACATTCGAAATTCGAGAGTTGACCATTGAAATAACATGTTGCTCGTGTCCAGTGTTGGCCACAACCATGAGATTGTAACCACTTCCATATTGGGCTTTGATTGAAAGTGAATTTCCAACACATTTCAGTTGACCATGAGCCATGATAGCAATCTTGTCAGATAAATAATCGGCTTCGTCCATGGCATGTGTGGTAAGAATCATGGCTCTTCCTTCTTTCATTTTGTGAATTAAATTCCATGCTTTCTTTCTTGAATATGGATCCTAATGAGGTGAATAAAGAAAACTAAAGTTGTGAATAAACTTACCAAACCAGTGGTTGGCTCATCTAAGAGAACCAACTTTGGATTACCAATACAAGCAATACAAATGGATAATCTTCTCTTCATACCACCTGAATAAGTCTTTGTCAAGTGATGGCCAACTTTTGACAAGTCAACCGATTCCAAAAAGTTGCTAACTTGTTCAGTTCTTTGTTTTCTTGGAACTCCTTTCAAATCTCCAAACAATTCCAAATGCTCCTCAGCTGTCAAATCGTCCCACAAAATATCATGTTGTGGACACATTCCCAATTGCTTTCGAATATCTTCCATCGAATCTCTCACATTCAATCCAGCAATGAAAGCTTCACCAGATGATTGCTGGAACAGCCCAGTCAAAATATTCATTGTGGTTGATTTACCAGCTCCATTATGGCCCAACAAACTAACACATTGATTATCTTGCACAATTAAATTCAAACCTTTGAGAGCTTTCTTCTCAGAGAAGAATTTTCTAAATTTGGCGGGAAGAATTTTCAAAGCAATTTTGGCCAAGAATGAAGAAAATGTTCTTCTCAGTGAGATGATTCTGACAATGGCATTCTGATTGAAATCACGTGCCTTGGAAAACTCATTCTTTATATCTTGAGTTTCCATTTGATGCATATCAGTTTCGTCATTTGCATCAAGTTTCGACTTGGATTTCCATCTATTAATTCCCCAATACGAAGGATATAAGAAGAAAATTGGTGACTTTCTAACACCATTTCCATCAGAAATTACATTATCACAATACCAATACAAGACGAGAAACAATAACCCATTAAGGAAAAGTGTTAAAATTCCCAACCACGAACCAGGAACATAATCGTAAGTGTTCTTTCCAATAAATAAATCTTCGATTGTGTAACCTGGACCAGTAACGTACTTTCTTTGTGTGGAATCGTAAACTGGCAATGCTTTTACAGCAATGTCAATGAAAACCTTGGCAAAGTTGAAAGGTGGATAGAAGGAGAAGATTACAACTATGAGAGGAGTGATGGAAGAGGAATAGAGCATGTAGACAATGTTACTATTCGAAACTGTCAAGTTCAAAATCTGAATCATGTTAATTTGAATGTGATGTTAATGAATAGTACTTACAAAGGAAATTGCCAAAACTGTAAATCCCAAAACTAGAGCAGATTTCGATTCCTTGATAAAAGTTGATAATAGGAAAGCTAAACAAATCAAGGAAAATGTGAAACTAAAGAATAATACATAAAGAACAATAAAGTCAGTATTCAAAAAGATTGAAATTTGAAAGATCATGCCACCAATCACATTGACCAATGAGAAAACGGCACAGATAATCAAGAATGTAATGAACCATGATAGGAAATAGGCAGATTCTTTCATTCCCATCATAATCATGGCAAATCTTAGACGAAACTCCTTCTCAACAACCAAACTATTCAATGAAATAATCAAGACAATCATGGCTCCAATACTAAAGAAGGTTGGTCCTGAATAATTGTACAATAAAACTTCTCCATTCTTACTTTGAGGAGGTTGTGGAAAACTCTTAAAGTCAACCTGAATTGAATTTCTAGAATCAGCAAGTTCTTGAGTTCTGCCCAAATCTTTCATTCTCAAATAAACAATGTTATTGTCAATTAGATTTTGTAAGGAGAGGAGTGGAGTTTTCAAATCCTCTCTAGTTCTATTATAGTACATGGTATATGAAATGGTATCAATGGTATCTAGTGGACCATTTGGAATGAATGAAATACCAAACATGGTTTGATTTTGATGAGTGTACATCCAATTTTCCATCTCACTTTTGGTTGTAAACATTTTGTAATCAGTGTCTTGTTTCAAATTGTAATCAGAAATTAACAATTCCATTACCTTCTCTCCAAATGAAATACCATTAGCAGAATAAACTAATTTGTAACAAGCTCTTCCACCATTCGGTTTGCATTCGTAAAATTTTAAAGCAATTCCATTGTCATACGATTGTTGAGTTGGCACTTGAATTCCCTTATGAATTAGCTCAATTGGCTGATGAATTGCACTCTCACCTGAAAAGTTAGCTTGCAAAACCTCCTTCATGACCACCAAAATCACCAAAATAATAATGGGAGACAGCAATTGCATTCCAGTAGATTTCCATCTTCTTGTATAGAGCAGGAAATTCTTCTTTAACAAAATGAGCGTTTGTTTCAACACCTCCAACAGATAATTCATAATAATAGTATTGAACAAGAAAGTGTTGTTGAGACTTTTTTCTAATTGAGAGAGGAAGCATATGTTTCATTGGCACACGATTTTGAATGAGCTGTGATTCGTAGGTGCGAACTTGTGGCAGTTAGCTGAGCTGTAAATTAGTTGGAGGTGAGAAGATCCTCCTTTTCAAACAATGTTAGAGAACGGAGAGTGCGATTGGAAGAGTCTGTTTGAACTTGTTGATAAGGGAGAAGCGAATTTGTTATTATTGTTTTTCATTAATCATTAAAAAACAAAAGTAAATCTCCAACCAATTAGATCATATGAAAGAAACAAAGATTTTGGATGAGAATAGTGGTGGTGCTACTGCTACTACTACTGGCCAATCAGTGACAACTCCCATCGATTGTGATGATTTGTTAATGAAGAGTCGTGCTGGTAAGGAGTTGAATCAAGTGAGAGCATTGTTGTACAAATCATTGATGTTGCAAATGAAGCAATACAAGTAGGTTATTTCATTGTTAATATTAGTATTCATGTATATTGTATTTTGTTCAACAAATACAGGTCAAATATTTGTCAATTGATATTCCCAGTCATTTGTTTAATGTTCATTTACGTTTTACAAATAGTTGCAAATAGATTGATTGCAGGATTCTTTACAGGCAATGAGGGAGCTGCAGCAGTTGTTAGAATCAACTCTACATCTGTTGAACTTTCTCAACTCATGTATCAAGCAAAGATGCAAGCTCAAAACTTGACATTTAATCCTCCAGAGTCCCTCTTTTTCACCTCTGATAAGAATGACTATTTGAATAGTATTGGATTTGGTACCATGTCCTCTAATCAGTCTGGATCTAGTGGTTTCTTGGCTAATTTTTCTCCATGGTCCAGAAGTTCAGTCATGATGTTAGTGAATGGTACCTTTGATGAGAAGGGAATGATTTCAATTCCATACTCTGTAACCTCTGCTTTTGGTAATGAAAGTACTATGGATGAAGTCATCTATGATAGAATGGGTGCTGTGGGAAAACTGAAAACTTGGATGCTGTTGGTGCCTATATTGTAAGAAAGTTGGACACCTCTGGTATCAATTACACTGTACAATTTGATTACCATGAAAAGACTCAATTCTTTGCTGAATTCCTCTCAAAATCACCACTCACCTATATTGTTACAAGTGCTAGAGATGCTATTAGTGTTTCTCTTCAGAATTGGATGAATGATGCCTTCCTGAAAAATCTTACTGGCTCTTTCAGAATTAGAACCTATACAGCTCAAATGACCTATGATACTCAATTAATTTCCTTCAGACTTTCTGACATGTTAGGTTCCTTCTTCTTTCCACTAATTCTTTCTCTATTATTACCAACATTTACCTTTACCATTGTTATGGAGAAGCAATACAAGTTGAGAGAAATGATGAAATTGATGGGTATGAAGATGAGATATTACTTTTTGGTAACTTATGTATTTTTCTATGCAATGTATGCCCTCTCTGCTATTTTGTTCATCATCTTTTCTATTGCCTTTGATTTTAGATTTATAACCCAGACACATCCATTAATGTTAAGTAAGTATTCATTGCTTTTTCACATATATTTAACCAGGATACTTTAGTTTTCTTCTTCCTGTTGTGGGGAAATGTATTGATTAGTTTTTCATTCCTATTATCTTCGTTCATTGGTAAGACAATTGTAGCTACTATTGTTTCCTACTTGTTTGTTCTGATTGGACCAATGGTTGGTGTCCTTCTTGAACAAGCTCTCTATCCAAGTGCACCAGATGCAAGATATGGTCTCCTCTTATTGTTCCCTCTCCAAATTACTCACTTTGTCTTTGCTGCAACCAATTCATGTAATAACAATGCATGTTTGACAGATGTGGCTGATATTGTAAATAATGTATCTGTCCTCAGCTCACTTCTTTACATGTTGGGAGTTTCAGTGTTGTACTTCATATTGGGTCTGTACTTTGATGCCATTATTCCACAAACATTTGGTATAAGTAAACATCCATTGTTCTTCCTGGAGTGGATGTGGAGGCCGTGTATTAAACGTCGTCTGAAGAGAGCTAAAAAGCACACTGAAAGTAAGAATCAAGTCCAACCATTTGGAGATGAAGAAGGTGCTATTGATTACAATACCTCCGAAGTAATGGACAGTGATGTAGCTGAGGAGTTTAACAAGGTTAATCCAAGTAATATCACAGACAATGAAATGCAAGAGCATGCTAGAAAATTGAAGGAAGAGCATGGTGTTGTCCTTTTCAATTTGGAAAAGAGTTTTGGAGGTAATAAGGCTGTTAAAGGTACCTGTCTCACTATTGGCAAATCTGAATGCTTTGGTTTGCTAGGTCTTAATGGAGCTGGTAAATCAACAACCATCTCAATGTTAGCAGGAATGTTTGGTCCAAGTTCTGGAACTGCATTTGTGTGCGGTAAAGATATTAGATATGACATGGACAGTATCCATCAAGTAATGGGCTTGACAGCACAATTTGATATTTTGTATCCTGATTTGAGTTGTGAAGACCATTTACTCTTCTATTCCAGAATGAAGGGTGTGAAAATCAAGCACGAGAAGGAACACGTCCAATCTCTATTAAAACAAGTAGGTCTAGATAATGAAACTCTCAAAGTGAGATTCTCTCCAGCATCCAGCTCACTTTCAGGAGGTATGAAGAGAAGATTATCCATTGCCATTTCACTAATTGGTGATCCGAAAGTAATCCTACTCGATGAGCCAACCACTGGACTGGATCCACTCTCCAAGAGACACTTGTGGGATATCATTCTCGCTCAAAAGAAGAATAGAACTGTCATTTTGACCACTCACTCCATGGAAGAAGCTGATGCCTTATGTGATCGAATGACCATCATGGTAAAAGGTTCTTTCAAATGCTTAGGTTCTGGTTTAAGATTGAAAAACAAGTTCGGAGATGGCTATTTGATGACCATCAGTTACCAACCAGAGAACCAAAACATTGCCGAGAAGTATGTCTACGATTACGTACCAGAGGCTGTGAAGGATCTGACTCTGAGTGGCATAACCATCTTCAAAATACCTCACCTTAATGCTCCTCATTCTCATCAAATAACAACAACAACAACAACAAATCAAAACAGCAGCATAAGCCATAATAATAATAGTAGTGGGGAAAAGAATAGAACATTGGCTGGTTTGTTTAAACATATGGAAAGTGGAAAGGATCATCACGGAATTGAAGAGTGGGCTTTAAATCAAGTTTCATTAGAACAAGTCTTTTTGAATATAATTTCGAGTGATGCAAAGAGAAATCCATTGAAGGATGAATCCAAGTGGAAGCGATTAGCAACCATGTTCAAGCAATGTATCCATTGAGAGACCATTCTGTGCACTGTGTAAATAATAAAATTGTGCTCATCACATGATGTATTTTATTTTAAAAAATAATTTTAATTAAAAAATGGAAATTTGGATTGGCGAATACTCCATCTTACATGGTGGTTGTAAAAACTATATCACAATATTATTACAATGACATGGCACAATGTCCAATTTGCTTCCATTTTCACAAATCATATTTTATGCTTTTTCCGGTTGGCTTCCAATCAAACTCTAAAAAAAAAAATAACAAGACAATATGAAGCAAACCTTTTTCATTTTGGTTGTTGCTTTGATATTAGCCTTCGTAGGAGGTTTGGTCAGCGCCGATGTGATCGATCACACCAATAGAATTCTCCCAGCGACTACTCCATATCATATGGGTATTTTACATACTTTTGATCCATTTACTTCATCATGGTCCTTTTATTGTAATAGACCAGGTGCCGGACCTGGAACAAACGATCAATTGGGTATTGTTGTTAATATGGGAAGTGATATTAGAATAATTGGTCCTAAAGTGTATAATGATGATAGTAATTTCCAAGTTGGTATTCAAGGGGGAGAGACTGGCAAGATTATTGATTTGGGTACTGAAGATGATGTCAGCAAAACTTATGGTTGTTCAAACTGTTTTACTGGTATTAAATTTAGTAGTGATGGAGTTGTTTCAGTTTTAGATAAGACAAAGAATTTGAAGCCAATTGACCTTACTGCCATGACAGTGGATCATGCTTCAATTAAAGTAGGTCATATTTACTTGGTCAAGATTAGCAATGGAAATGATGATACTGCTCTTTTTGTAAAGTTTATTGCTACCTCAGTTCTTTATGGAGCAAACAATGCTGTGGAAACTGTAACAATGAGACATCAACCAATGTATGTTAAAATTTCACAATCAACTGGAAGAGATTGCTCAGGTCATGTAGATCTTAATTCTGTTGTGGCTCAAGCTGAAACTGGAATTAGTTTGGCTGTTATTGGATTGGTGGCTACCATTTTCATTGGTGTTGGAAATGTTGCCTTCTTAATTTATTATTTTGCATTTGCAAAGGGAAAGAGAGGTGGTGTTTATGGAACTCTCCAATAACTCAATAATAATAACATTCGAATGCTTTTAATATTTCTTATTTCACCATTTTGTAATAGTGTTGGGTATCATTATTATAATCTGATTCCAATACATTATCTTGGAACATGTTAAAATACAAGAACTCATATTTCTGTCAAATTTCATTATAATCTCCACACGATTGCAATCATTGAATGATTTTGTATGGTTTAATTTTAGCCAACTGACATCTCCAGTTAACTCATCATTCAAAAAAATATGAAAACATCTCTCTTGGTTTTATGCACCTTGATGGTACTCTGTGTATCCATTATGGCTGTGTCTGGCTCCTTCTTGGAACAAATTGTGGAAATGTCACTTTCTGATTCTAGAAGTTTCAAGTCGGGTGGTGGTAGCTCTGGAGGAGGTAGCAAATCTGGAAGCAGTAGCAGCAGCTCTGGAAAGTCATCCAGTAAGTCATCCTCATCCTCCAGTAAGAGTACTAGCTCTAGTAAAACCTCCACTTCAAAGAGTTATAGCAAGTCAACTGTCTCATCAAAGATGGCCTCAGCTTATTCTCAATATGCTAACAGTAGAATTGCTGGTATGAAGAATCCAGCCAGCACCATGGCTGGTCTCAAAGCTGCCAATTTGAATGCTCGTTTAAGTGCTCAACCAACTGCTACTGTCAATGGTAAATTGACTGCTGCTGGTATCAAGGCCTCTTATCAAAATCGATTGAATACAAGAGTTGCTGCTGCCTATCAACAATATGCTCAATCCAGAATGGCTGCTGCCAAACCAACTGCTAAGCCAACCAATATTGCTGCAGCTTATCAACAATACGCCCAATCTAGAATTGCTGGTATGAAGAATCCTGCTAGCACTTTGTCTAAACCAACTGCCAAACCTGCCAATATTGCTGCTGCCTATCAACAATATGCTCAGTCCAGAATTGCTGGTTTGAAGAATCCTGCCAGTACTCTCCCAGGTAGTTTCAAGATTGATAAGGGTTTGCTTACTGTTAATGAAGGTAAACCTGCCACTACTGGTTACGTTCCACAATCCAAGGCAGGTACTGTCATTGGTAAATCAGGTGTTACTGTTGGTACTGGATTCGATGTTGGTCAACAAAATGTTAAGGGTTTGAAAGCTCTTGGACTTTCACCAAGTTTAGTCGACAAGCTTTCTCCATACACTGGATTGAAGCAACAAGCAGCTAAGGACTTTTTGGCTAAGAATCCATTGTCCCTATCGCCTGCTGAAGTTGCATCCATTGATAAGGCAGTTATGGACAAGTTTTCTGCCAATTTGGCCAAAGATTATGCAGCTGCTGCTGCCAAGAATCCAACTGCTGTCAAGAATTTCAAGGATTTGCCAGCTCCTGTCCAATCAGTTGCTTACAGTGTCTACCATCAATATGGAAGCTTCTCCAAGACTCCAAGCTTCATGAACAAGTTGGCCACCAATGATTACAATGGAATGGTTCATGAATTGAGAAACTTTGGTGATTCTTACTCAACAAGAAGAAATCGTGAAGCTGATCATTTGGAAAGTGGTTTGAAGGCTGCTTCAGGATAAATAAATTCTAATGTTGTTGCCATCTCTGAACATACTGGAATATTGTCTCAAGTTTTGAATGCCTAGATTATATATTTGAGAATTATCTTGGAATAGTTAAAATCTCTTCCTCCTAATCAATTCAACCACCTCACTCATAAATTCCCTATCCTTGATGAGTTCTGGAGAAATAGATGTTAGAGAGCTGATTCCATGTATATTGAACAAATTCTCATCATGTTCCAACGCTGTGAGAACCACTTCCTTGTCCCTCTTAATTCTCTCATCGAACAATTGCAACAATGGGCCACTAATGGCTACAACTTGCAATGCAAATGATTTGTTGTGAAATAGTCCAGGTTGGAATAGCTTGAGTTTGAAAAGAGAGAAGGGATTTGACTTGCAAGCTTCGATAATCATATCAAAATCATCCTTGAATTTGGTCTTGTGAAGAAGATAGCCATTCTTTCTGATAGCTTCCAAGACGAAATCTCTGTTACCTGTTAGATCTGGGTGCAGGTAGCAATTTTCAGAATCTTTGGATCCAATCGAATCAAGTACGAATTCCTTATTGAGTTGGAATGATTCGTGTGCGTATTCAAGTGCAGAGCTGTTCTGTTTCACTGCTGTTCGAATAATTTCCTCGTCCATCTTTAAATCATCACTAGCAAATTGTAAATCAGAACCTCTTCTTGCAACAGCTGTTAATACAATCTCTCTATCGCAGCGAAACCCTTCTGGTGTTACTGAGAGTGACATTCCATTCCTAACAAGGTTCATCACAACATTCCTATTCTTCATTAAAGAATCATTTATACCCTTCAAAGAGGTAATTTTGAAATTATCTAAACAATGGTTAATAAACTCCTCGTCCTGTTTTAAATCTTTTGAAATGAAAGGAAATGCTTCCAAACTATTATTCATGGCTTCCAAAGCTATGACCTTATCTGATTTTAGAGATTGAGAAGCAAACTTTAACGATCCACCATTAGACTTAACTGCCTCTAAAACAATCTCCCTATCACTCCTTAACAGATCACTTGCATGATTCAAGTCATTTCCACAAGCTCTGACACATTTCAATACCAAATCTCTGTCCTCTCTGGCATCATCATTAAAGTAATCCAAACATCCACTTAATTCTACTCCAATACATGCTTCCATCACTTCCCTATCAGAGAAAACCTCAAATGGTAATTGATTAAGAGCAATCTTTGTTCCTTTCAAGGCTTCCAAAATCACAAATTTATCATTTTGCAAATCATCATCCAGCATTATGTAATTTCTAAAGTTATTCCTCACAGCTGTCAATATTAATTCTCTATCACTAACCAACAATTCATCACTGATATACTCTGTAATAGAATGGCCAGTTTGAGCTGCAACCATCAACAATTCCCTATCATTGGAAATTAATTCGGAATAATCTTGCTCTTCTTCATCAGTGCGATGAGAGGATGGCAACGATTCCAAATAATTAAGCAATATATTAATACTCAAACCTCGCCTAATAGCTTGCAAGAATAATTCTCTACTACTTGGTGTTGTATTCATCAAATAATCTTCATACAAGACACTTAATTTAGAGAGAAACTTTTCCGATTTGAAACACAATACATCATCATTACCTTCATCACTTGTCTGCATTGTAGAATAATAGCTTGCACCAAAAATCAAAGGATTCCTTGATAAATTCATCATCCAAATAATCAAAGCAATCTAAATTGATGGTGGTAATGGCTTGAATAATCTTCTCTCGATCGGAAATGAATTTTACAAGTGATGGATATGAAGAAAGAGTTTTTAAGAGTTTGTTTTCGAGAATTTCAGTTTGATATTTGAATTGCAGTAAATCTGAGGTTGATGATTGGAAATGATCGAGTAAAATTACGACTAGATGTTCCTTCATTTTTTTTGTCTTTTCAATATATTGATTTAGATGCATCTGTTACTCATCCGTAAGGTTTAAGTTGTTTCCTTAATAAATAAACATTGTTATTACATACTATATCATTGCATATTTCACAAATTTGATGTGAGCGCCGTTAGATCAGTTGGTTAGATCGTCAGCTTTACACGCTGAAGGTCAAGGGTTCGACTCCCTTACGGCGTATCTTTTTTAGGCCATCTTTTCCTTACTCCCTAAATCTTGCAAATTTTCTCTAAACTCTTATAAATTGTGTCAAATGATACCAATAATTTTTGTAAAGTTTACAATAAAATCTGTTTTAAAAAATAGCCCAAATTGAATGAAGGAAATTATTCCCCTCTGTTTTGGACAATGTGGTATCAATATTGGCTCTGATTTTATTCAACAAATCTACAGGGAACATTTTTTCCCTTCCAAATCTTCATCCTCATCAATTCATGATCGGAATGCTAATTATAATGAAAATGATGAATTGATGATGAATACAATGAGAGGAGAAGCCTCTATTTACTTTTCCGAATCATCCAATAGTACATTCACCTCTCGGGGTCTTTTAATTGATTTACAAAGCCAATTTAAATATCAATCTAAATTGTTGAATAATGATGAAATACAAAATACAATTGATTTGAATAATAATGTAATATTTCCAAGACAGAATGGTGTGTATTGCTCTCCAGATTGGCCAGGTGGTAAATATGAATCCGGAGCTGATTTATTTACCAATGATGTGATGGATCGAGTGAGGAAATTATTGGAGGATTGTGATTCGTTTCATGGATTTCAGTTTTTTCATGGGATGGTTGGATCTTCGAGTGGTTTCTACTCGAGAATTTGTGCACATTTGAGAGAGGAGTATCCTGATAAGATGTTTTGGTCATGTAGTGTATTTCATGATTCCAAGAGTGAGGATAAAGCAGTGTGGATGTATGATTCCATATTGACCTTTCAGTACATGATGGAGCTCAATGATATGATTACCTGTGTGAGGAATAGTGAGCTAATTGATAAATGTGTACAGAATGGAAAGGATTATCCAACTTATAGAGATTATAATAATGTGATTAGAAGCTTCTTTCCAAACATTACATCAGTTTTTAGGTATCCTTCTCAACAAGGATGTGATTTGAGGAAAATGTGTCTCAATCTTGCACCTACCAGACACTGCTTGATTGAAGTTAGTGAAACTACTGCTTTACAAAATGAGACAACACCTATTTATGAAACAATTTATAATTTGAATAGTCAATTGATTCAACAAAAGAGTTCAGAGAAGATCCTTTCTGCCATTTCAATATTGAGAGCTAGTGGAACATTGGGCTTGGAAGCAGAAAGAAACCTTCGGAAATCAGTCAAAGATCATTCACAATCAGAATTTCCATTCAAACCCCTTGTTGTGAATCAACAATCAAGCGATAACACGATCAGCAATACATTGCTTACCAACTCTTCATCAATTACCACGGCTCTGGAAAATATTTATGAAGTAACAGAAAGATTTTTCAGAAGGAAAACTTTCATTTATGGATACACAAGAGGAGGATTAGAGGAAATGGAAATTACTGAATCTCAGTATTATCTTCGAGAGGCTATTGATACTTATACAGAGAGCGAACCTAAAGAAGATGAACTTGCTTAACCAGTTTGCTACTAATTAATTGGTCAACGTTTATTGTCTCCTTCGAGTGTCTTTATTTCTAAAAGTAATGAAATTTAAGACAACGATGGGAGAGGAACAGTATTGCCATAGAAATATTCTCAGTTCAATACATATTAGAAAGTGGATCAATTAGTGACCTCAATGACGCCGTTTTCACACTTGATGAATCACCAGAGGATGTGGAATTATCTACATTTGGAATGGTTTTCACACCTTTACAATACGTTGTTACTTGACTTACACTTATCATACAAAAATATAGCCACCTTCGTTGCATTTCCACATCATGACAGTTCAATAAAACAATAGTACTCAATCAGTGAGTGGTAAAATAAAAACTTTACTTTCCTAAAGCAAGAGCCAAGAATCCAGTTTCCTCTGCCAAACAAATTTCATATCCATCACAATCAGAAATAATCACCACTTCAACATCGGCCTTTCCAGGTGTTGGTAAAACAATTGGTTCCTTAACAATGGAAATTCCAGTCGAAACAAAAACTTCCTCTTCCTTTGCTTTCAATACTTTTTGATGCATTTCCTTAATATCGACCTTTGATGAAATTGCCAATCGACCAAAAGCTTCTCCATGAATCAATTCCTCACTCTCACTCAATTGAACAAATTCAATTTTGGCTTGATCTTGAGCAAAACCTAATAGGGCTCTATTTTCTCCTCTCTTGAAAACTTGCATTCCCAAAACTTGAGTATAGAATTGAATTTGTTTTTCCAAATTCTTGGTATGAAGTGAAATGTATTGAACTTGATCATGTTCGAAAGAGTTTCTCTCACTTTCTTCCAAGTCTCTTTCTCTATTCACAAGCACATAGGTATATCCATTCGGATCAACAATAGTTTGCTTACTCTCAGCTGCCTTATCATGATGAATAACAATTTCTCTAAAATCATTACCCAACTTGTAACTCTTAATTCCATGATTTGCTGTCAATTCCAAAACAAAGTGAAGATCTTCAGGTCCATATCCAATCATTGTCTTGGTCCAACTCAAATTATATCGACCATTACAAGCTGCTTCACATCCTGCATCAAATGATTCATGTCTCTGTTCAACCATGTTCAATTCCTTCTCATAGAATTGTTTAGACTTGGAATAGTTACCAATTTTGTGTACCCAATGAAGCATTCGGAATGACATGATGATGATGATTAATTATTGATTATTATTAATATATTTGTTATCTTGTTATTAAATCTTTGATGATAATAAATTAATTTCTTCTCTCTTTAATTAAAATTATTAATAATAATAAATATTAATTGATGATGATGATCAATAAGAAGAAGAATTTGATTTTTTTTCTGTTGTTTGGTTTGAAGGAGATGATAATCAACTAGATGATTTATTGTTTTTTCAAATGGATTGGAATTACGGAGTTGAAGAGGAGAAACTATTGGTTGGAATTTCAGACAAGTAACTCCTGAAGATTGTGAATGGTTCAACCTTCATCAGGAGTAATAAGACTGAGGAGGAATGTTATTATGAATTTATTGTGTTGTGAACAAGTTCAAAGATTACATGAATTTGTTTGAATTGTACTTGTATGATCTTATTTAGAGGGTTTATGTTGGTTGGTATCAACCTTCCACTTGTATTTTCTCCTTCTTCTGAAGATATTCTATGAATTATCTTCCTCACACTTGTTAGATTCCTCAATAGCTTCCTCTGTTGATAATGTTCTTTGCCTTCTCAAATTATTGATGATGTTATGTTCAAGTACTTCTTTGCCTACCTTCTCAAAAGGTACCAATTTTACTTTTAATTATCGAGTTGTTGATGCTTGGAAGTGAAGACGCATCTTCCAACAATATTCTTCATAAGCAACTAATAGATGATGTGTACACGAAGTGAGAGTTGCTTTTCGATTTGTCTTCAGGCAATTAAATCCCCAAGATGATTTCCCTTCTGATGATGAATGGTTGTACACACTATAGTTGTTAGGCTTGCGTTCCGAATGTTATTGTATTCTTCATCCAATTAAAAGCCTTCCAATCCATCTGATAAACATCTTAACGATAACTTCAACAATTTTTATGTATTATTGTTCTTCTCTTTTCAAAGCCTTTTTGCCTTCTCTTCATCAAATTGGCTTGAAAAAATTTTCATTGTAAAAAGCGTGGATGAGCAAACAACTTTAAAAATTGTTCGAAAAAAAAAGTCAAAAAATGGGCGCCTATAAGTACTTGAATGCCTTGTATAAGAAGAAGCAATCTGATGCTTTGAGATATTTGTTGAGAGTCCGTGCTTGGGAATTAAGACAATTGCCAGGTATCCACAGAGTTAACCACCCAACCAGACCAGACAAGGCTCACGCTCTTGGTTTCAAATCCAAGCAAGGTTACGTCATCTACAGAGTCAGAATTCGTAGAGGTGGTCGTAAAAAGCAAGTCCCAGGTGGTAGAGTCAATGGTAAGCCAGCTACTCAAGGTATCCACTTGAAGCCAAAGAGAAACTTGCAAGTTGTTGCTGAAGGCAGAGTTGGTAAGAGAATTGGTGGTTTGAGAATTTTGAACTCATACTGGGTTAACCAAGACGGTAGATACAAGTGGTTCGAAGTCATCTGTGTTGATCCATCTGCTGAATCAATCAGAGTTGATCCACAAGTTAACTGGATCGCTTCTCCAAAGCATAAGCACAGAGAAATGAGAGGTTTGACTTCCTCTGGTAAGAGACACAGAGGTCTCAGAACTAAGGGGTGTACCTCATCCAAGGTTAGACCATCCAGAAGAGGCGGTTGGAAGAGAAGAAACACCACCAAGTTGCAAAGAAAGAGATAAATCTGAGTGTTTGGTGTTCTCCTATAATAAAATCAATATTAAATTTAATTGTTGTTTTTTGGTTTTGTGTGACAACAGGATAGTTTTGTTACTTGATTGAGCAAATGTTGTTGAAAATGTATTATCGCTGGATGGAGATTGGTTTTAATTAAATATTGAAAATATTGAATCTATGCTTTCTAGGGAAGTAAAACAGAATTTTTCATTGTCATTCACAGTGCAAAGGTGATGTCAATATGATTCCGAACTTTTTCATTCAATAAAATCAACAATCTGTTTCAAACTAAGTGTGGTGAGCACACTATAAATTGTTATGGTTCCACAGCTAGCGTCTATTGTTATTGAAGATTTGATTTCTTCTTTGATTAATAGTAATGGAAGCATTGTCAATTAAATTGACCGAGGTCACTGTTGCGCTCAAAGAAACGATGGCAAAGTTACTGACACTCGAAAACCCTTTACCCAATATTCAATTATTTCTCAAACACAACATACTAAAGGTTTCTAATATTATTTAATGAAAGAAATGAATAGAAAAGTTCATTGTATTGTGCTGTATTTACAACTATTGATCTTCAAAAGCCAAAAACAAGTTCGTATCAACCATCAACCTTCTTATTTGGAACATTACTCGAAATTTCTGCCACATTTCACTTTTCCATTGTTTTTACTGCGATAGCATTTTGACATTTTCCATTTGAAAAAAACAAACACCAACAAGTATATTCACCCTTTCATATTTAATTTCTGCTTGATATCTCATTGAAATGATGTCAAATAATACAGTGACAGTTGGCAACTCAACAATTTGCCATGAATTTCTGTTTAATACAACATCGAGCAGAGAAATTCTACCTTCAATTGAATATGATATCTGTCCTGATACCTACATTTCGTTTTGTAAGTTTCCCACAATCTCTACAATTGTGAATCCTAAACCAAACTAAACCTGTATTCGAAACAATACAATAGCCATACTGTTGGCCTTTCTCACTGGATACATTCTACTTCTCCTCATCACTACCATTCTTGTCATATGGAAACGAAACTCTGGACATATCCTTGCTCGTGATCCAGCTCAGTTAATCTTAACCATGTTGACAGGATTTCAATTTGTGGCCATTTTCTCACTTCGAATAATTATTGGAAGAAAGATCTTTCCATGTGCCCTGTATTCATATTGTTTCTTTGTTGTGGGGCCTGTAATTTGTCTTCCTTCCATATGTAGAAGTTTAAAATTATATTTCCATTTCAAGTTAAATCTTCAGAAAATGAAATTCTTCAAGGAAAGTGAAACTCCAGACGATTCTTCATCTGTATTTTCAAGTTCTGATTCCATGTCTCATAATTCAGTGAAACAGAAATTACCAAATTTGAGAGTTTTGAAATTTTATCAATTTATGGTTAGCCACAAATTTATTATTGCAACCTATATCGGAGTTTTTATTATTCAAACCGCAATATGGGCTATCGTTGGTGGAATTGATGAGATTTTATATTCACTCAATACGGATTTACAAAATAGGAAAAGGTTTTTTGTGAGTCCAGGATTTTTTGAATTTAAAATTGGATGCAGTTTGACAAGTGGAATTTTAATTGTAATCTTGATTGAGTCAGTGTTTTATATTGCAGCTGAGGTGATTACATTGATAATGTGTATTAGATCTGATAGAGATACTTGGTCAATTAAGAAGGAAACTTTGATTTATGTCATTGTTCAATCAATTGGAATTTCTCTATTTGTCATTTCATCATTTATTGATATCATGTCAATATTGGTTGATTATTTCGTACCATATGCCTTGTTCATGTTTGGAGCTCTTGCTTTGGAAACTATCATTTGTGTGCTACTTCCTGTGTGTTATGCTATTAGAAAGGATTTCCACTCAACACATCACAATCCACAAGATAGCACTCTGGAAAGTATTTTGAAAAACAAGAAGGGATTCAAAACAATTCTCGATTTTGCTCGTAGATCCTATTGTCCAGAAGCAGTTCTCTGTTGGTCTGATATTCAGAGATTTAAGGATTGTAAGAAACGTGAGAAAAAGCTTGAAATTGCCAAGTATATTATTGAGCATTATTTGACACCTTCCAGTTATTTAGAGTTAAATATGCCACAATTGGCAAATGTCAAGGAGGAATTAAGTTTGATGGTGATGGGTTCAGCAAGTACAGTTTCTAATGATGTATTCGATATGATTGAGAATCATTGTTTGCAGGATTTGGCTGATTTACAGCATAGATTGGTGAGCAGTGATAAATTTATCGCATCAATGGTGCAAGAATTGAAGGAATTACAAAGATTGAAAGCAAGCTGTGAAGAGAAGGTAGAAGAAACTTTCAATGTTGAATTGGAAATTTAAAACTGTGACAAGTTGATGATTATTCCTCGCATTAGCTTGTCCGGTAATTTCTCAATCCTTGCATAATCAGTGAAGAGGAGTTTTTTGTTTGAGACTCCAAAGTTGACCAGTTCATTAAGAATATTCTCAAATAAAGGGCAATTTAAATAATTTTCAAAACTTGATGCAAGATCAAAGTAATTATCAATTGTAATTATCAGCGTACTTTTAAAATAATCAACAAAATAATGAATTTCATGAATGATTGCCATATCAATTAATGTAAAAAGTTTTGATGGATCTATCTCGTAAACTGGAATTCCATAACAATATTTGATGATAATTTCTAATAATTCCAAATCCATTGAATCATCAGGTGTAAAGACATCATCACTAAGATCACTGAATGATGATCCACTTTCGAATAATGCATTAAAAAATGTACTTTTGGAACTGAGTATTGTTTTGTGGCAGTATAAATACTTGTCTTGTCCCATTTTGATTTTAACGTCGCTTGCTTTTTCATTATTAAATAATCTTTCAATTCCCTGTTGTTCAATTTCATTATCCTCCTGTATTTCAATTGGACTTGTAACATGTGTTTCCATTACAGATAAAATGTTAAAGCTATATCTCTTAATGATGGGATAAGACAAAAGTGTTTTTCCTGTAAGAGACTTTAACTGGATGGCAGAATATTCCAAACAATAATTGTTCAAATATTCAAGTAAATGATTTTGAATTTCTATTTCTTCATGACAAAGTTTGAGTAAATTATCAACTTGTTCCCATTTTGAAGGAAGTGTTTCCAGTGTGATGGAATTAATAAATCCATGTACAAATGCTCTTTTAAAATCGATAAATTCACAATTCTTGAACATTCCTAAAATGAATAATACATTCAATATATCATATTCTCTAAATGAATTCAATCTTTCAATCTCTGTAAATTGATATATATTTTCATATATCAATGAATCAATTAGTTTTTGTATAATTACTATTTGTTGCGAATTCATTGATTTCAATAGTTTTTCATTTTTCAATATTATTTTACAAAATTGTGGTGATAACTTTTCTATTAATGGAATAAATCCAATCAATTCCAATCCAAATAATTCATCTCTTGAATGTTTTTTCAATTGGATTTTTGGAATTATAGTATAATCATTTCCAATATGTGGATGCGATGAAAAATCAAATGGTGAATCACCTCCAAATCCTTCTTCACCATTTCCAGCAATTGTTTTAATTGTTCCATTTCTTAATATTTTTCTAATTCTATGATTTTCTGTATCAGCAATATAAACTTCATCATTTCGAGAAACGAATATATTGTCTACATATGATATTTGTGCATTAATTGCAAGTCCTCCATCACCACTATATCCTTTAACTCCAGTTCCTGCAATTGTTGTAATATTGGCATTTCTTAATATTTTTCTAATTCTATAATTTCCACTATTCATAATATAAACTTCATTCGTTGATGAAACAAATACACCACATGGATGGTTAACTTGTGCATTAATTGCAGGACCACCATCACCACTGAATCCTTCTTCTCCAGTTCCTGCAATTGTATTAATAATTCCATTTCTTAATATTTTTCTAATTCGATGATTGTTGTAATCTACAATATAAACTTCATCGTTATTAGAAACAAAAACACCACAAGGGCTGTCTAATTGTGCACTTGTTGCAGGGCCACCATCTCCACTAAATCCTTTTTCTCCAGTTCCTGCAATTGTTACAATAGTTCCATTTCTCAATATCTTTCTAATTCTATGATTTCCAAAATCAGAAAAATAAATTTCATCATTTTGAGAAACGAATATATTCTGTACATATGATATTTGTGCATTAATTGCAGGTCTACCATCACCACTATATCCTTTTTCTCCAGTTCCTGCAATTGTTACAATATTGCCATTTCTTAATATTTTTCTAATTCTATAATTTCCACTATCAGCAAAAAAAACTTCATTCGTTGATGAAACAAATACACTACATGGATGGCTCAATTGTGCACTTGTTGCAGGATCACCGTCACCACTAAATCCTTCTTCTCCAGTTCCTGCGATGGTGACTATAGTTCCATCTTTTAATATTTTTCTCACCCTATGATTTTGGCAATCTGCCATATAAACCTCATCATTCGGAGCAACAAACACTCCTCCCGGACAATTTAACATTGCTTTAGTGGCTAATTTTTTATTCATCATTTTAGCCTTTTTCTTTACTTTATTTTCGTCATTTTCATCATTTTCTGATGATGAAGAAGCCGATGATGATGCGGATGAAGAACAAAGGCTTCGTTTCATTTTTTTTGTAAAAAAAATCTTCAAATGAAAAGATCAAGTCAAC